GCTGGCCACGCGAGTGAAAACGTTCTACAAGGCGAACACCTCTCTTGACAGAGGGTTACAGTTGGTCCCAAAGATATCCGTCTTAAAGAGTTGACTGTGTACATAACAGGCACTCAAACAGCATCAGCGCCCGGGGGAGGGGTGACTCCCATATTAAAATGACTGGGATTCTCGTCGGAGAAGTAGAATTAACCCCTGCAGGAGACCAATCTGAGCGTTGATCAGGCTTTAATTGACTCCTAAAGGAGACTATACTATAACAAAGTATGACGGCATTTGCCTTTTCGAAAATGGATATTTCTCTATGCAAAACGCTAAGTGATCCCCTTATGGCCAAAAATTATTGGCTTTCCGACCGGAACACCCTAAGTTTCTATCCCTAAGCGAGATGACGAGCACCCCCGTCATTTGCTATGGGAGTCCCCCGGGCATCAGGGTTTGGGCCTAAAAATCATTTACAGCCTCACTAAACATCTATTCAAGCTAAATTGTTTGCTTACAGCCTGCAACAGTGATAATCAATGGCAAGACAAAATGGAAAAGTGCCATATTCTCGAGGACTTTTTTCAAACAAGTAATAGTTCAAAACACTGTACGAGAACATCCTCCATCGATGACGAACACAAGAAAAATCGTGCAACTTTCATGGTTTAATCGGGTTTAATCGACTTCGGGTTTGAAAAGAAAACAAACGATGGTTTAATGATCTCGAATTTTAGAGTTCTCATACTACAAAGAGGCCTGTCGTAAGAGAGAACGGACTTAAAACTTTGGAACGCCAAACAACCTCCCGTGAAGAAGTACACTTTTCCATTTTGTGGCAAAATCGACGCAACAACAACAAATTTTGGACATCACTATCTAAACACTGAAAAGGCTAGATGATACTGGACAGGCTTTACAAGATTTCGTTGAGAAGGAACGTAACTTGAACTCCTAACAAGTAAAACGACTTGAAAACGAAAACAAAAAATATCTAGGAAATTAGTTTTCCAGTAAACCAAAACAAAAACGCAAGTAACTTTGCAAAGGAAACAGGCGGTTTTCCCGATTAATATTGCAGACTCTGGGCGCACGTTTACTTTTGTTCATTAACAATTCTTAAATTAATCACAGCCCTCCACTAAATTACTTTTCACCCGAATTCTGTGGAGTAGATCAAGACGCTTGTGCAAAGTGCTCTCACCAATGACCTCAAAGATGTTTAATTGAACTACCGTATTTATTCGATAAAACGCCGCGGCGTTTATTCAAGGGCGGCGTGTTTTTTGCAAAATCACTGACACCTATTACGATAAATCATTTGTAAATGTTATGTAAAACAGAAAGAAGTTTAACGTTCCAATGTCTCACTTTTCGCTGAGATCGAAATTGCCTCAGCCTGGATGGTGTAGTGTACCGAGTGTTTTCTCATAATCCTCGAATATGCACCAGATTCTTGTGATTCATGCGGCGTTTATTCGAATACATACGGTAATCACCTGAGTCCGACTGGGCGAGATTTTCCTCCGCCTTCTTTCCTGTTCCTTTTACCGCGTTTTCCAAATCAAACTTAGCACTATTGAGCACTCGTAAAATGCCTCTCCCGCTTCACGAGGATCACATGTTTTATTACAAGGTTCTGATTGGTTACTCGTACCTCTTGTCCACGTGAAGAATGGTCATGTGATTTTTCTTGCAGTTTGTTTACCGCCAGTGATTTTAAAACCGCTACTAACTTTGTGCTTACCAGAGTATACATCTAACCGCCCACAAACACAAACAAAATAAAAAAAACGAAAACATTTTGAATATTCATTACAGAAGTATGTGCTCCAATGTACTTACATTAAACCTAACTCTAAAAGACTCAAATCCCTACTTCAAACTTTAGGAGCTTAGGTAATTAAGATCGCTTATAGATTAATTCCTCTGCTGAGTTAATACATGTTGACTTCAATAAAAAATTATTTATTCAATGCTTAATTGGGAATAAACTATGGGAAACTGAATTGTATGACTTCCAAGGACTTTACTTACAACATAAGTTGTCAAAAAACCTTGTGTTACTATAACTTTATGTCCAAAAATATCCTAGAAAAAGTTGAAATCCATTTATATTTAGAGATTATCAAAGGCTTAAAAAACTCAACATGTGCATTGTAAACAATGTAATAACGTATTAAATTAGTGCGTATGACGACTGCAAATAATAGACCACGTTGAATGTATCAAAACGTCCAGTACCACACCGAGCCATCCTGGTACAGATCCACTCGCAAATTTCAAACACCCCTTATTTCCCCAAAGTAAACTTGACACAAAACCTCGTTCCATGGTCGTTCATAGACTCGAGGCTGACATGAAATAGAATTGGAGAGCCTCGGCGTCATGTAAACATTTTGATACAAACAAGGATTGCTTGATCTAAGATAAGCGTAATTTGAAAAAAAACTTAACTTACATTACTGATACCAGCGTTCTGTGTAGTTTCTTTGCGTTTGTAACTCGTCCTTGAATACAAATAACATTTTTCAACCAAATAACATTTAAAAAACGTTTCGGACAAATTTTAACTTCATTTTATATTTTTTGTCGAATACGTGATGTTGCTTAAACAAGATATGTTTCTCTGTTCTTAAATTCTATAACCTATAATATGTACAACGAAACGTTCATAGTTTCCTATAACAAACTTCACATGTGCACGAATTATTATATTAAAACCTCTCTGCATAGTATGCAGTTAATTTAATTCCACTTAAAATTATTTGCGACTTGAACTAGCGGAGAGAAGTCCACGAGAACAAAAAATTCGAAGATTTAAAAATTTCACATTTGTATATGTTTTCTATATCGCGCACGTGTGTACAAGATTTGAAATATTCTGATCCGATTGTTATTCTTTCTCTTGAAAATTGCAAACTTTTAATATGTATTAATTTATCCAAACAAATTGAAATGTATGTTCTTCTTTCTCGAGAAGAATAAAGGTATTTCTTTAGATTATGTTATTTCTTTCAATATCCCTAATCAACAAGAGGTTTAGTAAGTGGCTCGCTGCAGTTTTAAATTCCCCTCTCGCTACGCTAAGAAACACGTCCCCTTCGAAGAAAACTTGTCTGGAGTGTTCGACAGAAACAATTTGACACTTCGGGAGTGACCTAACTCTCTTTTCTTTTTAAATTTAGAAAACTTTCAAACCAAAACGAGAAAAATAAACGAAGAAAATATAAATTACATATACCTATATAAACTCCATTGAAGAAAATTGGATTAGAAGCGAATACAATTGTGGTTAAATTTCGCTCGATTAAATCTGGCATTTATAATCTTGAGATAATATATTCCTTCTTTTCGTTTTATACCGAGAATGTTACAATGATGCAGAGAGAAACTTACCGAAAACTCTGTGATTCTTATGAGAAAAGGAAAGCTCTATTTACCTAAACGTCACGTCAAACAGCCCAAAAAAAGGAAAGGAGGAAGAATAAGAAAAAAAAAAAGATTCTAACAATAAGCAGCTTGATTCTTTCCACTTAACTTCAACACTCCCTTTTCCGAAATCAACTTACATTGTAATCCAGCCCATTATTCCCACAAGTTTCTAAATAGGGAGACAGGCTACTATTCTTGGAAATCAGTTTCTTTGCCAGAGTGACTTAAGAAAAGGGAATTATTTCAAGTGCAATACAACTCAAACGCTAGCAATTTTAACGTTTTCGGAAAATAGAGCTTTCTTTTGTACCTGATCATCAAAAAGGGAAATTCTGCTGAATTTAACCTTTCCCATCTACTTTTATAACTAATATTATGTACAAAAAAAGAGGAGTATTTCAATTGATTACCCATTCACCCTTAAAGAGTCAAATACACTGTTAACCTATAGCTGGAATTATTGAGTGTAAACGCTCAAATAGATGCAACCGAACTCTATTAAAACAAGATGTGCTTTTGCAGAGTGAAAGTTCCCCTTGCCAGTTTAAAATGGGTTTTGTTAATCACGACTCGTGCGGTCATAACAAACAAAGAATAGTATATGGTTAGGAAACATCTTAAATTATAAATACCATTTAGTGAGTAAATTGAATTGCCCATGAAAACGATCCCATTTTTACCTTGGATATTATTTATAGCGATTTTGTGTTAACTGAAATGCAAAATAAGTGAGCAAAATTGAATGTTTGGTGTAAGAAAACGCCTTTTTCAATGATAATACTTATTTTCGAAAGATCTTGAAGTTTTACTTCACTCCACTACTTATAATTTGTATATATCTATAACGTTGGGAATAAACTTCGTTTAAGTTAATGAAAAATCTCTTTATACTCACTGCACATTCGAGTTTTAGAGAAAATTACTACTCTTATCTGTGATATACATGTTACATATTTTTATACTTTTTGCAGACATATCACTGCTTTGACTATTCAATATATCTAACCCACGCTCAACGTATTTTAAACCTCAAACTGAACCAATGAAAAATTGTGGAATTGCTGTAAATACAATAAAACCAAACACTGAACCCAACTGGCGACGTTATACTGAAGTGCACATATGACAGTGTTTCCACCTCACCCACAGAAATTATATGGGTCCAAATTTTGCGATACATGGCACAGACATTCCATAGGAAATCTGAGCATTCTCGACGATAAGCCGAAGATTTTCGGTGATCTTTAACTGAAGGGGTTTCTGGAGTTCAAATTACTTTAAGCACTTGTTTTTCTTAGCCCACATGTTTTAGGTTGAGTGAAAACACTGTAAATTTTGCTTACTTTTATACCTGATATAAGAAGTCATGAAAGAACAAAAACCCCATAGAGAGCCGGGTCAGTGGGTATGAACATCAGTACAAACCACGTGATATAACTCAATAAAATATAAATTCGATAATGGTTACTGGACATCAACCTGTTACCTGGTGGAGACATTATGTGGATTTACTTGAAGCAGTCTCCAGGAATTAAGCCGCTGTGTAGATTCAGCTTGTATCTACTGATTATTCGCCAGTCTCCCTAGGGGCTTGAAGTTGTCAGCTGTTCGGGACTCAGCCCATTCCTTTCTGCGTCCCCATTTAATTCTTTTACGCCATTTGTCACGAGGCTGATAGGGCTGGTCGCTATGCATCTTGGGTGCACTGGTGAGCCAATTGGACCTAAGGGATTGGCACCGTTGCTGACAGCAACCGCTGCGGCAGCCACTGCGGGCGCAACCGTTGGAGCTGTCGGCGATATTGAAGAGCTTGGGGAGAAGGCAAGCTTCAGCGTATAAGACCCACCACCTGTAAGAAAATGAGTCAATATATAACTGCTTTACCTATAACATAACTACTGCACATACAGTGTATTTAATGCTGGTGTTCTTAGTTTGGTGACTGTGAACTTTATATGCTGCGACGATGAACCAAGAATTCACTTTAGTTTTACCAAATCAAATTGTTAGAGAAAACCCTTTGTACAAGAATTTGTTTGTAAATGTTCAGATCTGACTTCAAATTTCGCGATAACTCTGGGTTACAACCCAGGCAGAGATGCTTAACCATTAAACTAATAATCTCCACACTGTTTTCATAACTTTCTTATACTACTTACAAAGACAATTTGTTAGACAATCAACTTTGGTAATGACTTCCTTTATTCCCTGATATTATAGGGAAAGCCGCTCATCAGCTATGAGATAGCAGTAAAGAAAAGTAAGTACGTTCATTACCTGGTGGATTGATGGTGAAGTGGTTTGTAAGCGTGAGCGCCTCCATAGCTGAACGGATATCTGGCATCTCAAGCAGTCCTGCTGATGACTTTGCATTGGCTAAACAAAAATGAGGCCTGTTAAATTGACTTGCACCAAATTGAAAAAACAGTACATCCCCATTGTCAAGGAAAAATCGAACGTTTACACTGGTCCAACAAAGAAGCGTAGTTTCTAGAAAATTTGAGCTCGCGACACTCCCACCAAATTGTACAATTTATCTCCTTTATCTCCTTCGTTTGCCTACATGATATTTTAGACTGAGAGATGCGTCCAAATCTAATTTGCATCACCAGGTAATAATATCGCAATTTACACGTAGAAAAACAACTTACACTAGCGTACGAATCTTGCAGCGATTAGTCAACGCGATTACACTTCACCGAAAACGTACTGAAATAAAAGTTAGCCTTGCTCCAAAATTTGCTCATTCAGTTGTTCCTAGGGACCTTCATTTCCGTGTGCTATCGGCGAAGGATGAGTCAGATTATCCTGTTTAGGGCATAAAAACGCTTTATTCTCCTTAACAGCTAAAGTAATAAATAACACATCCAGACTAACCTTTTGAAAAGAACGTTCCTTTAAGAGGGGACAGTGATCCCGCTGCAATGAAAACCTGAAACGAAAATACTTCGAGTCAAGTTCAGTATCTCAGACTGTAGCCTGACAAGTCATGTCCTTCAGTGTCGCGATTGGTTTGACTCTGGGAATATATATCTGAAATCAAAACTCACCTCTTTGAGAGTTTCTACAGTGCAGTTTGGAGGCGCATTAAAAAAGTGAAGCATTCTTGTGGGTGGTTGGTATCCTATATGTCGGTTAAGGAAATTTAATTACGAACACTCCTACCTAAATCTACGCCATATTTCACTTACGAATTTTTAGAGTGATTTTATTCACCTGTAACTTCAGAAGTCGGCGCAAGTTTAGTACTAGACAGAAAACGTTTTGGTGGTGTTAATATGCCAGGCTGTAGCGGCTTGTAACTTACTGATTTTGCATTTCTTGAGTCAGCTAAACAAAAATATTATGCTCACGAAAAAGTATTTTCTGCACTTAGATATTCTGCCAAGTTTTCTGAGGTCAGATTCATTAAGCCCAATAATCAGAATACATCTCAAGTTTAGGCTTAAGGTGCTAATTGGTTGACCTTCTCTTGGCCACGTGATTACATTGGTAAATCTAGGTGCTGATTGGATAACTGCTTATAGCCATGTGATTACAATGGTAAACCTACGTGATGATTGGTTAGCTGCTTATAGCCACGTGATTACATTGGTAAATCAAGGTGATGATTGGTCAATTGCCTTATGGCCAAGTGATTATAGTGGTGATCATTCGGTTTGTAATATGTAAATCACTCGCAATATTTAAAAAATATATTTTGCTCTCGTCAAAGTAAAGGATACTGTTCTTGAGACTTTGGCCCTCTGGTAGACTGCACAAACAAAAAAAAGAGAAAATCAGTAACTTCGAACACAACACAGCGGAGCCTAACATTTAAATATCGAACTATAGACGTCTATTATGATTCTTAGGTTTAAAACCTGGAAACAAAGCCTTTTTAATGGAGGAGACCTAAGAAATCTCAGCATTAAAGACATTGCTTATAAACAAGTAAAAGTATAAATGATTTTTCACCATTTAGAACCGGACGTTTGAAATATTGTGTCAAATTCTTTTCGCCCGCTTCGCGGCTTGCTCTCTCTCTCAAGCGGAGAAAGATTTTCAAGAAAAATCTCTGGGACCAAGGTAACGTTCCTTCAACTTACTACTTGAAGCGGTTGTTTCTGTTGTCAGCAAAATTCATGGACGACGGTGTGCCATCGGGTAACGCTGTTACCACAGATGAATCGGCAATAAACGGGTGCTTCGAAAACCTGCCACAGAAACACAAAAAGCTTTCTTAAAAACAAACAAATAAACAAACAAAGACTACCAACCCATTAGGATCCAACGACGGCGACTGCATCGTCAAAACATTCATTCATTCATTCGTTCATTTTTGCCATTAACCACGTACAAATACAACAACAATATACAAAAATTTATAATACATTAAAGATAATATACACTATTCTAACTAAATTATTTACAAAATTAAATGTTTAAAGTGGTAATGACAAGGGAGCCTATATAGAAGTCGGGGGCTTATAAACTACAGGCTTCCTGGAACTATAGGGTAAACGATGCAAGTTAAGGGTACTGAATGAAAATTTGGATAAATTTTTAAAAGTAAAGAAACGAAAAGAAAAAAGAAAGGTTATGTAGCTCAACAAAGAGTATATTTCACTAACTTAAGGAAGAACGTTCATCACGCTTTTTTGTACATTTCTTTGCCGTCACTGCACGACTACGACGGGATTTCACGTTTCATGGAGGACGTCGAAATATTACTTTCAAGTCTCTCTCTCAACTTGGACATGATTCTTAAGAATTCAACTCCCGTACTGTTTGCCTACATTTGACAAATTAAGTGAGATGGAATAATCGCGATGAAGACTGAAAGAACGCGAACTCATTTTTTAAAAGATGCTTTCGGCGCCTTCGCCGTCCTCGAATCTTAAAGTCTCTAGTTTTTAAATTAGGGTTAGCTACACTCACATGACGTTGATCTTAGAGTCGAAAAGGACGGCTCCACTTAAATTCCTAATAATCATTTCAGAAGCGACTTTGTCCGACATCTGAACCATAGCTGCACCAAGTTTGTTTGTAAGGAACTTAACCTGGAAAATTCAGCACAAATTAATATTTTGTTAGAACCATGTAGCACTAGACATCACTACACTTTTAAAATACAGTGAAATCATTTTTGGGGCACAGATTTCATTATAAGGAGCAGAATGGTGTCTCGTGAGTAATTTTCAACCGAAGATTAAATTTCAAACGTTTAACGGGATTTTTGATTTAAAATTTCTTATCTAGGTTCTTACAGTGAACTTAACCGTGACAGCCTTTTTCTCTTTGCCTTGTTGATAAACTAGAGATACAGTCAACTCTCTCCAAGACGGACACCTTTGAGACCGGTACTAAGTGTCCGTCTCAGAGAGATGTCCGTCTTATAAAGAGTCAAATAAAGGGAGTAAGCAAAGGCAGGGACCAACTCTAGGTGTCCGTTTTACAGAGGTGTCCGTCTTATAGAGGTGTCCGTTAAGAGAGAGTCGACTGCATAATATTACAGCCTTCTGCATTTGTGGAATTTTGTGTCTACAAATTTAATTGAATTTGTATGGCAGTTCACATCATCTTTCTTCCATGTTTAATTCCTTTCGTGGGGTAAAATAAACTCAACAAATTGGTCTGCTCCAAAAATCCATGCATCGAATTTCGTGTTTCTGTTTGGATTGAGGTAGCCTGGGTACCAGAGGCTTTTCTCGCGTACGGCGGGAATTTTCGGTGTTGGCCGAAGGCCGAAGCCGCGAGAAAAACCTTTTCGCGCGGGTCACTATAAAGACTTGACAGAAACCGGAAACCGCGCTAGAAACGTCTCTAGCACCCAGGGTAGGATTGAGGTTGTATTTACCTTGACAACATTACCATACAGGCAAAACAAGTTGAAAATTCTCTCACAGTTCATTTTTTCAGCATTTAGACCGTAGACCATCAACACACAACCCGTGCCACCTTAGAGGAGAGACGGAGAAAAATTAAGGTATATACCTGATTTAAAAAAAAACACTGTCAATTAAAAAGTACAAAGGAGAGTCGACACGCGCCTGACCATGTTGTATAGGATCTACTAACAACTTAGTTGCAGTGAACCCAGGCGACAATTTGCGTTCTGCAACCCGCAGAAGTAGACATGTCCACGATCACTCCTTCATCCCAATTTCCACCTCTTCAACCTCTCACAGACTGTCTTTCTATCCAAGAACTACAGTTCAGTAGAACTCACTGCCTGCAGATGTCTTTACCCTCTCCGCTGATCCTGCTCAGTTCCAGGCCAGTGGTCTAGAATCACCCATCAACAGTTGGAGTGATTTTGGACTCATTTTCTGATCATGAATTGAGTTACTAACTAATCAACTAGTTACTAGTTATTTATGTTTTGTGTTTTGTTTTGTATTGTTTTTTTTTTAACCACACCGGCTAATAATCCTCTTTTTGAGGGGTTGCTGTATTGGTAAACAAATGAATAAATGCGTACATTTTTGTTTATTCATCTAGTTACTTATTTCCTTAATTAAATTATGCTTTTAAAACTTCTAGTATGGTTAATTAAAACTGTTTTGGGAGCATACTCATTGAAGATTAAAGATTAAAGCTACCGGTCATTCTGTTTGTATGTGAGCCTCCATAAGCTTTTACCCTAACAGTCAATGCCTTGCTCTATTTCCCCAGGACAGCCCTTTGTTGGTTATTAAGCTGTAAACACAAAAAAATGTCATACCTGCATTCAAAGCATGTGAAATGCCATTTAACTGCTGTTGTTGCTGTGTTAGTCCAGGAAGAGAGCTCAGGATTCCACCCTGTGGAGACAGCTGGTATGGCGAGCTTCCAAGAATCCCGAGCTTTTTGACAACATTCTCCACTGGCGATGTGCTGCCTGTTGAAAATAAGGACAAAGATTGTACAGCTTGACGAACACCCAAGCTAAGTTTATTACACCATAACATTTAGCAACTTTAGAAATTTATAATCAAGAATCTTTTACCTGATGTTGGACTTTTAGGGGGTGGAGTACCATGAAGAGAAGCCACTTTAGCCAGAATACCTGCCGAGAAAGATCATCAAGAAACATGCAAACATTAAAGAGCGACCATTATATTCAAGCCCCCAGTCTTAAAAATGGTCATTCAGCGTACTGATACACGTACAAACCCAGTTAAAGGTTTATTCAATACCTTTCACTGCTATGTATTCAAACTATTTCTCTGTTTCTGATTGGCTAACATTTCACGTAATTTTTCATAACGTGGTAATGCTGAACAAAATTGTAAGATTTATGTCAAATGTCCAATGATGGAAAATTTATGGATAAATAATATTGAGTGGTCACCACACCGGGTTTCTAAGACAGACATTTAAATACTTGGACAGAGTCTTCATACAGCTGTAACTGTAGGATATAAAGTATTAGTAAAACCCAACTAGTGGTCTATTATCAATGCTGCATCCTGATTGGTGGAGCTACTACTAGGCTATATGTTATAAAGGATTAAAAGGATTAAAAGTCTAGCTTTAACTAGCTAAAAGTTTTTTATTCTCGATATTTTGGACCAACTAGTTGGATTTTACTAGGACAATTATTCCTCTCGCCCTCATGGCCTCTGAGTCAATAGCCAATTCGGGCTCAAGGAATAATTGTTGAATATTTTGAACAACTTCAATATCATTCATACTTTGTACGGTAGGAAACTGCGCTGCTCTTGCAATTGCTTCAGTGGAGATAGATAGGGCTGAACCATTCACACCTACAATATGAAATATTTTGAGAAAATAGGATGAGTTAGTGCCACAGAAAAGTTTCAAAACAAAGTTAAAAATCTCAGGACATGTGAAGCAAGGCCATTATTATTGTCAGGGACTAAGCAATACAACTGGTGTCAGCTTTCTGATGGAAACCATAACATTACAATATTTGTTACTCACTCATTTTTCCATTTAGTAAGATACTATCCGGTGGTGAACTGGACAGCTGAGGTTCACTTGTATCATTTCCTGAGAAAGTTAATTGAAAATATAATTATAAAAATGCTCAAAGAAATTGGTGCATTATGACCACCTATCAAAGTTCATTGTATTCCCATAATGCAAAGCTGCTGCATCCACTCCAGCCTACCAGCAGATGCACACTTTTTGCCAAGAATATGCAATCATTCTCCCTGCAATTAATGAAGGAGTGCAAAAGTGAAGTTATATGTGCCAAGCGATGTCCCCTCATACTGCAGTGAGGCCAATGTACACAGCTTAAGCCACTAGAAAAAGTGTGCACAAACTACTGGATATTTTTACTCTCCACTTCAAAACACTGTCAACACTTTAATTCGATTCTGACAGGCCAATTGTGAACTAACCAATCACAATAAAGCTTATAAGACATGAGAAAAGTTCAAAACCACAAACTTATTACTGTTGCTGGCTGTTTGAAACTTAGAGCAACAGTGGCACAGTGTTGAGAGCACTTGCCTCCCATCAATGTGGCCCGGGTTCAAATCCTGGCATCGACGCCATATGTGGGTTGAGTTTGTTGTTGGTTCTCTCCTTTGCTCAGATAAATTTTTCACTGGGTATTTCGGTTTTCCCCGTCCCTCAAAACCAAACACTTCCAAATTCCAATTCGACCAGGAATAGGGCAGATGAAGAACCACTAATAGTAAATGTGCTGCCTCTAAAATCATTATTTATTTATTTAGTTAGTTAGTTTTCCTTCAAATGATAGACCTTTTCCTTGCCTTCAACGACAATCTGACATTCTGGTAAGCAAAAACCTACCTGAAATTGCTGACAGCAGTCCTGAGCCCAGGAGCGCGGTCTTGCTTGGAATTCCTGTTCAATAACAGTAAGATGACAAGATTGACAAGGCTGCTACTAAGATTTCAAGTTGCCAGGTATATGTAATTAGGAGGGGAATGAGCAGCTATGAAGTTCTTTTGGTTTGATTTTTCTTTTGCTTCCTGTGAAAAGAGCTGGGGGGTTCATGCTCAGAGTAGCTTGGGGACAACTGGGCACAAACCAGTATATTATTTCTTGTTAAACATGCAACTATTAAAGACAATACAAAGGCATACATTAGCTGAGGCTCCCGCTTTTACATTTGAGTGTATAAATTTTACACGTAAGTACCCGTGCTGGTTAGCTGTTATGTTTAAAATACTAGCATCATTTAGATAGATAAGAACAGAATGCTGACATTAAATGGTTAAGGTTGCCACTTCACAAACCATCTACAAAACACATTTTGATGGAAAAAAAAGGAATGGCAATGGTTAGAAACTGGTACATCTGTAAGTACTGAAGAAGTATTGCAGGAGTTCAACAATAGCTAAAATTCAAACACAGACCACAATGTTTGGTTAACACAGTTTATTGACAAGCTGACCAGACTAGAAATTAAAAAACTACAACATTAGGGGTGGAGTTGGCAGGGAAATGTTGACTAGTGCCGAACTGGTTGAAAGACTAAATGATCTAAAAGACAATCTTATGCCACAGTTACTTCTTCTGACAGCTACGGTGGTGGGGGAAGGGATTCTTGACTGGTAAGTACCCATCATCACCTCTGGTGATAATAGTACAATATTAAATAATCTATACAAAGTTACCTGAATTGTTGTTCAGTGCTCCAGTATAATCCCATGTTTCATCATCATTTTTAAAAACATTCAACTTCTTAGCTTTCTGAAAATAGCCAATGATAAAAAAAGAGAAAAAAAAAACAAGTTTCGAGATTTATACCAACTACAACTACCTGTAACACTGACCTGTCACTAATATTTTGAGATAATTCATTGATTAATTACGACTTTATAAAATTTGTTAGACTAAGAATGCAACTTTTTCTTGTGACACCTTGAAGAGTCAGACCTTTTGTACATTTTAGTTTAAAAAGTAAGATCTACCTGCTTCTAAGTTACGTTCTTTTTTAACCGAGCATCAAACACGACCTTGTAATTATCTTGGTTTTGCATTAATATTGTATAAAAAGTAATGAACAAGTAACCTTTTATTCAAAGTTGCAGTCTACTAACAACTATTCCTCAATAAAAAAATTTTAAAAAAAATCACTGAAAAAACTTTTATCTTGGGAACATTAATTTTAATACCTTTGAATAGTCAATCTTGAGGGTACAGCACCCAGCATAGATGTCCTGTCCATTAAGTGATGCAAGTGCTCGCTCTGCTGCCTCAACATTGTCAAATGTAATGATAGTTAAGACGATAATATTATAATAACTTTGTCTCCGAGTTTTGACTAGAAAATAGTTAAAGTAAATTAAAATTAAAATACAGTGAAACCTGTATTAAGCAGACACCCTCTATAAGCGGACAGTAGCTGAAGTCCCCAAATTTGTTTCTCTGATTTACTTCAAATGAAACCTTTAGTAAGAGGACACCTCTATTAAGCGGACGTGGACACCTAAAAAGTACCTGAAATGGTGATTACTATTGTTGCTAACCTGTATTAAATGGACACTTGTAATTCAATTCCATCACCCAAAACGCCAGGCACCGTATTAAACGGACACTTGTAATGAAATTCCACCACCCAAAACGCCAGACACCAGAGATGCTAAAGATTGACTCAAATTGCCACCCACAAAATTTTTGATTTTTAAATTAAAAAACATGACTTGACAAACTTATTTGATTGGTTTCACAGTACTACAGTATTGTTCTATTTCGTTTTGTTTGTATAGAGCTTGTTTCACTCATCTGATTTCTTCAAATTTGAGTTGCAATCTATGTTTATGGTATTATGATCAATAATAATAGTCCACTTTGATAAAGAAAATGCAAACGTATATCTTCAGAGTCTCAGGAAGTATTCTAAACGTTTCCACTGTTCATTTGAATGGCATTTGACACCTCATATGACGTTATCTATTGAAACCTGTATTAGGCAGACCTCCTGTATTTAGCAGACACTACAGCATTCCCCAAGGGTGTCCACTTAATACAGGTTTCACTGTAATTTTATAAATTTTACCCTTCGGTCTCTAGTCAATAAAGATACACTTGAAATAGTTTTATTAATTCGATTTTAATCGCTACGAGAATAGTTGCTTATTTTAATTTATAGTGTCCCCATTTTAGTGGTTCCTCTACTACTATGTTTGTTTGACACTTAAAAAAAGGTATAGTTTGAATGATAGAAAATCAGACACCAAAGGTGTGCAGTCTCCAATGCAGAAATCAGCGTTAACCCTGTAAACATAATTTTTTCATGCATTAAGTTGTTGTGGCTATTTTTGCCCATTGTCTACTGTTTTGACTATCTTTTAACCAAGGCCAGTGAACATTGCATTATGAAAAATAATCTTTGACATGCATTCCGGAATTTTCTTTTCCACATGATTTTGTTGAGAGTTTTAGATACTCCGGGCAGACACTTTTTACCAACAAAGTACATAAAGTTTGGAAAGGATATTCAACCAAAGCTTGTAATCCATTTTTGTGAAAAATCACAATTCGTAAAACCTTGCCATGGGGAGTGCATATTTTATGAAGCACTTTCTGCAAGGAAAAGGATATTCAAGTGTCATTAAAATAATCAAAAATTTAAAATAATGATGTGATGTAGATTCTATTTCCAGTCCAACAAAATCTTCCCTGAAATTCAAGCAACTACAGCATAACAAAGATTTTTTACATAAGACAAAAAATAACACAACTAATAATATCCAAAGGTTAGGGACTGCGGACAAGTTTCAGGATTCTGATCTAAGGCAAAAACACTGGCACTTTGCATACGTTTCATGTGATAGAAGGTCAGAAAGTGCGTGATCAGGTTGTGAGTGATAGAATGTACAAACATGGGTGATCAGTTGGCATTCTATGCATTCCAGTCATTCTTAGTGGAAGTCCAGACAAATGCTGACTTGATGCATGCCAAGCATGCAGAATAGCAACCTGGAGATTAGGATTGTGGGCCCCTCTTGACACCCGCAATAATTTGAATGCTAACTCACCACTGTGATTGGGTGTAAAGGATTGATGATTGTGAGAAGGAGAATGTTGCTGGCTTCAGAACTTCCTCCATTGCTGTCCCCATTAAGAACTTTATCCCTGAAAAGCAATAAAATCTAAATCTAAATGTCTGATCTGCAAAGGGCAGTACAGCCCATCTTCAGCATCAACATTGAACAAAGCTGGATTTGCCATCAGAGGGCTTTCATTGAAAACACTGCTTTTCTTTTCTTGAAACAAATTTATAATTAGAAACAAAATAACCCAAGGCATTCAAGTAACGACATTGATCAGCTTAAGTAAGAAAGTGCAAATGGTGAAAGCCATCTGTTAAGCACACAATAAATGCAACAAGTGAACAGATTACTGAACTTTGCAATAGCATTTAACCTCTGAAGCCACAAATTTAACCACATAACTACATTTTTGCCTGCATCAATCACCCTAACAGAACTCTCAGGAAACCTTTTCTTCAAAGAATTCAAAAGGCCAAAGGAGCTGTTGGTTGTAATAACCACAGGCTGCAATCGCTTGGTCATGTCCTAACGGTGCCCAGCAGAGAAAAGAGGCCAGCCAAAAACCACCTGGCAGAGAACAATGATGAAAGAGCTGGAAGAGTGGGGTCTAACATGGAGTGAAGCACACACCAGAGCTCAGGACAAGGTTGAATGGTGTGGTTTAGTTATGGTTTTATGTACCAGTCGGGATGAAGAGGTTGAGTGGATGAGTGTAGAGGTTGTAATAAATGACGAATTTTGATTCACTTTGATTGTCTTACTTCCATGACATTGTGATAGGTGGAAGTGAAAAATGTATTCATCGGTTACTCATCATGTTGCTGAAAAGCGCAGTTATTTCCATTTGAAATAGGCCTGGTATATTCATTACTGTGGCTGCTAAACCTTGTGGCTAAGTGTAAGCAGCAGGTCCCATTTTAACAACTGTCACCACTGCAACCAAGATGAGTTAACTTAAATGTTTAGGTTCTTCAGCTTAAAAAAAAGTCGGGAAAGGAAAATCCATTTGATCTGATCTTCAGGTATGAAATTGAGTTAAACAGATCATGTAACTCCACACAAGAGAGGTTATGTGATCATGGAAATCTGATTGGGAATGGGTTTTAGAGTAAATGATGGCAGAAATTTGCAGGGGCAGAGGATGGGAAAACAGGAGGAAGAGGGGTCAGGGGATGGGTGAGGGAGAAAAATATTTTCCCATCTCTTGGGGGAGTATGTGTGGATTTTACTTCTGGAGGTATATCCCAAGTTTCAAATGAAGCACCAAGAAGTTTGCATCATTCATTCAATTCATGACTGAACAAAAAATTAAGTTACATGTATGTTTAACTGCATGCTCACCTCTTAATTTCCTGACTTTTAGAGTAATTCACGAACATTTGTCTACCAAGAACAGTGAGTGTGTTTGACTAAAATAAAAAACATAATCTGCTCAGTCACTTTTCATCATAATTCAATACATGTTTACTGCACATTCTATCTGGACAGCTAGAAAATTTGCATAGGAAAAACCTAAATAAAGAAATGTTGTCATGTTTATTTCACTGTGAGTCTATGCATCTTTGCATGCAATGTTATCTAGCTTTGGTAAAATTATAACAAAAATGTTTAGAAAAACTTTAATCTTTCCTCCCATTCAATGTGTCAGAAAAGTGCAATATTTAGTTCTAATACCTTGCTGCTAAGGAAGAAAAGATTCGATAACAAATCTTCCATTATAGTAACTGCATCTTTTATGCAGGTCAGCAAATTTTTTCATTTCCTTTGAACCATTAACATTGTATTTTTAGATATTATCATAATCACAATAATTATTATTGATGGCATGATACATAAGTTCAAAATTATATTGACAATAAGTCATCATGAAACAGTCAATATCTTAAATTTTTGAATAGCAGCCAATTGAAAAAAAGACTTACCATATAACACGATAAAAAATTAAAGTAAGACTGCAAAAAAGTAATATTTAATTTGTCAAGGCTATCCAAACACTTTGAAAGGCAAAAGAAAACAATATCTATCTTACCTGTGAATATGATACTAAAGCAATGGCAGATTCAATATCCTAAAAAAATAAAATCATGTTAAAATGAAAATTTCTCCACAACTGTAAGTTGCTTTTTTTAATACATGTCATGTGTCAAAGAAGAAACAAGACAACTGAAAACTGAAAATTTAATCTGCCAGTTGGCAGGAAAATGAATAATTATGGTCAGCTACGTTTGATATTGGAAGAGATCCTAGCCAAAGCTGATGCAGCTGAGCATATGATACAATACCAAAAAAAGTTCTTAATTAATTAGGATTAGGAAAGGAGCCTGTGTTAGCATAGAACAAGGCAGAATAGCGTGTTTTAATTTTTTTTCCTCCTGGTTTGTACACCTCTATGTTTGAATTCAACCCAGCCTATCAATCATAAGGGTATACAAATCAAAAGTTGTGAAAAATTCCACATTTAGTTCAGTGAAAAAGTGAAATGCCAAAAAATGTGAAAGTTATGCTGAAGCACATACAGTCAGAGCAACATTATGTGCCTGAATAATAACTAACAATTTGACTCCTAGAAAGAAAGAGTGTTAGCTTCAGTAAAAATGTTTAAACGCAAATACAGGAACTTCTTAGAAAGCAACATTTTTCGCTAATACAGTCGAAAGGATATTAAAAAAGCTCTAAAAAATATTCCATAACAAAGCTACTCTTTACTGACTTTGTGGATGCAACTTGGAACAATATAAAATGGTACATTTTAGAAACAATATTCACAAAACCCCCTGAGTACCTCACCTTGGAAAATCAGGGATTTGAAGAAGCTTAACAAACTACCAGTCCCCAAGGGGCAGGGACAGATCAAGGGGACGTAAACTTGAGGAGCAAGCGTGGCTAAATGTAATTTAGGCGAGGTTAAACACACGACAATGCTGGCCAGTGGTCTCCGTTGCTAATCGTATATGGGGTGGGCTTAGGGCTTTTTCAGAGCCACAGTATTTTTAAAGCGCTCTTTTAAAGATCAAGTTCATTTCGTACACGTTGTCTTTGCTTGTGCTTGTGCCAAAGCCTTTTGGCTCCCAGCCCTTCCCTCACCCTGGGTGGGTCTTGGTAAGTATTTGAAAACTTTCCACCGAGGTTCTCAGCAAGATGGTACCTGGTTGTGCCGCTCACAGGGTTGTCATGGTTACCTTTATGCTCGCTTGCGGCTCCCTCAGTTTACTCGGGCACCTTCCCCACACCCATTTATTGGTGATAGGTTTAATGAAAGCATATGGTCCAGCACTCAAGTGACCTACATCTACAAGTACATGAACCAACTTGAACAAAATACTTGGAAAAGACTGTTGATATTTTCCTCATATTCCCCTTCAATGTTGATTTACCGGAAAACTAAATCAAACCTGTGAAACCAATGTTGAAAGGAAAAGCTCAGGAGAGAAACATGTACATGTAATATGTGAAGACCTCATGCATCCTGTGTTTTAGAGATGCATTTTAATTAACTAAAAACTCTAACCAAGGTTGAAGGATAGGCCAACTTACTTCAAATTCCACCAATGCTTGTCTTATTTTTGGCAATAATGTCACGTATCTGTAAAAGAATAAGAGAATGAACCTACAGAGCTAGAGTAAACTTTGTCACACTTAAGGTGGCTCTGTTACTAATACTGGCACATTGATCTATGACGACCTTTCCAGGGAAAGAACTCCCACCAGCGCTTATTTTGTAGTCATGAACGAAGGTGCTCAACAGTTCTATCTGAGCTCTGATACAAGGAAGCTTACAAGTCAAGCCCGCCTTTAAAATTACCCCATCTTTTTTTATTCCGGTTCTTTCAGCAGTGAAATTCACTGTCAGCTGCCAGCCTCTTAGCTACAACCCCGCAATTTTTTTTGCTTTTATTTCTTGATCAAAGGAGTTTGGAAGTGCCATAGTTTATTCCCTTGTGCAAAGGGAGAGACAAAATTGCCAAAAAAGGAAAAAAACTATAGACTGGGGATTAATCAAGAATAACAAAACCATTTTCAAAAAAGGCGTAGCTGAGTAAATTTTCCTATCAAGCTAAGATTTCATCCTACAATGCAACAAATGAGTTTGATACTACATCCTCTCACCACACATCTTATTGCTCTTTGGCAGCACATGAAGGAAAATTGAAGCTTTCAAATTGGCCATTTTTATTATTCTATTCTTCCTATTATTTATTCAGCTGCCAGAATTCAATTCCCTTTTCCAATCAGTAAGCTATGAAGATATAAAGAACAATATTCCTACATTGTGAACTAAAACAAAAAATTGAGGAATTCTCATCGTCTTATACATGTAGTTGCAATGAAATGGTGACCATAGTACAAATTGCTTATTCTTGAGCACATGTCCAATTAAGGAAATGAACACATTTTTTGTTTTTCTACAAAATGAGTGCCATGACCTTTTAAAATTAGCACATGTTGTCATCTTATCAACGAACCATCTTCACATGTCTCTGTTACAAAACACACATAAACTAAGTGCCTTTACAGTAGTTTTAAAAATGATAATCAAGCAAACAAATTTAGAAGTGGTTATCTGTAGTAGTCAGCTTGAAGCTCTGGCAACAAAGCCCCTAGAAGTTAAGTTCAATAGCCAGCATGTAAAATATCAGTGAATGACTTGCTTGTAAACAGTAAGGTCATCAGGTCAATTCTGAAGGCATCCAAAACTTGGCCAAGATGCTTTAGAATTAATAAGTTGGCACAAACAGATAAGAGGCTCTACAATAACATTTTGAAATTAGCTAAACCATTTTTTTTTTCTTAAAACAAAGGACTATCTGATGAACAAGACTTAGTTTTCAGTTATTCTAAATGCCTTGTATCCAAGTTTTGGAGAAAATCATTGGGTGTTTTAATTTTTCCCTGATCCAAGCGAACCATGTACCAAGAAAACCATTTCAGGGATGAAAAAGAAAACATTCCTAAAATTTTCGACAAGACTCAGAGTCACGACATGTCTTACCAACAATAAGAAAATTCATTTTATCACCATTGTGCAACAAACTGTACAAAATTTTATAGTCACTGAGTGATTCCTTACAGTGGATTAGAAATAGATACAAATTGAATAACAATGAATAATGACAGAAGCAGTATTTAAGAAGCCGCTATTTAGCAACTAATGCAATTTATTCAAAAGCTGAGACCAAATTACCAACATTTTTTGGTAAGTACATAGTTGCACGTGCTTCACAACAGTATCAAACATGCATTAAATTTTGGGTTTCTTTTTCATTCACAGAAGTGCTACATGTAGACTTTGGAACAGGAATACAGTAAACTCAACCACCCTTCCATGTAAGTGTACATGGTGGATGCATTGTGTACGTGTCTCTGAGAAAGTCACACCAAAAATAGCTTTAAAATGGTCAAAAATACAAAAAAATTAGATATCATGAAAGTTTTATCTATAAACTGTCACAAAGCAGTCTTTCTGTCAGCAAGAACAACAGAACAGTAAAATAAATCTATATTATCAAATTTTCATGTTTCTATAGTATTATTTTCTTGCATCTGCTGATAATCATTTTTTGCCAAAAAGGAAATTTTCAGTGATCTTACACATCTTGAATATTGATGAAAAACATTTTTAAATAGCACAGAAATCAGCCCATATTTTTATTTTAGTTTCTTCCAGTCCCCCATGTGACATACACATGATACCAGAGTGATTCTAGTGCGTATCAAAAGCAATACAACTAATTATTACGTGATGGTGATAATGTGTTAATAATAAAGCAAATAAACAGTAAAATTCAGTTTCCTTTCTTTACTGTGTACTATAATAAAGAAATAAAGGCAATGCAAGTGGTACATCACCAGAAAAAGAAAATTAAAAAAGAACTATAACCCGCAACTGATTCCATGGAAGTCTTAGCATTTTATTTTGTGGCTGCTTTATGATCTGCAAGCCAAAAATAATCAGGGCTGGGTATTAAAACAAATTTTAGCCAGTGTTGAACAAAGCTGCACTCTAAACTATCATTCACCCAGAACTGGTACAGAATCCATGAACAACATCAAGGGAAAAAAAGCTCAGACTGGAAAACATTTCAAATTCAAAAGAACTTCAAATAATCCAGTCGGGTCACGCTGATAACTAGAAACTGCAGTCTTTACATGTAAATCAGCCTCCTTGTTTTTGCAAACGATACTCAAAGGAAAGAATATTATTATTATTGTGCCTGACTTTTCCTCAGTGCAATATTTGTCCAGCAACCTACATGTACAACCATCACTGTAAACATTTCTGATAAGAAGATTGTTACAAAATAATAACTGCATTATTATTGCGATTTTCAGATAGATTTCCTTGTTAAAATTATTACAATTTTTGTAAAAATCTTTTGCTGAGACTAATTACTGTAAATGTGTAAAAAGTTACACTGTAGCTATTTTTAAAACATTAAATAATTATAACATTATTAATATTTGCCTGCGTGTAGATGTCTCCTATTTCCTTTCTTGTTAGCACGCAGGCTAAACTAATATTTGCAGCATTTTCCAGTAAAATGTCTCAATAACAAAAGTCATTTTTCATATGTCCATTGTTGAGGAGCAAGAGAATATGCTAAAATTTTTCCCAGAAAGATTTGCTCATTACTTTTGGGGGAAGACTTTATCACACATAAAATTTTTGCAACTTGCTTTATCAAAATAAAATGAACATTGTACATGGAAAAATAACCATTTAGCACCATGAGAGAAAAAGCAGTCATCATACTATTTGTGCAAATATGTTTACAGGTACGTGAATAAAATTACCAGTTTGTTGTGGGTTAATTTTTCCTTTTTTAATATCATTATCTCACAAAAGAGTGTACACAAAACAAAGTAAAACAACACTGAAAAAAAAAAGACAAATTGGAAAAATTATACTTTGTTCTTACGGGAAAGGTTCCCAAATATGGACAAAATTTTAAGCAGTACACTATATATACATGTAATTCCCTTGAGGAATTTTCCACTCTTGAATAATAGGGAATTTATGCAACCACAACAATGATGGCAGTGAAAACGTCACTAATAAAGATATATTTGCGTTCTTTCAAACTTGTTCACGATTATTCCAACCCTTTTAACTTGTCAGGTGTAGGCAAATTTTCCTTGATAATTTCAGGTATTAGAGACCACATTTGAAGACAAATAAATGGAAGAAAAATTTGTTGTTGTTCACTTACCTCCTCCCAAAACCCGAAATTAAGCAATTTCAGGTCGACATTGTGCAGTGTCAGCAAAGAAATGTATCAAAAAGTTTGATGCATGTGCAGAGTCACTGCTTCTCTCAAAAACGTACTGATTTTTAACGTTCTTGTTACCATCAATGTGGGGTTGCATAAACTACCTACTGAAAAACCTTGATATATGCTCCCTACTCATTTGCACATCACTAAGCATATGCTTTCTGAGTTGTTAAAGAAGGAAAACTGATTCAAATGCAGAGACATTTCTTGAATCATTGTGATTATTTCCCACATTCTCATTACCTTCACGTTTGTTTGAGTAGTAATTTTGCCAGGAGAAATAAGATTCTGGTCACTCTTGGGAAACAAAGAGCTATTATAATAAACACTTTCTGTTTTGCTGGCAGAAGATTTTTGTATTGCATCACCCAGGCCTACATCTAAATGTTGCTCACATGAATTTTGTCCTTCAGGTTTTAAGGTCAAAACTAACATTAACTACAGTAGGTCAAGGTCATGTTATGCTTATTACATACAGGCAACAGATTGAAACAGCAACATCAACAAGATACTACATACAAGCTGCACTGTGTTGGGTTCTCATTAGTCAAAATTACACACAAGTAGAATACAACAGACATGCCATTTTTAATTAATAACTTTGATTTATCATGGACGTTCTCTTGGTTTTGGCTGGTGGCAATAAGGAATTATGGTTGCCATGGATAGCAACTCTGTCTATAAGTCTTTTTTTTAAACTCACACAAAGATGATTTGTTAGCATAAGCTGTACTACACGTATTTTAGCGTTAACTGTAAATTCTACCATTATTAATTTCTAAGAGAAGTAAGTTACCACTCTTCTCTCTAGTAAGTTCCTTGTAAAGAGAGAAAAGTGGAATGTCCACACATCAATTTTTGTACCTGATTTTTATGAAATAAATTCTCATACTCACGTTATTTTCCCGAAAGGTTGAAGAACACCTATTAAGTCTGTTTCCTTGCAGCCATCTGCGACTGCTCGACAGTGGATGACACGTGAAGGAGGTGTATTGTGATGTGCAGTTGAGTTACCAGTTAATGATTGTGGAATACTAATGCTTGAGCTTGATGTTAATGCGGAGATTGAAGAGCTTGGAGAGAGCGAATAACCTGAAATAAATGGCAAGTTTATTAGTGAGTGGGCGCAAGTGGTCAACATGTAATAAAACAATTATTCTGAGATTCTGTCAGCCACATCTATTATTTCGCCTGAAACTATCGCAAATTAAACACCCACAGAAATACACATGAGCAGTGCAAAACACTGATAAATTACATAATGTACTGAAACTCTAGCCTGCTAGCTAGATGTAGTATAAAATATTATGTTAAAAGGTCCAAGGGATTCAGCCAACTGTATAAATAGTACAATGGAAGGACCTACTTGTGCAGGAACTTGGCTAAGTTGGAAAAGCATGCACAGATTTTTGAAAATCAGGATTTTGTAATAAACTAAGCCACCCCTTTCACATTTATTCACCATAATATGCAGCTGTGAACCTGCATTGTAATTCAGTATCAAGGCCCCAAACCATGGGGATATGGCATCTAGCATCACTGCAGGTTGCTTTTCACACCATTAAATTTTAAGTAACACAAAGCAAGAAAGAGAAAATTCACTCTCTCAGGCAAAATGGGTTTTTGCCTTGAGGCATTCCCTCTTCACACTTTTATTTGCACCTACTATGTACTGCACTGAAAAAAAATATAAGAACAATCAGAGAACCATAAATCAAAGCAAGGTTGGGCATTTCAGGGAAATAACATCTGCCTATGAAAGCAATCAATTTTTACAGTCAGCGTTTTGTCTAGCTACAGGGATGCCTTGGAAAAAATCATGGCAGAGATACTGGAAGCATTTTACCATTAATATCTGCAAACATTTGGATGAAATTTCAATAAAAACAATATTGGTCACCAAAGTGCACATTTAAAGGGATAATTTAAGACAACAAAATTTCTCAATGAACATGACATGTAAAACTAAAAATTAAGCTCTTTTTTAGCTGGATTTGTAACAAAAAAAATTGTTCTTCACCATAGCAAATGAAATGAGATATTTGTGGTAATAACTGAAAAGCATACTATGATAAAAATAATTGAGCAAAATCAGAAACAGCTGATTTTTATAACAAGACTTCCAACTTATAACGACCTTAACCATTCTTTTTCACTTATTACAAGTTCAGCTTTATTGAAAGACTTGTAACAGCAACAAATACTTCACTAGAAATTATGATGATAATACACAAAAAAAGATGGGCATCTTAGCTTTACTTTTCTGCAATGAAACACTCTCTCAGATAACAATCTTGAGAGGTTAAAAGAAATTTTCATTGATCTGAATCTAAGAAGACATTTTTAAATCACAAAATAGTAATTTTGCTTGGTATGAAGTAAACACAAAATTACAAAAGCTTGGTATAAATGAAAGCAGAGTCTGAATCTGATGCAAATTTGCAAGTCTGTAATATACTTTGGTCTGATTGGTTGTTAACCATTTGAGTATTCAGTAATACACATGTATGTTGACCCAGTTTCACAGCATGTGATTCTTGGAATTGAATAATTGAAGTTGCCCCAAGCCTAATATTATCATCTTCAAGAAAGTCTTCCCTGCAACAAAGGCCTTTTTCAATGCAACATGGATTTTAATATTGACTTTTTTTTATGGACTTGCCATTTTGTGAGAATTCGAAATAATCATAGAGAATGTGTTGAGTGTAAATTCTCTCTTCTGTGATATCAGGCAGTCTTGGAATTTTTTCCCTGTTTGCAGTTCTAAAATAGAACAGACTAAAAAGCTTAAAAAGAAGTGTTGAACAAAAACAAAACAACATAATTATACATTTTATATTTACCCTAACAGTGGAGATCTGAATACTCTTGTATTCAGTCTCAAGAGTTCCTAATTAACAAATTCAACCTATGAAAACAACTTGTGGCAATTTTCTTTGACTGACCAATGTTCACTTCTCAAAAATTCGGCCTCATACCTGAGCTTTTTTACAGCTGAACTTGGCACAATAATTTTAATGAGGTGGAATAAAAACGTTCCACTTAGAAAGGCTCAGTAATGACAATACTGTTGATTGCACCGTACCCTTGGGAAATCTATATTGATTTAGCATTAGGTGAAACAAGGGTATGGGCAAACAACATCGCACGGACAAAATCACTGCAGGCCGGTTCCTTGGTTTTACCAGATCAAAGAACAACAATCCAAGAATTAAATCCCAAGGCACGGCCTTATTATTGTGATATGGATCAGTGATTTTCAATTCCCCCTTGGATCAAAATAACAAAGGGTGTTACGCTCCAGAGTGTTCACTGGAGTATGGAGTACAAGAGTTAACAATTATCTGCTTCAATAATAATTGTGGCCAGTGATCGAGTAAGTGTCTTTTCTTTTATATTTTAATCAATAAAACCGTAGAGAATGCAAGTAGCTGACATTTAAAGAAAATCCATTTATCAGGGTGTCGTGAAAAGACTAGGAAACTATACAGATAATCCGTTACAAGGAAGGACCTGACTCGAAAAAATAACTAGAGAGATAAAGATTGCTGATAGCACATCGAAAAAAGTCTGCTTGACTCCCACGAAAAAGTCAACAACGATATTGCTCTAAGCTTTTCTCATTAACTATTTCCATTCATATCACCAAGGCAGAAGAAATGTACCACGTAAGTTTACGATAAGAGCGACAGAGAAATTTTTTTCTGAGAGAGGAAAATAATCCTTTATGTCAAACTATTAACGCAGATGCATTCCGCGATGAATACAGCTGTGACCGGGCTCAAGTATCAAATGAAAGATATATTTCTTTCATTATTTCAGGAAGACGGTTTCCAGAAATTGCGTGGTCAATGAGCTCGCAGGAGAATGACAGGGGCTATAATGCAGCATTCAATTGTCATTTCCTCGAGCACGCACTGCGTTTTAATGCTCCCGGCGTTGGAAAGCGGGTTGATTCTTTTTTAAACCCAAGCGGCACAACATTCATGGATTATTGACTAAACGTGACATTCATTTAAAAATAGATGAATTTCCAAGTTTAACAACAATATTGAGACAACAGACACGGGAAGCGCAGACGCGCACAGTAATAGAGCACCTAAGAACATTAACCCAGTTTCGTGCACGCCCAAAGTCAATCCCGAATTTCATCGCTAAATCTCTCACACGGTTCTTTCACCAGAAGTTCTATCTTTCTTTGTAAAAAAAATTCGTTCCTAAACTGATTACCCCAACTTCCACAATGAAACTTAGTACGCCAGCTGAAATATTTATGATCTCTCCAGTAACGCATTAAGCGATATCAGTATTAAAATTTGTGAAGAAGCTAAGCGCATTGCTGCATACCTGTCGTTGCGGAATATTCCGAAGTGAAACCATTTAACGTGCTGTACTGAACGCCGTACGATGCTGGGTATGTGTATAAGGCTGTTGCGTCCGTCTGACCACAAGGATATGAGTACGAAGAGAAAGAATTCGATGTGAAGGTGTACGGGTATGAATAAAATGCTGATGAGTCACTGGCAACTGGCGAGGAATGCGAGCTTGTGAGAGAGGCGACTGCGTCCGTTCTGTAATATCTGGCGAATTTTGATTCATCGAAGTTGGTTGCTGGTAATTCCATGTCCATTTTAGCCCGTTTGTTCGGACTTTCTATGCCTGTCGCGGCTATCATACCGCCAACATCAGCCATGTTTTCAATGAAATGTTTCCTTATAATAACAGCGATTTACTGAGTCAGCGGGTAATATCAAATGCGTCTCGTTCCAGGCTCTCACGTTCTTCAACTATGACAGAAATGATTGGCTGGAGCGATGGCAGAAAATATCAACCAATGAAAAGTCGTGATTCAGTGGGAAGATAGCCAGCCATTTTGCTCTGCAAAAAAGAGCGCCATATTGAAAACGAGAAAATCGTAAATAGAAACGCGATGTCTCGTTCGAGGAAAAGTCGAAAATCTACGGAAAATACTAAAGTCGCTGATCACTCTGATGAGCCTTCTAACTGCATAATCTGTTTGGAAACAGTTTCTTGTCGTGGGAAATTGAGTGTCTGCAATCACTGGTTTTGTTTCCCTTGCATTTTGGAATGGGCAGAGGTTAATTATAAAATTAGACATTGTTGTTGAATTTGTTCAGATTTACTATTCAGACTATTAGTATATGTCTCATTTTGGATTCATGGATAAATGTAAATCAATTATTTACGCTATCATTAACTCGAAGCGTATTTTCTTTCACAGAATACAAATACTTGCCCCATCTGCAAGGCTCGATTTCGTTGCATAACGAAGGTACACAAAAATTACACTTAAAATCTTAAAACTTTAAAATCGATGACTTGTTCATCCGGAGAAATCTTAAACCTTAATGTGGGAGATAATAACGCTAACTTAAAGATCTTACCGCTAATAGTAAACCCTTTAATTGGTCTTAATTCCTGTCCTTACGTTTTGAAATTTTAAGCGTCTTACATTTTAATTTCCACTTTTGGATGCGAAATGTACATCCATTTCCATTTCTCGGTTTTATACCAATTAAGCATAGTATCTGTCAGATAAACTTATGTTCATAAAAACAACAGATGTGAGGCTATGCAGGTGTGAAAAGGAGAATGATTTTTGCATATATTGCACTACTTTTGGAGTTCATAAGTCGGACTTCCCAATGTGTCAGTTTAAAATACTAACCTTAATCTCTTTAGAATTTTCTCGTCTCTAAGTACGGTATGCCTGGATGTTCCAAATCGAAACTACCATCATTAAGTTTATAAGTTGTGAAATTATTTCTTATTTTTATTTGGAATACTTGGCGGTTGTGCTTGAATGCATGGTAATCCAACATGTATTTTGAATGAGTGTAAAACAGGCAGATGTCTCATTTTTTCTGAACCATGAATATTACATTAAATTTCACATTTTCCGGTCTCAGGTACAGTGCATATTTTGTTTAAATATAAGATTATGTGTAACCAATATTTCACCACAATTAACATTGAAAATGACACTTAAGTGTCCAGTGTTTGCAATTTTAAAAGTTTGCACACCTCGAAGATATATTGAATGACCAAATAACCCATTAAGTGTATTACTGTTCCTTTTAGGTTCATTTGAGTCCTTTCAAATCTCCACCAACCAAAGTTCGTGTGGGTGACAAGGATCAGAGAGTGTGGAATGATGACGATGATTTAGTTGCTGAAGATGTTTTTGATGCTCTTGACTTGGTTGAAGATGATTTAGATGATGACTATGAACCACCTATTTATATAAGTAATCCATGGAGTAGGAGTTTGCAAACCAGAGGGCGTCAAAGAGAACCAGTATGTATAGTCAGTGATTTTTGTACTCATAAATAATGTTTTTTTTCAGACAAGTTTAGTGCTGTTTTTTCATACTCTTTAGTATAAACTAAATCAATGATCATTTTAAAATTTGCATCATTAATGAGCATTTGGACATTTTATCAATAACAACTTGTCAGCCACAAAAAAATTTTGAAAAGTTAATTTTGGTGAATAATTAATGATCAATTTGACATTTTGATAGAGTCAAAGAAGAAGACTTCCCCAGACATCCAGGCAGCTGCATCTTGATCAATATGACTTGGAAGACTCCTTCATCGATGACACCGATGATGTTCTTCAAGAATTTCTTTATTCCACTTACAGTAGAGAGATTAGAAGAAACAATGGTAATATTGTGGACCCTGTTATTTCTGATCATGGCGATGATGATGACGATGACCATAGTGAAGAGGAGGAGGAAAGTGACATGGACAGTAGTAGTGAAGAAATAATTGTGGTCCAGAGAGATGAGCCCTATACATTACGTGATAGCCACATATCTCTCCCAGACTCTTCAAGAACTACAACAAACTCCCTTGACAGGTATATTTTGTAAAACCGGGTCAAGGGTCATAGAGAGTCAGACCATATGAGTTTTCTTCTCCATGACTTATAAATTATTATTATATAAACACTAATGAAATACCAGGTGAGTTACACACAGAAATGTTATTGTCACACTTGAAATAAATTGCACCTTGTGCACCAAAAAATATTAAATTGAAATGGTCTGGTATTTCCTGGAGGGAAGGGGGGGTACTTTGAGAAATTTTGGGTGTGGATGTGCCGCTGGTACCCTAGAACTCTTAGCCTATACCAGAGCTAGTTCAAGTGAATTTCACTACCCTATACTAGACTTAACTCCCCAAATCCCCCCCTCCCCCCATCCTAGAGTAGCTATTTTCCAGAAACTACTGAGGTCCAGCCAAAACAAAACCGATTTGATTTTTTTTTCATATTTTTGAGTGGCAATTCCCGGTTTCCTTAGTCTAGACTGAAATCTTCAACCAATTGATCAGTTTCCTGTAAAGTGATACCCTGTCCTAGACATAAACTCTCTGATTTATGTCACCTATCCCAGAGTAAACTGCTTGAAAACCATACCCTTCAGAGCGGCACATACCTATATAGCCGATATATGGCAGTAGCACCCAGGGGTATATCATTGGTGTTTGCATAATAAAAAGAACATTACATGGCCAATTGGAGATACAAAATTTCTTTTCTCATGTTGACATATTTCAACACTGAAGGGGATATCATTGGTGTTTGCATAATAAAAAATCAAATATTCAAATCAAAATATAAAGAATAAGCACACTCATTTTCAGACCTGGGTCCTGGCTTTACGGCCTGAAATCAAATATTCCAAAATTTTGTTTCCATTTTGTTTCACTAACTAATAGTTTTATCATGCTAGATGCAAAACTATTGAAACCTCGATTTTTAATGTAAACGGAGACAGCTTACCAGGCTCGTTAATTATCGGGACTTTCGAGAAATGGGCCCCTGGCCCTAGTTGTTCAAAAGTTGGATAGCTCTATCCTCTGCATAAGTCGCTATCCAGTGGACAAGTATTAGGAAAACCAACATGGTGTTATCCACTGGATTAGTGATGTATCCGAATAAGAATGCTATCCACCTTTGAACAGTTTGGGCCATAAAATCCATATCCATTTTCAAACCCATCACCTTGTCCAAGTAAAGTTAACATATCATTCCAAGGAATTTTTTTAGTTGCATTTGACACTGGACGTTCTTATTCATATAGAGCTGAAAAGACAACATGATTATTCCCTCTCTTGGTTCCCTTGAAAATCATACTCAGGATGGTCAATGGAAAATGTCTGGCCAAAAATATGCTTTGTCCTGTCAAATCCTTGGATGAACCAGGCTTTTTTTCTTGTCATGTATGCTTGCAATGGAAAAATTGAATTCAGAACATCAGATTTTAATAATACTAAGGCTGGACATTATTGGTGTTCTTGGAGAAAAAACAGGAAAAGAAAGATACTGCTAGAGCATGCATTTATCCTTTTGAAAAATAAATGACTCATAATGTTGTTTTTCAATTTCTGTTAGTTGCAATTTATTGCTTTCTTATCTGTGAAGTCATTAATGTGCAAAGTTAGGGGTAGCATGTGCAGTGGTGTGAATTTATATTGTTGTAGTCTATGTGGATTTCACTGTGAAATATGATAATCCTCGATGATGGTGTAATATTGCAAGGATGTAAAACTAGCAGCATGCCAGGAGAACTGGAGAACTAAAGAATGTAACTGAAGAAACAGTTGCATGCACAAAAAATTATAAGAGCTTTCCAATTTTGCTAAACATTGCAGCTGTCTTGGCAGGTGAGGGGTGGGGGGGGGGGAGGCACGGGGCACAACACCATGCATTTCATGCTTCCTGCGAGGCTTCATTTACAAAAAGAGCATGGTAAATATAGTTGTTTGTTATTTAAACTTCAGGCCTAAGTTGTTCAAAAGCTAGATCAGAGAGTGCTATCCAGTGGATAGCGCTATCCACCTTTTGAACAACTGGGACCAGGTGGGAGGGGACTCTGATAGAGATATACGGTAATGTACCGTAATATATATTTGCCTGCCCAAGGATGAATATTCTATTTGTTTATTCCACTTACAGTAGAGAGATAACAAGGGACAGTGTTGTTGTTGATAATGATGATGGTGAAGAGGGCGAGGAAACTGACACTGCAAGAATTAGTAACAAAATTGTGGCACAGAAAAACAAGCGTTATCCTTTACGAAACTCTTCAAGAACTAGAACAAACTCCATTGACAGGTACATGTACATGTACATGCATTTTTAAAATAATTAAATTTGTTAAACCAGCTCAAGGATCAACTTTAGTAACTCAAGTTCTCTTATCTGTAACATACAAGTAATGACTTAGTAATAAGAGTAGCAATATTAAAATTATAAAACAAGCCAATTGTTTCAACACTACAGTGACCTGGACAAAAACCCTTTTTACAGTCATGTATGTTATTATTAACACTAATGTCTTATAATGTGCTGCTTTTGAAATAAATTTCAAGTAGTACATAGCTACACTCACTTGTGGAACCCTACCTTAGTATAACAAAAAAAAATTCACACCAGTAATGAAAAAATGATTTGATCAGAACCAATAACCTGACAAAAACATACTGACATATTTTAGTATTAACACACACATTTTCTGAGTGGCAGGTTCATGTAGTACTATAAGCAACACGTCAACTTCTCACTGTGTTTTTTTTGTTGTTCTTGTTTCAGACTACTTCAGCTAACTGAAGAGCAATCATGTGGTTCACCAGCAAGCAGTGACGGCTTCATTGTCAGTGATAATGAGTCAGATGGTTAGTTTGGATTTTATATTTAATTAGTGGTCATGCCTGTAATATTACAGAGTCGCAGCTGTCAAAACCAAGGAAGGAGATAAAGAGAAGGCTCTTGGCAAGAAAAGCGTTTTGAAGCTAATACCTGTATGGCAATTGAACAAGGTCTACTGTAAAACAATATGATGCCTAGAAACCTGGTGTATGACTTGAAAAGACTCAGGCACTGATGTTGATGATGATGATGATATTGTTGTTAGGATTATATGAGAAGGTAGGCTGACCTGGCTTGCCAAGATCCCAGTTGTTTGATCCAGGATCTCTGCAAGCTTGCTTGTCTGCCTCCTCATATAAATGCAACAGACGTTTTATTTTTTAAGAGGAAACAAGGTATGAGCCGGGCTAGCTTTTAAAGGGGGACAGCGTGGCTAACTGGGTTGGTTCGCCTCATATTAACAGGTCTCAATGCAGCCACAAATTCCACAAACAATGAAATCATAAGTTTCTCACTCAGCAGCCATGAACTAAACTGTGAAGAGGCCAACCTAAATCACTCAGGTTTAAATTAGGACAGTTTTGTTCAAGAGTTTTGTAATTTTTTTGATAAACGTTTACATTTATTCATTGTAAGTTATCTTGCTTTATCAATTTTCACTGAGCACTGCTTCTTAGAGTTATTTTAATAAATTTTGAGTTATTTTAAAAAATTCCATATTATTCCACTTACCTATAATATATATTTATAACTGATATCAGCATTAAGTTAAGGATTTTTTTCCTTTGTTTAATGCAAATTCTGTACAACATATTTTTTTTAAGGTTGTCAAATTTAATGTCTCTTTTTCTTGTTCTTTAGATGATCTTAGCAGTGATTGGATACCATCTAACAACTACGGTAAGACTTCAAGGAATAGATGCAGAAACAGAAAGTCGAGTGGTATTGTAGGTATCTATTGGTAAAATGTAAATGCGTTTGTAAGTATATTTTTATAAGGTGTTTTTTCTAACTTTTTTTATTTTTCTTTGTTCTTTAGATGATCTTAGTAGTGACTGGCTACCATTTGGTAATCATAGTAGTAAGAATTCAGGAGATAGAAGCAAAAACAGAAACCAGGGTGAGGCAAACTCAAGGAGGCTAAGATCCAACTCAAAATGGCCAGCTGGACCATCAAGCACCAGACATTTCAAACAGTCGCGGAGAAGCAAACAAGTTTCTGATCAGATTCAAAACAACAGTAAAAGGAAAAGACAGGTAAGAAACAACTACAGAAAACCTTGTACATAATATTAATGACATGTTATTATTATACTTGTAAATTATAAATGTGTTTCTTTAATTTGAAGTTATTTTTAGAGTGTAACAAACTCAATTGGGACCACTGACACTTTGAAACTTAAACATATAAAAATATTTCCGTGATTGGCTTATGACAAATTGATCAAGTCAGACTCCTTTGTTAGTATGAACTTGACCTTTGATTGGCCAACATTAATGTTAAGTGGTTCCAATTTAGTTTCAGCACTTCTTAAGTCTAAACTCTGGAGTGTTATCCTTTAGCACTCAGTCTTTTTTCACAAACCCACTTTTTGGAATATTATTGTTGTATAGACACTGTTTCCCTCTGCCTTAACACAGGGTTTATTCTACCTCCCGGCATGAAATCCCAATCTCCTTTCCCTCCGCTCAATTAACACTCAATCGGTTTATTCTTCGATTGAGTTCACTATTGCAACTCACCGGAAAAAAAATCAATCGAACCCAATCCACGTTTGATTTTCAAAATTTATGTAAAACAGACGTTGAAAATCCATTACCAGATAACAAATGGGCCCTACCTGAAAAAATTCCGCAGAATGGATCTTGGATGTCTTAAATGTATAGGGCTGGACTGATGTTTTCAGGGTTTGTTCTGTTCTCTTCTCTTAACTACCGTTTATAAATGGGGTTTGTGATATTGAATAAATGAAAAACTTGCTTGGTTGCTTTGGGCTTGCTTTGTATCAGTCAGTATTTAATTGTGTTCGATTGATTGGTTGACTGTCATCAGACGGATTGAGTTCGATTGATCGATTTGTTCGATTGGTCATTTGTTCGAAATCAAGTTCGACCAATCAATCGAACTCAATCCACGGATTGAGTTCGATTGAGTTCGACTGAGTTCGATTTTCGAACGTTCGATTTACTATGCCGGGACTACTACAGGATTTTCACTCCACACAAAATTTATGCAAGTATGACATGGGCTACCTGAAAAAAATGGATCTTGTGTCTTATGAGGGGTGGACTGATATGTTGGTTGACTCTTGGTCAACATATCGGTCAATATATCGGCCAAGACAGTATTGGTTGACTGTCAATAGAGTACGGGTCATTTGTCGATCAAGTACCAATCGAGTATCAGTCGAGTATCGGTTGATATGTGGCCAATAGTCGGTCTCTGATAACAATCGGTCGATAGTCAGCCGATACTCAGTAGATAGTCAGTCGTTACTTCACCAACAGATCACCGACATATCACTGACATTTCACCGACACTTGGCCGACACCTCAGCTGTGGTGACAAATAGACCTTTTCTAGATGTGCGTCAGTAACAAAGTTGATGTAAATTTTGATTTCTCTCCATTGTACAGCAAACCTCTATCAGTGATGAAGAATTGCAAGAGTTGACATCTTCAAAAGATAGACAAGTTGAAACTCTTTCATCAGCAAATGGCTGGATCAACACCGCTAGGAAACAAGCAAGAGCTCATACTTCAACTTTATCATCTTATCAAAGAACAAGGTGTAACTTGTTATGTATTAAAAGATAAGTTACCCTGATCCCCCTGATTCATATCCTCATTGACACCCACTGAAACTGGGTTGATCGATGTCTTTGTTCACTTGATACTAGTCAGGATTTGAAAGACTAAAGCCTTGCGGAGGTGACTTTTAAAGTGCCGTAAAATTCCGAAAATAAGCCCCGGGGCTTATATTTTTCAAAGGCTTATTTTTGGAGGGGCTTATCTATGGATGGAAATTTGCGTTTCAAAATCAGTTGGACTAGCCTTATAGTTGGAAGTAAATTTACCGTTTTTGCTTGTTTTACTTTCTATTTGAGGGCAATTCCAAGTACAAGCCCCTGGGGGCTTATATTTGGAGGGGCGATTTAACGGAGGGTTTTTCGCGTTACTGGTTTGGGGGGCTTATATTTGGAGGGGCTTATACATGGAGGGGCTTATTTTCGGAATTTTACGGTATTATGAAAAATACTGTCCACACTATCTAGAGGGGTTGCCATAGTGAATGTTACTGGCTGTTTGGTAGTGGAGTACACGTTTGGTTCATCCATTGTTATTCTTGTGTCTAGTTGTGATATTGTTTCTTGTAGTGTTTCTTTCCGTTCTCTTTTATCCTTGTTTACTTATTGAGTTTTCTTTTATCTTGAAGGAAAAAGGCTTCTGTAAACGTAAATAGATCAAGGAATACAAGAACAAAACCAAGGAATCCTGTTGAAAGCAGAGAGAGCTCAAGCGATTCAGATATGGAAGTTCTGGGAGATAAGACTAAAATTAAGGAACTACCATGTCACCAGCGAAATAACCAATTCAACAAGGTTAATAATCTAGGGATGAAGAAGAAGCAACATATTTCATGTACACCTTCAACATCTTCCTTCATTGCAATGAACGAAGTAACACCCAACAACTCCTCTGATGATGAAAGCAACTTATCTGATGCTATGATTGTTCAACCAACCCCTTGCTCCAAGACAACACGATCCATATTCACCAAAAGAAGACACAGGTCTCCTATATCTACTTTTGATCAATTAGATGACACAGAAGAGCATCATCTTTGCCTGTTACAAACACAGAACAAGAAAAGACACTCGCCAAAATGCACTAATAGGACATTAAATACTCTGGGAAGGAAAAAGACAAAGGCTGCATTCACTGCAGCACTCAGAAGTAATGTTCAGATTACACTTTCCCCATTTGTGAACACAAAAAAACAAAAACGAAAGAGGATTAAGTCCATAACTAGTGACAGTGACTGATTTATCAATTTAACTTATAACAACACATTATTGAGTGACTGATCTGTATGTACATGTAGTCACTGTATTAGTTTACTTGATTTTCACATTAATTCTATGATTGCTGTATCCACTCTAGCTTATACCATCAAAAATCAATGATGCATTGATAGCATTTCAATCCTGATTATCTAACTGGGAGACAATCATAAATTCAACACATTTGCAGAAATTTTCAATGCCCTTAAATTTGCAAAGTAATGGACATTAGTACAATATATTGTTAACATAGCTAGCACAACATACCTACATCTTTTGCAGTATAATAAACCATTCATAAAAATAATTTAATTAAGCATGTAGTTTTTTTGTGGTCAGCGACTGGTTTCTTAGCTGCAATTATTGCACTGGCTACCTAGGGGAATTTTTTTCTCCAAAGTCTCATTTATGTTCGTCTCATGTCAGTTGTAAACTCATGTAACAAACCAGCAGGTCAAAAACGCAGGTCTAAGTACAGGTCACAAGTGCAAGTTAGAGTACATTTCACCATACTGTGATGGTAAATAAACAACCTTCTCGCCCTAATCACAATCCGAAATAGAGTTTTAGCTTAAGGGAAAACTGCCTATCTCAGTTATTTATCAATAGAGCAGTTACCTGCACTTGTGACCTTTGTCCCATATTTTGTACTTGTGAGCAACAAACCATATTTCCTCCTGCCAGGTGGAATTCTTTGTCATGTAAAAACATGCCCAATTTGCCTATCGACTTCTACTGTTTCAGTCAGTTAGTTGACATAATTTTAAGTTGAATAAGCTGTTCAACTAAACTGACTAGCATTATTGTTTTACAAACACAGTGTCATAATAAATCTTTTCCTTAACAGACTCCCCTATCAAAAGAAAGACACCTACAGCTTGACCAGTGCCATTTTCAATCAGTCGGGTTCTTGACTATTTTTATGGAGCCTTTTCACTCACATGGCCAGCAGCTATGAAAATTTATTGGGACAAGAGAAAAATTCAGCATTTGTTGAAAAGGTTGAACTCCTACAAGATTCGTTTGGAACACCAAAATAGCCACCATTTCATTGTTCTGGGACACCAATATGGCAGACTTGACGCCATGTGAGAACAGTCTGTTAGGCAACCTAAGGCTCTATAAGGAGAACATTGTATTTATACCAACAGCATCCATCTTAGAGGGAGTTGATTATTGTAGAACACTAGCTAATTGAAAGTTGCGGTTTCCAACACAGTTGCTGCGGCCACACTTGGGGACTTAAACAGGTTATGCAAATCAAGCAAAAACAAAAGATTTTCTTAACCAGGTTAGGCTTGTCACCACCTTGCAGGGTAGTGCAATCAGTCTATCATCTCCCCCTATGGTTTCGAGAATGGTCCAAATTTACCTTACTTTACCAAATCTTGGCTGTACGCAAGCACAACAGTTTTGAAAATTACATCTTTCACTCAAAGTTCAGCCTTTCTTTCTTAATACGATTGAAATGAGACTTTTAAGAAGTCGACCTCTTTTTATCAGTAATACGGGGTCAAATTTTGTCAGTCACTCTAAGGCAAGCAATCGAGGTATAAAACAAAACCGTGCAACATTGAATGATTTTGTGAAAGTCTAAATTGAGTCAGGCTGCTGAAAAAAATTAACCCACTTAGACTCTTTTAACCAGGTTATAATGTTCTGAAAAATGTTTTACAAGATTTTTCAAAAACTAACCTGGTTAACTTACTAAAATTAGTGTTGCTGCAGCATCCCTATTTCAAGCAGAGGAAAGAAGATGCTATCAGTGAGATGTCTTGAAAAAACGCCCCTTTGTTTAAGGAGTACAGCTGTATTGGGGATCTGCACTATTGTCTACCATGTCCAGGGTTTCTTCTTCCTAGACCACTGTAAGTAAAAAGCGGGCATTTATTGCATCTGGCACCCAATGGATTAGCACTCCAAATTTGTTAGAGATCATAGTTGGGTTTGTGTTTAACTTACAAAGGAAGCTCTCTTAACAGACACTCTTGTAAGCAGACAGTTCTAATAATGGCCGCCTTCAAAAAACCATTTTTCTCAACTTCCATATACAAACTCTGTATTTTTACATGCCCATTTCTGAGGGTGTCTGCTTTCAAGAGCTTCCACTGTATGTAATTCTCTTCTCTCCAACATGATTCTCAAATATCACAGTGTTCATTCTAAAGAGTCCAAAATAAAATTAAAGGGTGTCAAATTTTATCTTGTAGCGTAAAAATAAGGTTTCATTTGAATAACCACACAAGTGTAACTTTTTTAAATTATGAATATTAATTCTGAAAGTGAAACTTTCGACCCTAAGATTGAACTGTATCTTTGAATTCACTCTACCACTGTTTAATCAAACTAAAGACAGTGAGAAAACTGGAAGTGATCAAACAAAAATTTGTTCTTTATCATTATGAAAAGAAAAACATGAACAAAGTAGAGGATATGCATACTGTTATAAGGTTTTTGCAAAAGTTAAGGGGAAGTGCACATGAGAAGCTATTAAACACAGGGACTAATTTTTTCAAGGGATTTCCATAAAAATTATTTTATTTTGTGCAGTGTACTCAGCATTAATTTTTTTTATGCTTGAATTTTATTTAGCCTGGGTGCAGGTATTTCTATCTTTGCAACACTAATGATCCTTCTGCCATTTAAGCAAAGAAAATGGAAGACATTTATACACAGGCTAACAGCCATTACTTATTGAAAGGCTCTCAGTGTAAGCAGTACAGCTCTGCCACTGGAGAGTTTAAGTTTTCTTTTATACTTAACCCAGCTGCAATAGTGTATAAAGCGAAAAAGCGCATGCATGTCTACTATAACTACTAATAACAGGGTGTTCTTTGGAAATGCATCGCTGCAAGACCAAAGCATTAGGGCTCTGTTTCAACTCACAGCTGTTACATTAACTTAAAATTTAATAGTGTCCTTAAGCTAGAAAGTGTAACATTCTATTGCATTTCCACAACTGTGTATTTTACTCCTGGGGAGGGGTTGGGCAGTGACTCCTGTATGAAAGGTTATAAAGGGATGCTTGTTGAGCAATTATGTAAGACCTCAAAAGAAACCAATCTGGGTGTGGCTCAGCTTTTGTTGCACCACTAAAAGAGACTACTATAAATAACTTTATAGATGTCCAGGGTGTTTATTTAATTTTAGGGGTCCAAGAGGGGGCGATTAATAGATATGGAATGTGTAAAAGAGAGAACAATCTTTACAAATATAGAATAGAGTTTACAAGTAGCTGAATATCCAGTCCATCACTATTGATGCCTTAAGGCCGTTTAGAGATCCATATCTCAAAGCCCAATTTGGAGGTCTGGATCCTCGCTTCAAGTTATTGTGTTGTCGCAAGAAACTGAATAAGTTTAATGATTTTGCGTCTTCTTGCTAATAATTCCTAGTATTTTGGAGTACCTTTTATTGGGGGTGCAGCATGCAAAGAAAGTAGTGTCCGATAGCTCGGGGCTAGTGGATTTTGCTATCGGGCTAGTGAATTCTGTTTTTAACTTGCCCGATGGGCAAGTGACGCATTTTTGAGGAATTCGAATAACAGAAGAACTGTGAAAGCAATTCTGCCCGTCAAAAAGCTTTTGGGGCTAGTTGAAATGACGTCTGGGCTAGTAAATGCTAGCTTCAGCTTGCCCGAATGGAAAGCTGTAAAAGTGATTTTCTTTGCACCCTGGGGTGTCTCATATAAATTTTTCATCATAAGTGGGCATTTATTACACAAAAGGCATTTATTTGAGAGAGGGCATGAATTAGATTATTTACAGTTCACGGTGGCCAACCCTAAATGACTATGCATGCAGAGATTTAATTGGTAAAAAAGATGTTGAATTGAATGCTCTCTTCAAATTATACTGTATGATGTCTTTTGGTTTTACTTACATGTATTTCATATAATAATGTATTTATTTTCACACTAACCTAAGCAGTATATGTATGAAGGAAGATATTAGTTTTCCATCCTCAACACCTTAAGTGAAACTTAACTCTGCAAATTTAAACCCCCCCCCCCCCTAGCTTACCCCTCACTTCCTCAACAAGATGACAAGCATCCCTGTTTCATTTATACGGGAGGTGCCCCCCTCCCCCAGGATTTTACTGTGACTTAACAAGTGGTTAAATAATAGTTTATACATGTTTTATACAAGGTGACTCCACGATACAATTTGGATGGGCAGCCACCTTTCATGAGTGATCTTGTTTCTAAAATACCCCAGAATTTTCCCCAATTTTTAAAATCACCAAATCTTGACATTTTGGCTGGCTGCTTCAAGGAAGTTTGACAATATCTCGGAACTTAAAAACAATAATAATACAGTCAAGCCTGTATATACTGCCCTGTATATAGTGGTCACCCTGTGTATTATGGTCACCGGACAACATCCCAAAATTTCAGTTGCCTTATATTTTCTGCAAAGTTGACGTGAATATAGAGGTCACCCCGCATATAATGGCCACCTTGCCATTTCCCAAGGGTGACTGTTGAACACAGGTTTGTAATTAACTTAAAGAAAAATCAAATTTATGTGACTGGTTATGCCAAAGCTCATTCAAGTTTTAATACATTTTTGACGCCCCTGCAGTATGCACAACATGTACCAGTACTTAAAAAAAGAGACAATGAAAAAAAATGTAAATTCAACAGAAATATAGTTAAATTTTGTTTACACTTTTGTGCAGTCTTGTTGGAAAATGCCTGTCACAAATGGAAATTTTAACAGCAAAAAAAAAAAGGAAAGAAAAATATTGACTACCAGGTATGTGGAAATACAAATTTGTTACTTCACAACTCAAGCCTAACTAACTGTTATTGTACAGAAATTGTATTAAGTAAACTTGCTCCACAGAACAGGCATTATAATTTCCTGAATTTTTTAAAGTAGCAGAGGAAAGCACAAGGAATGCACAAAGCACAAGTAAGGTCCAAGGGAAGGAGATATATAATCAACACTTTTTTTTCTTCCCAACCTTTTGGATGGATAACTCTCACTTGCCGAACTTTACCTTGGCCTTGCCACTGCTTCCTTGAAAAACAAAAAAGTATTGCCTCCTCTGCAGACTTAACCACACTAAGTTTTCTCCAGAAACACAACCTTCAGTTCACAGTAATTAACAATCACCAGTCATTCAACCACTGTGACCGTTAGAATGCAATGCATGGGTTGGTAGTCTTAAGCCTTTGTGACTTCCACCTGCAGCCAAACAGATTTGGTAGATGGTGACTGAAATTCATCATGATAGTTCAGTTTGTGACTGTTTTTCCTGTTTGATGGTGTTGGTGGTAGCTGACGATAGTTTTTTTTGGTCAAATGTTTTTCCTACAATTCAACAGAATTAAGTATGCAAGCATTCACCTCAGTTGATTAAAATACTAATATTTCCTTTGCCACGTTTCAAAGACAAACAGAAAGTTAGGAAAACAGACTAATAAATTGATCAGTGACCTTAACAAGTGATAAGTCTGATCAAGAGCTTAGGCAAAGGCTAATGAAACTGAGCAAAACAAAGCGGGTTTTTGCCATGTCTATAAGTCCATTGATTTTGAGAGAGCAATATATTAGCGTAGTTGTAATAATAATATTATTATGGTTCGGACAAGGCTGCATGGAGTGTCTCAGGCCTTTGTGAATCGGACAATTGCACTATGACGGTGTTTGACTACAACTACCAGAATTCATTTCGGTTTTGCTTTGTTATTTAAAATTGTCAATCCCGCTGAGGATTAAAGAACAAAAGCCTTAATTTGCACAAGAAAACAACAAACTCAAGGATTCTGGTAGTTGTAGTAAAATGACGTCGTCGTGCAATTGTCCTATTGAAGTTCTTGATCACATGCTATGATAGTAACTGATAGATTCTACTATACCACCATCTCTATCACCATCTGCTATCAAAGCCATTTGGACACCACTTTTGAGTTGTTAGAAATCCCTATAGCTGATAAGCAACAATATTTTCAAGAAAGTATTAGAAATGAGTGACATAACTTTCGTCTTGCGTCATCATTTCAGCTACATAAAATGCTATAGCTATCACTACAGTTTACATCACACCTTTAAGAATAATATTGTTACAAGGAACATATTTACAAGGATGAAAATACAAAGAATCTAGCAGGTAATCACATGGGTTCCAGAAAGATTTGAATTATGTTGATCATACATGTATCATTGATAACTGACTTAATAAATTACAGGAATCATTGTCCACCTCCACTGCTAGTCCTATGATCTTACAGGAAATTGGCAAGGCTTGAAATCACGAAAAAAATTATCCATAACTAAAAAGCCAAAACTGATTACCAATGCAATACACAAAAAGTAAGCTTAACCCTTTAAGCCCTAAGAGTGATCAGCATGAAATTTCTCCTCATAATATCAATGCTTTAGAAAACATAGTGGTAGTGAGAATTGAGTACATGATCAGGGAAGATGAGTCTATTTGATATTTCACCAAATTCTCCCCAATACTTCTATTCACATGTATAGGGACAGTAAATGAGAATCTCAGTTTTGATATTAGGGTTTAAAGGGTTAAATCAAGCAACTGCCAGTATTTCCAGTTAAACAAGCACAATTTAAAGCTCCCACTAATATTATTTTAAGCACTTTTCAATTCAATTTACACCTACTGTAATTCTGAATATCAAGGTCTTTAGAATTAGGAAAAAATGTACTGTACAATATTATTAAAGATTATCTTGACTTTTTCTCACACACCGCTTAACATTCTTCTTGAAAGCTCCACGATAATCATTTCTCCACTCTTTCTGTTAAGTCAGACAAAAAGTTGTTTAAGTTAAACTTTACCATTAATCCACCTGGAGACACATAAAATTGAACAAATTTACATTTGGAACACCATGACTATAAACAATTATTGGATGGGTTTTGTGATTTCTTATGTAAACAAATGATTTATCACAGTTTATTTTCAAACACTCAACTGAGTGATAAACAAATTTTCACCGTCTCTATAAAACAATTTCTGTTGCTTGAGGATTATTCACTAATCTGTCATTTCTGATGAAAACTGTAGGCATCCAATGAGAAGACAGATGGTGACTACAATGTATAATAATCGGATTTATCATGTAAACAATGATTTACATCATCAGTATTGAATTTCTGTTGCTGAGGCGCAAACGTCATTTCTGATGAAACATCCCTAGCGGCGAGGAGTGAGGAGAGACAGCTGTTTTTGCAGGCTAATGGTAATATTGCCTTTTGGTAGTGTCACTTGCTTTTACCTTTCCAGGTAAAACAACACTGTTGAAACTGTTTTACTTACAAGTGTTTTTGAAAAAAATATTACTTACAGCAGCATCGACGTTGGCTGGTGATTCATCATTTGGATCAGAAATCATTGAAATAACACTCAACAAGATAGTTTCAACAGTGTGAACTGGAAGCCAACGTTCTTCTGCTTTCTCATAACCATATTTGTCTTCACCTGGCTCATGAAGGATAGAAATACAAACTTCACCGTCTTTATGAACTGAAATTTAAAAAAAAAACTCCTGTGACCAAATCGCATATTTTTTTATATATGCATACACTGTTTACGGCTAGCTATTATGATACCTGAAGGAGAATCATGAGTTTATCCCTATATTATGATCTTTCCTTATAGATAACCCATCCAGCCCAGGAAAGGTTGGCCACACCACTGGGCCGGGAGTACATCCCCTAGTCTTTTCGAATAGTGGTGTGGGTTCTTTTACATCCCACAAGAACCAGATAAGTGGAAATGCTGTGAGGCAGGGCCTACAATTTTTTTTCTCCTTATCCAAGAAGACTAGAAAGTCTAACCATTTGCAAATGTCATTACAAAGACAGCACTTTGTTCTTAGTTATTTAAAGACCCTTAATGTTGGTACACCCAGGGTTGAACCCGCGACCTCCTACTCAAGCAGACCAGCACACTCCCAACTGAGCTAACCAGGTGGCAGTTTACTACAGTCACATGAAAAATAAAATAGGGTCTAAAAGGAGAATTCTCCTGATTTATCACATAGAGGAAGAAGCAATTTTCCTATATAAACCTTTACAGTGGCTCTAATACATGCAGCTTCAAAGGTGCTTTTCGGCAAAATTTCCAAGGGTGAATAGGTTAATAACCTCTGCTAATCTTTTTTGGTAACCAATATAGAACACTCAATCACATTTTCAAAACTTTACGCCTTGCCAAACAAACAGAGAAAACAAATTCTCCATGATATAAACTCAGGATACATTATGCAGAAGTAGCAGACCCTGATTTTTGTAACAGTCAATCAAAAACTTGCAGAACATCCAGTGCTCATTACATGCTGTAAGCTTATAACAGGTGGGATTACACTAGCCGTTTTACCCATGGGCAGATGACTATTGCCCACGGGGTGGCAACTTTTTGTGTGTGACTGATTTTCCCAAAGTGAATTTGCCTCGGGAAATTTCCATGGATACCGTAGGTAAAAAAGAACAAAAGAGTTCCCCATGACGTTTCCCAAATTAGGTTCTGTGAGTTAGTGAGAAACCAAAGCAGCTTAACCAATCATGAACCAGTGAAATGTACCAAATAGTAGTGTTCAACTTGGCAACAAAACCTATGCGAAACTGCACTTAAGTTTGACAATATCAACACAACAGGATTTTGAGTGCTGCTGTAAATATTTTGGCATTTAACAAGTTCAAAAGCACTTTGAGGCAATCAGAAATTTAGTTTTTTTCCATCAGTATTCATCCAAGATTACTTTCCTCAAGAAGTCGTTAGGGGATCTTTGAGGAAAAGGTCTAGTGTAACCGCACCTAATATCTTTGTAACAAATTTCTCTTTTTGAGGACTCAAACGTGTTAACTTCTACTGGTCAGAAAAATTCTGAAATCGCCTTGGTCAGCATGGTTTAAGCGTGGAATTAATGGTAGATGCTGAACAAAGAGCTTCCAATATTTTTTCTTTTTAACATAATGTAGTTAGTGGTCTATAGAAAACACAGCGCTGGATTTCACATAAAAATGCTGAAATTCCCTGACATAAGTGAAAGCATGGTTGGAATATAACAGATGTACAAACGTGTTTCTTTAATCCCTGGTTCATATCTGCCCTAAACGTTTTCCTTTCAATCTTCACGGATGTTTTGTGCACTAAACGACAGAAGTGGCATTTTTTCCAACAACATCACGACACAATCAAAAAGCAAACTAAAACGTGTTACTGAAAAGGTTCACGCAATATGTCCTTGCGTACTTACCATTGGGATGCCAAAACTCCGACACAAATGTCATTTTTGGTGGTCTTTGTGGGTATTCTTTAGGGAAGATCAAATGCGCTTTGAAATAGCCTCCCTCGCTATGGTAAAAATAAAAGAAATTAAACTTAGCACATCGATCGGCCCAATGCGCAAAAATAAACTTTTCACGTATCGATAGAAGTGCATCAAGTCCATATTATGTGCTAACTTCAAGAATAACTCTGAGAAATAAACTTACTAGAATGTTTCTGGGGGTCCTATTATCATCAGTTCCCATTTGAAAAGATTGTCATCATCAACAAGGCCCGCAGAAAAGCCTTCAAGAGGTTTCTTTTGCAGTTCTAGAAAAGAAATCATCGCCATCTTACTGTTAGCGTCGCATCAAAATGGAAGAGAAAAGGGTCTTACTTTCGGTTGTAATAACATACCCTGAAGCTGTCTCTTAAGAAGAAGAGTAGCTTGTGTTTCTGCACTCATTTATACCGAAATCTGAACAAAAAATCCCGTTGAAAACCGAGACTATCACAGAGCAGTCTCTCAGAATTTTCGGAACTTCTCACGCATACCCTTTCAATAATCGTCCTCGTTTTCATGCCTCCGCAACCGGAAGTGACTTTTACTTCCGGCGTTCTTTGGATTGCGTTGTTCAAGTTATCTTTTTTCATCTGTTTCGGCAGTCAAAGAGTTTGATGAAATTGAATGGGCTCTTTCTGTATTATCTAGATTTTTTTAGATTTGTGATGAGAAAAAGAAGATTTACTGAAAAAATTTCTAGTACAATTCAGTTAGCTTACACTGAATGATATCTTAACAACCTGATTACTGCTAGCCAAACATTTTATCGGCGGCTCAGAAATTTCCACCATTGGAAGATGCTGTGTGGGATGAGCAAGAAGCTGTTGTGACAAGTTCATGCTCTATCCAGAATTGCTCACATAGCGAAAATTTGTGTTTGAGAAGGCGGTCGTTATTACTGAAGTCGTCCTTGCACGCAGATGAGTAGACTTTCCCCAAACTTAGACAAACTCAAAGCGCTTCATCACCTAAAACGTGACGCAGGTCTGGCACAACTGATATCTATCGTTGCTAATGACACTGACTTAGATCTCGCCCTACCTGTCCAGGTTAATAACTGTCTTAAAAGTGGCTTCATCCCTTCAGAGTCTAGGTCACTGCAGCAAAAAGCCGAAGAGTTTTGTCGGAAAACACGCGTTATCGCGAATAAATGTAAAGTGTTTGTGGGCAACGTGAGCTATAGAGTGAAGTCAAGAGAATTAAAGGAATTTTTCGGCTATTTTGGAAAAGTCATACATGCTGAAATCATTACAAATCGCATGAATAAACGATCTAGAGGGTAAGTATGCCACATAATTCGAGGTACACATTTTCTGCATTTAATTAAACATGACATGTTATTGCCTGGGAAACTCCCCACCTACCCCTCCCCTAATTAATCCAGCATTAACAATAACTTCGTGATGTCGTGACATAGCCCCTTTAAGGCAAAATTCTGGGTTAGGGGAAGGGTAGGTGGACAGTTTCCCAGAATCTCAGACTGATCTGCTGGTAGAATTTGCCAGTGCACTTTTTCATCTAAGCTACTGTTAATAATTACCTTGATTAAAAAGTAATTATTTATTTTTGATGACGATATATTATATTTTACTTAATCAATTAGTCCGGAAGTGGAGGCAGATGCCTGTGCTTGGAGGGCTGGGCCAGTGGAGCCAAGAACTGCTACCCAGTTCAGCATGGAGAAATGACAGCACTGGGAGTAGCATCCACCCAGGCACAGCCATCACAGTGTTTACTAGCCTCCCACGCAGACATTCTTAGGGCTTCGTCACACGTCTGCGTGGAAGGCTAAGTGTTTACCATTATAACCCTAGTATACCTACCATATACTCAGCAAAAGGAGGGCTTGGTGGAGAGCAGAACACTCCACAAGTATGATCAGCATAAAGTAATGTAAACATAATGGCCTGTCCTCAGACAGAAAAGTTGTAAATTCCGAAACGACCCTGTGAAGCTATTTTAGCACCCCCAAAAGTATAAGAAAAAGTGAGCAAATAAAGTCTTGAGTTTATCTTAGCATAAATTTCAATAAGCTGCCTAGTGACACAATAATAAGCCAATTATATATGTTTTCTTTTGTAGCTTTGGATTTGTGACCTTTAGCAATGAATGGGAAGCAAACAAAGCAAAGAACTCTTCGGATGAAGAAAGAACTCTGGAAGGAAGGTTAAAACACAAACTATGTCAAATCATCATCGATTGTCTTATTGATAGTAGGTCATTACCTCAAGAGTAATTTTAACAAAGCTTCTCAAAAGCCTACCACATCAGTAACGATCCACTGACGATCAGAAAGTCATTTCATTTTCTGAAAGATTTTTTTAAGAGTAGTTACTAGAACTCAAGTTGAATACCTCAATGATTATTACACAATTTTTGGTGGTCTTTGTGGGTATTCTTTAATGAACATACAATGCACTTTGAAATAGCCTCACTCACTATGGGAAAGCACAACAACAACAAAATGAGTCAGAAATTACATTGATCACATCAATCACTTAGGGAAAATAAACTAACATATGAGTAGAATAAGAGAATCTGTTTTTGCTTCTCATCATTTTTTCTGTGAGGTTTTGCTTCAAATTCTCCGGTAAGTTTTTACCTTTCACTCAACGACCAACATCTTCCAGATGAAAATTTAATCTGGAATATCAAAGGTAAATGGATATGTTACCATCTACGTGATTTATTTCTATCAATTTATTTACTCATTAATAAGTAACAACTGACATAAATATGCATTTTGTAGTTTTACAAGTGTAGTCCCTCTCACATTATATTATTAATTTGTGGATTTTTTATTCTCTTTAAATTAGAATCATGAAAGTTTGCTCTCCTGAAAGGAAGAAAAAAGGTTTGTCAGTTTCTGTAATAAAATTATTGATTTAAAATGGCTATCTGTAACTACCATTGTAGATAATTATTTTGTGCCCCAGATGATTTTTACCAGCAGATAATTTATCCATACTGACCATGACAACAGTTTAACTCTTTGGTATCAATAATAACTGTGCTCTTCTGTTGCGCAGGATCAAAGGGATTTGCTCAAGAGCCCACTTTAAAGGTTAGCTAGTGAAGTAAATGAATTTGGCTTTTCATTGGCACTTTGCTAGTTTACTAGTTTAAAGGTAGCTCCTAAAATAATGGTCCGCAATAGATTTTTCGGGATCCAGGATTTAGCTTTTTCAAATTGGAAGGTAGGTATTTGGGACCAAATGGGGAATAGTATTCTAGAATATCATAGCTATAAAATTAATGGAAGACATGACTGTAGTGATTTTAGTAAGTGGTATTTAACAAAATTTTGTTAGAACTGAATATTTAAAAAGATCAGTAAGAAGCATGAGTTCCATTTTCTTATGTATTTTCTTAAATGTCAGAGATAAAAATTAGATTTCGACCTGACACAAGTTACCGGTAATCACACATTTTCCTCAACATGGCTTTCGTTACTCTATCACTTTTCTGTTCTTCCTGTCTGCTACATGCGATTGGGTATCTGGAGATAAGGAAATGTGGACACTTTGCGAAACATTTTTGGGAGTAGCATCACCTGATAGAAAACTTGAGGATTGCAGGATTGTGGGAACAGTGGTGAGAGGGTAAAAATTTAGTACAGAAACACGCAGAAATGGAAAGTGAATCCAAAGGAAGAAGCCTGAACATATTTCAGTTAACTTAAACTAAAAAATAACTCTGAGCTCTAAAAACAAAATCTCTATAATATTTGTGTGAGATTCAAATGCTATTTTACATGGCTGAAAGGTTTAAAAAATTAATAAAGCCAAATGTTTTCAACTACTAATTAATACTGGTACCCAGAATGCTCCGTTACAGCTGCCACAACACGGTTTTTAGGGAAAGGTATTCTAACTGACTAAATTGTTTAGGGGTGTCACATTTAAACAAAACAAACTTTCTTTAGCAGGGAGTACGAAAAGTCTAAAGAAAAATTCAGTGGAGCTCCTTTTTGCTTACTCTCTTGACACTTTTATGCTATAGGAAGCTCTTGAATTTTTCACTGAAAATGGTGGCAGTAACCAGGAACTGGGAGATGTTACAATGGAAGATGATGCTATCAAGCAGAATCTTAATGACCCTAAATCTGTGTATGTATATTAAGCAAAAAAACCAAAACAATTCTTGGTTCTTTTTCTTCGTCCATCTGTTTAAACAATTACCCACTTTTTAAGTTAGTATTAGCTCAGTATTTTGAATTCTTAAGATCTAGCTAAACAAAACCTTTTCCTACATACACCACTGATTAATTTCCAATAAATTAATGATACCCTATTCTAGACCAAGACCCTTTGATGTCTATACTTAATCCTAGAGTAGACTCCTTCAAAGTGGCACATACCCATATAGACCATATTAACCACCCTCCTCCCCCAACCCTGCTATATTTTATTACCAGAATTGCCACCTTAGTAGAAAAGGAAATTTTCTTTTTTGACTAGTAATACAGTGAGCTCTGTACCAATATTAATAACAAAAAGTATTCATTTTAATTTTATTACAGGTCACCCATTTTAAAGCTAAATGAATACACCATGCTCCATATTTTCTGTTATTTGAGTCCAAAGGATAGGATCAGAGTTGAAAGAGGTAGGTAAAACAACAGTGTGTCTGTGTACTCTGCTAACCCTCAAAGCCCTAATATCAACAGGTTCTCCTGTACTGTCCATATATTCTCTATATTAGTTTCCCTTTTTTTCCAGTTTTGTCATGTCCTCTATGTTTGATTGAGCAGTGATCTTATAAGGAAAAATTAGATGCAGATTAGTGGTAGATTGAAGGATTAAAATGTAAACCCACCTTTACAGTTACTGTAAGTAACAATTTTATCATTACTTCAACAAAGTTTGACCATGGTTTAAGCTGATCTCTTGACTTCCAAAGGTGTTTATCGCATTGTTTTAAGTAGGTTAATAACATCTATTGCAGGCGAAATGGAAGTCAGCTGCCTTGATAACACCTGAGTCTGGCACTCCAACCATAGCCTCTCCTCGATGGAGCCACCCACTCTGTGTCTATTACCCAGCCACCAAATCCCTCACCTCTCCATCCCCCCTCCCCACTTTCACATACAGACACACACATACACACACACGCATCACCACCATTTAAGAGCCCTATTGGTCAGTCACACTGATAACTATTAATATTTGATTTCACTTTAAAAACCTTTCGAGCAAACAGAAGTCATTTGAAAGAAGGTTAGGAATAGGGCTGGTCTGATAGGTTTCACCAACGCTATTTTCTTTGAAAATTGATTCAAGTCATTCAAGCACTTTCAAACCCTAGAGGCTAGGCCCTCAGAATTTCTTGGTTTTGTTTAACTAATTTGTTTGTAATTTAGTGTGCAGACAGTGGAGACTGCTGGCTATTAAGTCATGGCACCACATCACCCGTCTTGACTTCAAAGGAGCATTTACTGCATTTAAAGGAGCTGGAGGTAAATGTGGTTGCTAGAGTACATTTTTGAAGGTTGGGAAAACAGGTTGCTATCGCTAGAGCCAGAACCCGGAGGAGAGAAGGGGGAAATCTTCCTTTGCCAATTTTTCATGGACACCACCACCATCATAGTCTTAACAAAGCCTCTCATTGGGCTGGGCTAAGATGATGTTCAGCGCGTTCTGGACTTCCAGCTGTGTACCCAGATTTGAGTACTGGATGAAAAAGACCTTTGTTTTGTTTGTCGCAAGACTGATAATAGCCTCTAGTTGTAGTATCCACCAGCCTCAGGCTATCAGACAATGCTTTTTATATTTCTCTGTTCCATACTTTTTTCCATGTCCACCACATTGCATACACGAAAGGAGGATGCCAACACTTGCCAGTGTGTTTTTGTATTGGAAGTTGTCTTCCCTGCATTGCTGGGACATGAATTATTAATTATGCAGCATTGCCAGGACATAATGGATAACATCCTCCTCGATCTGCATAATTAATGCCAAACGGCTACTTCGTTTTATATCAACTTTTTCCTTGGTTTTTGCAAAATGTAACTTGCTTTGTTTCAGACTTATTGTTATACATTACCTTTTATTATCACCCCCAGAAGCAAAAACAAATCTATACCCAGTACCTAACAACAGGTTGGCATTTGTCTCTTTCAATTCAGGTCTAACTGATGAAATTCTGTGGTCAATTTTAAGACGTGGGTGCCAGAACCTAAAATCTCTGGATTTACCTCTTTCACCACACTTCTTAACTGAGTTTGCAATTCTTTGTATTGGTAAGAGTCACATAAATGTTCCTTTAATGTTAGGCTCACTGTAAAATGGGCTATCAAAAGTGATGTGTTGCCGAAAATGTCAAGCGAGTCTCTTGGCATTATCTTCTTACAGTCATTATAATTATAATCTTGAGTTTCGTAGAAATTGATAATTTGATAAGCATGTATATAGCTAAATGTGCGCCTGACTGAGTAGTTTACAAACAGTGGCTCGCTGCTTCCAGACTATCCTTTTCCTTGATACATTAGACTCAGCTTTGAGACGGTCTGAGTTGCAGTGCCACTTGTGGAGTGTGTGCTTGTGTGTTACCAAGTATTCAAATAGTGGTCATTCTTAGAAAGGACCAAAAGTATTTGAAACTGGGGAACATCTTACTTTGGCCACTGTTAGGTGTGGTAGGGTTAAATTGACTCCATTGTTTCTAGAGATAGTGTACCCATTGTATTTCAGTACTAACAGAGCATTTACACAAAACAAGTGAAAGGATTAAAGAAAAAAATTCCAATGACCTTTGGTGGTCAGTTTTGAGTAACCTGACAAGCCTGTGTCTTTTTCCTTGCCAACAGCAAAGAAATGTAAAACACTAAAGGAACTGAATATCAGTGGAGTTGATGTGGGTACATCATCAATAAAAGCTTTGTCCATAAGCTGTACACAGTTAGAGGTATAACATCAACAACATCAATGGGCCCTGTGCTGCTTGAAGTCATGTTAACTAATTCCTGGTAGAAAAAATTATGTGATGCAAGTTACAGAATGCCAGAGATTGATGGAGTATTAGAAAATTAGGTAGAAGAGCAATTTTGAGGCTAATAATGCATAAAATGTTAAGACTAAGAGTGTATGGGTGTCGCAATCTCTGGAAAATTATATGGCTTTCTATGGGAAAAATTGCTGGACTGCAAGGCATGTGTTTCAGCAACTTTTCCATGAATGCGCTTATAATAATTATAATAATTATTCTTCAGTTTCTGATAAGCCTAAATCCCCCCTGCTAATTCTTCGTAACTAGCTAGCACCAAATTTGGAAGACATTTGCCAATTTGGATACAGTTGATGCAAGTTGTACCGATAATCACCAGAAAAGGACAGCAGATGTTGTTGTAGCTCAACTGTGTAAACACCCTCCTCAATCTGCATAATTCCTCTTATCATACTCAGTTTCATCCCATTGTTGGTAATTGTATTTTTCATTATTCACACCACAGTAAAATCTAAAAACCTAGAAACCTGGCAGAGCCACTATTTCTTATGCTCTTTTTAATTTATCTCTGCTATTGTTAGAGTTGTATGCCATAATTGTAGCACATTAAAATGTCATGCAACCCCCAGCCACAAATGGCCTATTGCATCATTTTTGTTCATTGTAACTGAAATTAATGTTAGCTTAAAACGGGCAGTTCAGGGAGTTCAGGGGTTGTCGTAGACAGGCGGTTATGGGCGGTTCAGGGGCGAATGGGTTAAGAACTCAGGGCTGTGCTCTAGCAGAGCCCGGTGGTCCCTGGGGCCTAACTTTTGCTCTCGGACGACTAGGAAATCTTAGTTTTTTCATACAAATCATATGCTGGGCACCCTTGATTTTACAGTTTCAGAGCACTGGGCTCCCCTCAATTTTCCTTAGAACACAGCCTTGGAACTGTATTGTGCTTACTTTATTAACATTTTTCTTTTACAGAAAGTTACTATTCAGAAGTGTTTCAGATTAGGGGAAAAGGGGTAAGTGTTGACATGGTTTACTTTAGACTGTATTCAAATAGGGGGTGCCCTGTGTGAAGTATTTCTCGTTGACTTAAATGCAAGTGCAACAAGGCAATCTGTTCTTGCTCAAGAAAAGTGCACCTTAAATACCTACTATTGTTTGTAGATAAGTTTTCCTTTTGACAGTTTAATGCTTAGAGAGTTTGTGAATTTAAAAAATTATTTGTCAATTTTTCCCTGATAAAGAAATTTAGTGTGCTGGACTTTCAATTCGGAGGCCCTGAGGTCAAGTCCCACCCTGATCGCTAGCTTATTTGTTCTTGGTAGTCGCGAGTTTAAATCCTTGACCATGTTTGTTAAATAGCCAACTGGTTCACCTTCTACCAGTTGGCACTCTAACTATGTTATGTTCCTGCATTTAAAATTATTCATTTCATTATTCCTGAAAAGCCTCATAAGGGAGGAGGATAATTAAAGTATTATTATTATTATCATTATCATTATCATTATCATTATCATTATCATTATCATTATCATTATCATTATCATTATCATTATCATGATGATGTTCAAGTTTCACAGTACGTGCAAGTTATTGCTGTACTGGGCAGGAAATCCACTAGGCAGAGTACAACCAGTCCTCTAAGCTTAGCAAATAAAAAATCTTTGCAAGATATGTGCAGAGGCAAGAACAGCAGGCAAGCTGTAGCTTTGGCACTCAGTCTCAATGGACTGGAGCCTTATAGAAGTTGCCCTTTTTTCATTCCAGCGATCCAACAATGATTGGAATAACTGTTACACGCTTCTGCCATAACCTGGAGAGTTCTATGGCCAAGTCTTTACTATTTTTAGTACTATTATTATTATCATCATAACATTGTTTTATTATTTATATTCTTGTAGGCTCTGGTGGCTTTTTAAGAACTGTAAAAAGCTCTGTTACATCAATTTGGAAGGAAAGCAAAGCCTCAAAGGACAGGTATGACTGCATTACATTCCTCTGCGTTGCAATCTTTAATCTTTTTATATTAATTTATATTAGGCATTCTTTAGAGCTTAGAGCAATTATTGATCAAGAACTATACAAATAGACTTTATTATTATTATTATTATCGTGTTACACATCTCTGTAAATATTCTGTTTAAATTATCTTACTGAATCTGGCTTCCTGGCTTTTTCTATACCACTTTTTTAATTAATAAATATTAATATAATAACTTGTAAAATGACTTACATATCTTGTTTTGGTTACAGTAAATAATAAAATTGTTTTTGTTGTTCTTGATAATTTAGAGTAATAAAGTATGCTCCAAATTTTATTTCATTACATACTGAAAAACAAACAATACCATGTGAAAGCAGTGCATAAAAGGTTCTATTTGAATGGTCACATCATTGGATTTCATCCACAGACTCAAAAGTAAGAACTGTCTTCACATCTTTAAAGTTGAATGTGGGTGTCACCATATCCCCAGTTAACATCACTGTTGCCATCATTTTATTTTACTGACAAATTAACAACAAACCTGAGGTGATTTTTCCTTCTTCTGCTGCCATCTTAGGGCTGAGTAATCTGCTCCATATTAAATTTATTTGTTGTGATCGTAGTGTTTCTTTATGCTTCCACCAACATGTAAGAGTTTGCATCTGAAGGATTGTACTCAGGTGAGGTGTATAATTTGTCCTTTTATATGGTGAAAAGTGCCCTCTTTCAAAAGAGCAAAATTTTGATACTTACACACAAAGAAAGGGTCGCTATAAGATCCTGGAAAACTCCCCCTGCTCCCCACCTTCCCCTACCTTTACCCATTTTTAACACTAACTTCTTACTTATGGCAAAATGTTGGTTTTGGGGAGGGGTTTGTGTTAAGGTATTTTCCCAGAATCTTATACTGATACAAAAAGTCTAGTAGCAAATCAGAGCTCTCACTAGAAACATGCATTAGAAGTCAGCTAGCCAAAATAATAGATTATTGCTTTTAATATTATGCTTAAATTGCCACAATAAAAGAATTAATTACTAGAAGCAAGAGTGACCAATTTTTTCAGAGACCTAATTTGTTTTCTTAAATCAAAAGATTTGTTTCAGCCCTGAATTTGAAGTCATTCTAGTTTTAAAAAAGTCTCATTAATAGCATCTCAGTTGGCTTTCTCTTTTAAGACTAAAAACGGTGAAATTTCTCAGGTCAGTTTTCAGTTTTTTTGGCTCAAATCATTCTCAGGTTTCTCTGCAAGTGGTTGAATCAGACATTGGGTCTGTAGGGTTAAACTGGCACTTTAGGGTTGAAGCAGATCTTTTGCTGGAATTTACAGTGTGCTCATGTGATTACTTAGCTCATTTCCTCACTGGCTTAGAACCCATGTAGTTTCTTAAAAAGCCATAGTCCTTTCATGCAATTCCTCTCTAATTTTTTCTTCCGAATGGTGGAGAAAGTAGAGCAAAATGTTTCAGCCAATCACAACTATGTATTTTAAAACCAATGTATTTACGTCATTGCTTTCCACTCGTCATCACAAGACCTTTTTTCTCTCCAGCCTTAACCTGCCCTGATTTATCTTTAGTTAACGGATAGAGGTATGGGTTACATTGGCGATAAATGTAAAGATCTGAAAGCTATCAATATCTCAGGATGTATAACGCTGACAGATGAGGGCATACTACAGCTCACTCAGGTTAGTAAAATTAACGGTGCTATTCATGAATTATTACTCAGTAATTATTACTCACTCTATAGTAAATGTAATTTAGGAATCAAGCAGAGGTGAGAATGTGCCAGGGTCGACCCATCCCAGTTTTCATTTGTATATTGGCTTTGTTGTTGGTTTTCTCTCTTGAAGCCCAGAGGCTTTCTTTGGAACCTGATACTTTGGTTTTCTGCTCTTCTCAAAACATATACATATGTACTTCCAAAACTCCATTTTGATTTGGAAAACACAAACACATTGCTAAAAAGGTCTTTAGTCGGCTAAGCTATTTATATACCTACCCTCTTCAAATAAAAAGCTGACTGACTGACTGACTGACTCATTGACTGACTGACTGACTCATTGACTTGCTGGCTGACTCACTGACTAACGTAAGGTAGTCAGTCTATCACAGAATTAGGCGACACATCCCATTTAAATGCTCGATGACAATAATATTAGTCTATTTGGCCGACTTACCCAGTTTCTTTTTACAGAAGTGCTGTATGATTGAATCATTGCAGTTTTCTCAGGCCGGAAATAATGGTAAATAATGGCAATCACTTTCAAATCAGAATTAAAATCCAGGGGCTCTTTAGTTTAGTTTTTTGTTTTTGTTGTAATTGGAAAGATTATTTATGCAATGGATAAGAGATGGTTGCGATCAATTGTTAGATCCTTTTAGCCGAGATTATTTCCAGTGAGTTTAATCAGCTTTTTATTGGTCGCATTTTTTTGTATTTATGAGTTGACTCATGGAAGCCTCCTACTTTTAATAGTTACTGTCCATGGAATACGTGGTATTGAAAATTTGTCACTGCTGGTGAGTACAAACCTAATTACGATATCGACTAAAATCCGCAAACACGGCAGCCTGCCAAAGTTAAATTACTCTTTTTTAGTCTCACTGCTCATCCGTCACAATGTCTTTCAGTAAGAGGCAGCGTGCTGATTCTTCGGATTCGCGAGTTTTCGCCACCTGCATTATAGGGACAACAAAACAATTTTTCACAGAGGGGGAGTCACGGGCATCCCAGCCCCCCCTTCAGGTACGCCCCTTCAGTTCACGTCCTACTATTTCACTTGTGGGCACCACAGAGGCATGTTGAAACACAGTCATCTCAAGCTCTCTAGTTTTACTCCTTTCAATGAAGGTTAAGACAGGATCGTGCATCAATGAAGGTTAAGACAGGATCGTGCATCAAACAGTAGATCTATGACCAATCAGATTGTACCAAGGATTTTAGTTTATAACACGACTTTAATATTCACCTTTTTGAAGCAAGGTAGGAACTATGATGTTGCATTGTATTCCCTTCGTTTAGAAAGACTTGGATCTGTCTAAGAATGCTGTGGTTAATGATGAGCTGTTGTATAGGATCGGAAGAAACTGTATTCATTTAAGGTAAGTCTGCTGCTTCTTGCTGTGAGAGCATTACGAAGAGGCTACAATAAAACCCTGCAACTGAGAACCTGGATTTTTCCAAGTTAGCCTAACAGGTTCTTGTATAAATGGTAGTTGGCACACCTTTAGGCTATGTAGGTTCTTAAATAGGTTCTTAGTTTCCAAAGAAAAAAAATACAATGTAGCTAAGAGTATTTGGTGGTTCAGTTGACATATCTTATATTTGTCTAAGTGTGCACAAGTTTTTCATAGATTTTAGAAAATAAGAACCTGTTTCAAATTTTAGGCTAAAAAGGTTCTTAAACAAAGGGGGCTTAACTGGCAAATTTTAGCCTAACAGGTTCTTAAAATCCAGGTTCTTAGTTGCGGGGTTTTACTGTATCCAGAAGAAACATTTTGTAATTGTGTGGCTCCTGGACATATTATGCTCCATTTACACCAACTAATAAACACGTATTTTAAACCATTTTATCTGGACTCTCATATGTATTCATTTCAGACTGACCAGCGGCCAGTTGCGTAGAAACTCGCGTCTGGCCTTACTGCTAACCTCTGGCTTAAAATAAGGAGTTTTACAGCCTTTTCCAGGCGTTCAGATAATGAGGACCGCGGAAAGAGTAGTGAATAGGGAAAAAAATGGGGGGTGGTTCACTTTATGAACGCCTGGACCAGGCTAAGAGTTTTTGTTGCGCTGAAGGAGGAGCGTTAGTTATTACCTGCGACGTCAAGAAATATGCAAGTAACCTCTGAATATAATCATCATCACTTACTGAATTTACTCTTCGTTACGAAGTCGGTCCAGCCATCAAGTAGGTTCCCATGCAGGCGATTTTAGGGGAGACGCCTGCTTGGGATGCTAACCATCGAGTGAGATGTTCGGAAATATTGTCATTGATACAACGTTTCCAGGCAGTGGTCCGGAAGCCTAGCTTTTTTGACATAAGTAAACTCAAGAAAATAACGAAAGAGCTCACAACTGCAAGAATAAGCTAAAATACCAATAATTGTTAATTAACAAATTATCTTCTCTCAACTTTTCAGATCTCTTAATCTTGACTCGTGTCACGGGGGAGTAACAGATACAGGATTACAGTGTTTAGTATCATGTTATCAGCTTTCCTCTCTTGTTATTAGCTACTTAGACAAGGTTGGTTCTCTTTACCACGTATTGTTTATTTAAGGGTTTTTTCCCAGCGGTAATAGAATCAAGTAGTTAACACTAAGCGATGGTGCTTCTTTTATTTTTTACTTGCTGCTTGTTGGCTTTTAAGGGCTGATAACTTGTGTCTTCTGCAAGTTACCAATATGCCATGATTTCCGTTTCTTTTAATGTTGATCAGTTTCAGTCTGGGTGAAACTTTTCTGCGAGCTGCGATTTTCTGTTATAGTTTTCCGTGAACTGAAAATTAGGTTCAAACTGCCAAAGACTGCGACTTGGTGGTTCCCTAGCTGGACGCATCGAAATAATACCAGACTCTGCTTCCGCACCCTCTAACCCCACCCCACCCCTCCCACTTACCAACCCAAGCCCTGTTAAAAAACAACAACTAGCCGGACTTATTCACTGATAATAAAACATCCTAACTGTTTTCAGGTAACTGATGAGGGCCTGGTACCCCTGTCTGCTAATGGCTCGCTGGAAATGTTAGAGGCTCGTGCATGCACTGCACTCACTGATAAATGTAAGGCAGATATATCAGCTTTTTAACTTATATCAGTAGCTTGCGATCCACATCCGCCTTGCGCTTGCCTTCGCTTGCCTGAAAAACGCGAGAAAACAACTCTTGTTCTGCAATCTTCCAATACAGTGGAGACTCGCTATGATGCCCACTTTATAAGCTAACGTAGAATCGTTATTGCCAAATTCTCAATACTATCCTGGGTGCCTGCTTCGGCCGACACGGAAGTATTTCGCCTCACGCGAAAAAAAAAGAATCTCTGTTGCCCAGGGTATCTCAAGTTTTATTTTTTGCAAATTCTGAACGTTCGACTCTGGTTCCAGATTTTATTTTACTAGGAACCGGTATTTTAAAAAAATAATTATAAATAAACAGATAAGTACAAAAGTGCGAGAGAGTTTTTTACTTCCAGTTAACACTACGATTTCATCCACAAACACAGGATCCAGTTACACTGAATCTAAGTTTCATTATAGAACTGAACTGCAATAGCTCCTTTTATATTAAAAAGCTGTTGCCTGGTTGTTGTTTTTTTTATAGCGATTGAGTGTCTATTAAAACACTGTCATGACTTGGCCGCAGTGGATGTCAGTGGCTGTTCTAGCATTACGAATGTCTCTCTTGAATTGTTAACACGGTACTGTTCATTGGAGGATCGACCCTTTCTGATCTGCACTCTTGGAGGTAACAACTAAGCTCTACTTGAACTTTTACAGCAACTCTTGTCTTAATTTTTAATCTCGAGGTTGATATGGCATCTCATATTATCATCCTAGGTAGAGTTTACGTTGCATGTAATTTTTACTTTCATATTTTGTAAGTGGTTGGTGTGTTGCCTAACCGGCTTTTACCAACCTAATCGATGATGATGAGTTTAGTTTTTGTTTTCGCCTCTCTTTGAAGGGTTTCGAAATAGGCAGCATTATTAGCTCAGTCGGTAAAGCGCTTGATTGCAGAGTCAGAGGTCGCGGGTTCGATTCCCAGGACCGGACCAACACTCAAGGTCTTAAAATAATTGAGAAATGAGAGTACTGCCTTTGCCCTGCAAACGGCTAAACCTTCGCGTGGCTCGGATGACCACGGCAAGTGGTGGTCTCGTCTCCCAGCCGGGAGTAGACGGAAAAATAGTTTCCTCAATTAATACTAAAGAAATTTTTTTTATGACTAAAGAGAAAGTAAGCGTTTACCGATTTCTTTCATCAGAAGAGAGCTCGGACTCGACTAAGATTTGAAGCCGGTTACCCTCACTAACATAATAAATAAACTGTCGAATAACCCTTTAGGTACAGCTATTGATGGCGAGGAAATATCCCGAGTACAGCAGACCTTACAGCGCTGTCAACTGAGTAGCAGTGATTACTCCATTAGCGAGAGGTTTGATGCCGTCCCAACACACGGTTCAGGTAGGTCAGTTACAGTGCAAATGTTTTCTGACCCCGGGGGGGTACTTTAGGAATTTCTGGGTGGGGATGTGCCGCTGGGACCTTGGAACCCTTAACCTATACCAGGGCTAATTCAGCTGAATTTTGCTATCCCTATACTAGAGTAAACTCCCCAAATCCCCCCTATCGTACTAGTACAGTCTAGCCAAAACAAAACCTTACACCAAAATCCCTAGTCTAGATAGAATCTTCAACCAACTGATCAGTTTCCTGAAAGATGATACCCTATTCTAGACTCAAACGCTCTGATTTATATGCCCTATCCTAGAGTAAACTGCTTGAAAACCATACCCTTCACAGCGGCACATGCCTATATAGCCCATATATGGCAGTACCCCCCTCCCCCGGGCCTGACATACCGCTGTCAAACTTCGGAGGCATTATTTGTTTAATTCAGAGGGATTTCCTATCATTAAGTGAAAACATGGGCAAAGATGCAAAAAATGATTAGTTAACGTAACTTTCTTTGCTTCTTTCTCAATATAATATTCGCTGAAAATCACTTTGCACTCATGCAAAATTACATTGGCAAAGAGGGCCGATAATTCTGCACTTTCCGTTTTCAAACACTTAAAACGTTTTTGTAGTTAAACTTTCAATGTGCATGGGTTCAAAACCTTTAACAGTATATGGATACCGCTATCAGGTGCCTTCTATAGCGAGGATGAAGACGATGATGACGAGTTTGATGAGTATGATAATTTCGCTGATGAAGATGAAGAACATTTCATAACGTAGTTGATGAAGACGAGACTTGGATGGCCGAAGACTCGTTGTGGTGGCGGCCCGACGATGGTGATGCCATTGATTTCCTGGAGGCTGATTATCCCTCCTTGCTGGAAGAACAGATGTACAGATCATAATGGGTTGAAATCCAAAGAGAAAGATCTCGCCTGGAGCAAGTTCCGCTTGCAATTAAAGTCGTTACTGCCAGACCTGACACAAAGCCATAAGATTGTGTGATGTGGACGCGACTCTGTCAGAGATGTGCGTGAGGCAAAACTAAGACTTTCACTTTCTGGGTTCAGAGGTTCGGAGAAATACGTCTCATCTCCTTGACAATGTTTGCAAAAAACGGGAAGTTTTCGTGGCATTGCTTGCAGTTATTGTTTCCTTCCAGAGCGTGACACGGTTATGGTTTGGCGTGAGTTCGAGCGTTGCTGAAAACTCTATTTACTTTAATCTCCAATGAGAAAAATGACCAAATATCATTCGCCCGACTCTTAACAAATGTGTGACGTTTATTGAGTGACATTCTTTCGAAGTCATGAGACAAGTGAAGTGAAGGACTGCTTCCGCAATACCCTCAAGAAACTTTACACACAAAAGCTTGGTTTGCATGCTCTTGCGTGACATGAGTACCAACCTCACGTAATTTGCGTACTTAAAAACTTAATTTGAGTGAAGCGTTTGGTGAATGCTCTCAAATATATTCCGTTACTACTTGATCACGATCTGTTGCCTGACTCGTTTTGAGAATTGTGGAATGTCCCGTGTATAAAATTGAACTGCCGATACAAAGTACGATGGAACAACGGAAAGACCATGTCCCGGTAACCGTGAAGAATTTTCGTATTCTTGCGAAGCCATTAGACAGATGGGGTGATGACAGCCTGGCTGTTACGATTAAATAACAACACTCTCGAGAAAGCTGGGTTTATTTCCGTATGTTTTTGTTTCCTTTCGATATGCTGAGTTTTATGATAGTTTCAGTATCCTTGTTCTTTGTTCTTTTTTGTCATTCTCACCATAGTTATACACCTTATCCCCCCCCCGCCCCCAAATTATGCATAAGCATTGCCGTCAATTTCTCATTAAAAACAAAGGTTATGGAAAATTTGGGGGTGCAAACAGGGTGTATTATGGGAGATGTACAAATGGTGAATATAATGAATCGTTACCAAGGGAATGGAAAAATCGCTGGCTAGAAGAATTTCAGTCCCAAGATATATTGGGGTGTTGGTAGCCTGCGTAGCAAGCGTTTCCGCGCGAGTTCGTCGAGAAAACTGGGACGAGAGCAAAAAAAGAGGAATGAGGGGGGAGGGGAGAGAAGGAAACGCTACGCAGGCTAGGGTGTTGGTCATATGGGTGTTCGTCATATGGAGGTTCCACTGTTTCATTATCACTTCGAGATTGAGCTTGGGGCCATCTTCGCACTACTTTGAGCTGCCACGCAAATCATATCGCGGGATAGGGCTTCGGTTCACACAAGTACGGGTTATGGCGGAGTGATTTCTAGGACGGAGCGAAGCTGCGCTGCGCCGATCTCGAAAGTGGAGCTTCACATATCGGGTAGATTGTATGTGTAGTTTGAACACCTATTCGGCCCGTCGCGGAAGTAACTAAGTAGAAGCGAGGCCTGGAACCCACTGAGACGGAAGTAAATATTTAGGAGTGAGGACTGGGTTTTAGTGCATAAACCCTATCGGCCAAATGGCTCCGCCACGATTTTCGATGTATGTGAACGACTGGTGTTGCTCCAGGCTGTTGCTGTTCATACGGCCACGAAAAGCTATCTGGTATAGTATGAATATAGCCTGAGACTGGATCAGTGTTGTGTCGAGTTTCACTATGGAAAGGTTTTGGGGGTGACGAAATTTCCACCCAGTTTCTTGCACAGCCTCGTACTGACAAGTACATTGTGCTTGCCTGTAGTGCAGCGTATTTTGGGCGGGCGAAAGCTGCGTGTTTATGTTCGTACTGTTGTAACCACCATCTTTGTTATGACGGAGGAAGATTAGGGAGAGTAAAAATAGTAACCCTAAGGGTGGGTGCTAGGGCGAAAAAAGGTCCCCCTCCCCTCTTTCGAGTTTCAACATGCGCTTTCGCGAGCAAAACATTCGCGCACCCGAAGAAAACGCCTGCACTGCAGGCTAACATTGTGCAGTTCGACACAACATCAACCCAGTCACACTCTAAACCTCAAAATGCCCTACGATTGTTCTGGGGTGTTGGTCATAATTAGAGAGCTTTAGATTTTAAGACGAAGACGACTTCGAGAACAAGATTTTACTAATTGTAAATACCGGTAATGCGAACGCGTGAGACAGCGTCATTTTGGCGGGAAAACGTGGTAGCCGTCGTCACTCTGCTACTAGTTTTAGTGTCGTAGTGGCGGGAACAAGTTATAAAATTTCTGAGGTCTTTTGAAGCCATGGAATGTAAGGAAGGTAGTATGAAGAGAGAAGATGTATATTGCAATGTTTTGCTGCGGTTATTAGCTATTGTTTCAGCCCCGCACTCCCCTGTTACAATATTGAGGCCGCTACCAACTTTAATTTTGCAACAGTGACTAATTATCAGCGGTTATGTAACATTCCCCTGAACAAAGAGAAACAAGCCAAGTGAAAATAAGGAATGCTGTCTTCTAAACTAATTCTTTATTTTCTCCACAAGATAAACATAACTTCAAATATGCTTTATATGACTACTTGTAAAATAAATACGTAGAATAGCAGTCGCCTGAGCAATCATATGACTGTAGCCTAACGTTTTAAATATATATTCTTGATCAATATTTTTAAATGTTTTCTATTGTATTCCTTGAATCTCGCTCATATTGAATCCTAAAACTTTCATGGCATTTTTTATACATATCTGGTGATATTTTTACACTCTTTTTTTTATAAGAATGTTGTTTTTCCGTCCCAGGCTGAATATTCTTATTTTTCTGCCGATTTTAGGCTGAAAATATTCTTGTATTATTCTTAAATTATAGCTTATGACATTTCCGTTTTAGAATTTATTGGGGTGTCAATTACAAGTGTTTGGTAGCTAGATCTGTATCGCACAGAAATAGCGTGATGGAAACGAAAGTACCCGATTTTGTTTCAACTATGTCATGGACAATTGTTGGCTAGTTTTTCCGTTCAGAGAAAGGAATAATTTTATACGGTTATGTTAAAAACATAAAATTGTATTGTATTTACAGATACTTCAACACACAAAATTATATCTATCCTTTTCAAAATCTCAGCCTCGGCTTTATTCTTAAAATATTCTTAAAATTTCGCCAATTTCAGCCTCGATATTCTTATAAAATATATTCTTATAAAAAAAAGAGTGTAGTTCGCGAACTTTTACAATTTTTGTCATGATCTGCCAGGGCTGTGCCCCTAGCGACAATCAGCACACGTTTTTCTGGTCTTGGGGCTAGATACGTGTATGTCCTTTTTCATTCCATCATTTTTGTTCTCTAACTCGTATCTTTTTCCTTAATCTACGCGGCACTATCCTTTCGCTCTTCAGTCAATCGTTTTTCACTAGTTCGGCCAATGTTTGTAGCGTAATTGGAAGAATCACTGTTTTCAGAACTGGCTCTTTTTCGTGCGTTTCGGCAAAAGGCAAAACAGTGAATGAATGGTTGAATATTGCGGCTGACTTGCCGCGGACCCACGTAAGCAAGTGTACAACCCACCAACAGCTCTACCGCGCGGTACAATGATTGAAATATTAACCAAGGCCAAGGTTTTGGAGGCTCCATTTCTTCTCCTTTGTACATTTTGTGCACACCAATAATCGAGTACAACTGAAGCGCGCAGCTTACAAACCCAAGCAACACTGTAAAGTAGGTTATTTTGACGAGTTTAGCCACGTTAGGGCGATATAAACGGTTGGTGCCAGGTTCTCCTGTTCCATCGTCCCTTGCACGCAGGCTTGCTTGCCCGAGGCGAGTCACGTGGCTGTGATTACGAGTTACATAAGTGACAATTTTAGTACCACTATATATAAAGCTAACAGAAAGAACAAAACTAAACACGACGAAGAACGACTGGCACACGATACTGAGTGTTTCTGCGTCGGTAAACAGTGACATTGTAATCTCTGTGATGAACGAAAGTCCAAAATGAAACACGATGACACAGGTCAGAAATTTAATGCTTTGGAGTTTTTCTGGGTACAGCTTGAGTTTCATAACTTGAAGAAACGCCAGGTGGACCAATGAGAACGAAGCCGTGATGCATGGTAGGGCAATACCGAAAAGAATTCGAGTCAACATCACGGGGCACTTAGGCAATACGTAGCACTGTGGAGACTCGTAAGGATTGACAAAGAGAAATAAAGCCCTTGTCAGCCCGAGAATCAGTAACATGCTTGAAATGACCATGGCTAAATGCCCTCGTTTTCCTCGTCGTTTCCCCTTGACTATCTGTAACAAGGATGCTAAAGAGTACAACGCAAAAAGAGTGAAGAGCGTACCAAACCCAATCCAGTGAAATTCCCAGGCCCACTGCCATGTCTGCAATGCAGGGCCCCATTCTGGGATAGGCTCAGCTGCAACAGCAAGGCCGCCTCCAGTTGGGCTTAATTCGGTCTCTGGATAAGGCTCTCCTACTGCCATTTCACGCCGCCCTGAAAACAAAATATATTTATAGAGTTATGTGAGTCTCGCAGGCAATTTAGCCACGAGGCTTTCCCCGCTTCTGGAGTATAAATTACAGTCAAACCAGGTCAAGCGTTCCCGTCGCTAACAAACTAATGAATTCATTAATGGAAAAATGATTTCGTTGTTGATTCAAAATATATTTATAGAATAATCAAATGTTATTTGGTTTATGAACAAAATCTACCTGTTCTTTATTCTTGTCTGTTGTGTTCAATCGTATTTGCAATTTTTAATCAAAATAACGAGGCAAAGAAACTTTCACCGCACATACCCCTCAGTTTGACCGTCGTGTTTTTCTAAGAGGTCAGGCCTAGGTCTGTTGCACTGATTATTAAACTAACAATTAACTAGAAATATGGCAGAAAAAAAAAAAAAAAAAAAAACAAAAATTCTGAGGTTAACTTGTGGAGAGTGTAATTTTTCAAAAAAAACGTCGTTTGTTCGATTATGGAATCGAGGCTAAATATGACTATTGGATTATTCATTTTAAATGGATTATTGAATCAAAAACGAAATCATTTTTCCTTCTGGTTCGTTAGCGACGGGAACGCTACTATGTCTAAAATGCAGCTCAATACTGAACTCAGTTTCTTTTGAAGCGTCATTGAAAATGTTTGTTTAAACTCCCACGCACAATTTCCGGGTTATTTATGCTCCAACGCTTTATTTTGTCTCACTTTCTTTAGTTTTTTCATAAAAACAGACGGGAATGTAAACTATCAGTGAGCTGTGAAACGAAGGACAAAATGTCTAAAAATCAACGTTTCTAGAAATACATTTTTCACAACTGAACGAGGCTAGGAACAAGAAACTTACGCAATCCGTGACGCATGGTTTTTGCCACGCCTCAGAGATGTAAATGGTTCTTAACAAAAAACCTGAGGGCTTCTTGACCTTCCCTTTTGATTTTTATGGCACTTAAAACGGTTGGCGATAGTTTTAGTTTTTTTTTTTTACACTTTGTGCGTCATCTTCATGCGCTTTTTGGGTCATATTTAATACAGTAAGAAATGGCTGCTAGAGCGTGGGTGGATTACACACAAACTACTGTCAATGGATCGCCCAATATTAGGACAAAAAGAATTTGATTGTACAACATAACGTACTACATAAAATACCGAAAAAAGCCCTAATATGTTTGAAGACAGAGTTATTTCACTTAACCCTTGAAACAGATACAACTAATTCCAAATAGCTCTACAAGTAAACAAAAGGAGACAATGGAATTAGTTGGAATTAGTCAGCGTCATAGTCTTATCCATGTCAGTCATGTCATCCACTAACCTACGTAGCTGGCATCCCTCCTTAATGAAACCGCTAACTACGGAGGTTAGTTTATACACCACAGAAATTGAGAATAATACCTCAAATTAGCAGTGCGAAAATAATTCATTTGGTGTTCAAAGTATGCTTAAGATAACCCAGGATTGGCGTATGAATTGAATTCAAAGCTGAACTCTTACCAAGCAAGTCCTTGCGGTATATTCTTTTCCCCTGTGTTTGGATGCTCTAAATTGACTAGTTACAATGCTTTAAACAAAGGAAAAGGGAACCTGGATTAACTTAACATTTAACCGTAGTTTAGTGAACTGCACAACTGAACGGTAGTTTTGCCAATCTTGATAATTCAACTGATGCAATGAGGTCCAGTTATTGTGTTGGACGTTGGAACGAGTATGATCTCGTTTAAATAACCGGCCCATTGAGAATTATTGCAATTATGAAACTTACAAGGTAACCAAACACTTAACGATTATTCAAACTCATTAATAATTCATAAAGAAAAAACAAAAGAAATTAAAGTTTAATGAGTGTTTTTATATCTGATAAAGACACAGCTAACCTTTACGTCCAATTTTTTAGACCAAAATAACCCCAAATATAAATATTACTGCAAGAATGAGTTTATCAATATCAAAGATATTGAAGCCGTTCAAACTGAAACTCGCTTTCGTGTATTGCCAGGTTTAAAAACTACCAGCGTCGCCTCGAGTGTTAAGACCTGATAATACACTCCTCCTCGTTTTGTAGACAGTACTTAAAAAGGCACACAAAACAGTGAAAAGCTCTGATAAATCTTCAAGAATAGATAATTCATTGGCAAATGAAGTTAAATCAGTTTATATTCACAAAAAAGATGTTTAATGACAGGTCACCCAACAATCGAATGACTCCAAATACCTCGGAAGAGTTCCAGATGGTTTTCTCTATGCTTTAGAAGCCTGTTTACTTAAGTTGGAGCTGCCCTTAAATTTATTTATCTGTTTTAATCTTATTTATCTTAACTTTTGTCATCTCGAAGTCTTAAGTGGTTTTTTTGTCTTATCCAAACTGTTAGGTAACCCATGATGGGTCCGATCGAAAGTTCAAGGACATGGTTTAGGGGTAGTTTGTATTTTTATTTTCAGGAGATCTTTTTTTATTTAACAATAATCGCAATATCTTGCTAACAAAATATGACAAACACAACCACCGAAAATGGTTAGTAAGTTAGTAGAAAAACTCCAAATAAATTTCTTCCCAATAGTGCTCCTTCGAACAGTTATTTTAAAGAAAGAATTCGTTGGGTGCCCTAGTAAAGTCTGTTTCGTGCAGTGCCTGTTTTCTATCAAACGTTTCTTGATATTTGCAGATAAATGCAGTGTATTTCGTTCTCTAGTTTAATTCGTTATCCGGCCGGCTGCATAAAACTGCTAAAACAGTCTTGGCATCCTGTTGGCAGTTTTTAGTTTATCTTGAAGTTACAATGAAACCTTGCAAAAGCCTTATTATGACTGTAGAACTATACCGAAATTTCTCGGATTTTTTGGGCTCTTTGCGTGAACAGCGATTTTCTCTACGATTACGTTTCAGATCAGCTAGGCAGCATGTAACAAGTTTGTTTATCCTCTCTTCCTAAAATTTCAAAATCTTCCTTGAATCGACAGAACTCAGTAAGAACTATTTTAAAAATTTATGAATAATTGCAACAGATCGGATACGTGTACGTAATGAAGCGCGGATCATGAAATACCATGCTAGATTTAATCCTCTTATTATTTAGACAATCTGTGCAGTTAGTAAGAGGCTGTTGGGAAACCAGAAAATATTTTAGGGTAACTGGGAAAACTGATTTGTTTTTATCCCTTGAGACACAAGTGCGGCAAACTTAATAGCAAGTATGTTAGATGGTAAAAGAAATGCTCGATATAGAGCGTGGTAACTTTCTTCAGATGTCCGGAATGTTGCACCCAATTTGACGTTTACTCTGCGTTCACTGTCGCAGCCCTTACTTTAGGATTATTAAAACGAGTATAGAATTAACTTCAGGTTCTAAGCTTCGATCTCAGCCTGTTTTCTAACGTCAACATAGAATTAAAGGAACACTGGTCTAGAGACATTGATCGTAATCTCTTGAGTCATGCATGCAGTCTTTGGTCCAGGTGCGTCATTATGTTGAGCATACGCAACTAAGAAAGTTAGAAACCAAGATTAGAATTACCTTTGCTCCAAGCGTCTATTCCGGTCTGTTATGTTACGTAAACATAGCATTGCATCCCACGGCGTCCGTACGTGTGCAGTGGGCTTTGCTGGAATTGACAATCGCTTTTTAAAAGATATTGTTCCCGCTAAACTCGAAGATGAGATGAGGCCGGTCTCCACCAACAGTGTGTCACGAACATGCAACCAAAGACATCTGTAAATGCCTGATCGTCTGTCGCGTGTTGTACAACAAAATTTTAAGACTCAGGTTGTTATTACAGTTTGCCAGTGAAGTTCGTTTTCAAATGCTATGGATATGCAAAAGATGAATGTGTGGCCGACAAAACTGACTTGCGGGCGTTATATTAACGGGTTGATTATATGCATTGATGAGCAGTGACAATATAAATAAACAACGCTGAACCACACAATAAGCACATAGAAACAATATATTTTGCCGCACCTTAATCCTTTTTGATCAACAGTGCTATTGTATTTTTTTTTTGTTAGAAAAGGAGTAGGATTATGACATTAATGTCAGGGGTAATGTTAAACAATTGATATTAATGACTGTTAATGTTTTAGATTCTAAAACATTTTTAATCCCTTAATTTGGGATCTGTTCTGTGCACGTTTGGATCATTTGTAATACAGAATTCAAGAGACAGATAAGTAAATAATTTATTGTGTGGGGAAATTAAAGGACTGTACTTAATGGCTCTTATACTTAACATATTTAATTTAAGGGTTCCTAACTACGAATTCACGTGAGACTCAAGATTGACTGTGGAGCAACTCTTTCAATTTTTTCAGTGGTTCTTATAGAGGAAATAAAGGGTGTTGCTTTCTTTCTCTGAGTTCAGTTTAGTGTTTCTTTTTTTTTTTTTTTTTGCCTTTTAAGAGGAGCAGAAAACAGCGAATTCAAAATCCTTCAAAATCGCTCAAAATACCACTTCTCAGGCAAAAAGATGACAATTTGTCGAAGGTAAGGTAGCACAGCGGATACTTCAGGGGCACCCAACGACTGTTTTCTGTAAAATATCTGTTCGGAGAAGCAAAAATTGCCTACAATTTTCTATTACTTGAGGAAGGCTAAAAATTCCTAGATGGTCGTTCCATTCATAAACAGTTTTCGTAGCTTATCTAATAAATTCCCCACGATTTTCTAAAGTTTAGCCCTTGGCATTTCAGTCCCCAAGTTAGCCTATTTTTCGTAGAAAAAGGAAACCTAAAATTTTCGGATTCGAAAATGCGATGGAGAGGGGAATCAGAAAAATTCTCACTTTCGTAAAACCTAAAATTGCATCTAAAATTTTTCGGGAAAATAATACTGAGGCCCTAAGTAATTCGAAAAGACTCAAGTTGCCGTAGGACGACCGAACAGATACAAGTTTTATAACGCTGCTTAGAATGCATTTCTAGAGATTTGAAAGTACTCTGGATAAGCGAAAAAGTGTTCTCAATGCATTTAGGAGGAAACCGTCGTCGGGTGCCCCTTATACTTAGCTTTAATACATGCGCATATTTAGCGATATACCACTACAGATGAAGCAAACGGTAAATGTAGTATATTTACCATAAAATTACATCGGTTACATCATAGTTAGTAGATTGTGTGGGCGCCCTCTGATTTTGCTCGGCAGAAAGACAAAACGGTATAAAAATGGGCGAGAATTTAGTTTCAATTAAATCGGAAAGATTTCCCTCTTTGCCAGGTATGACAACGTAAAGACATTTCAATATTGTTTAAGTAATCGATAAATTCACATACTGGAAGTGCTTAACGACAGTAGCGGGCATAAGATTTATCGAAGATTTATATTTCAACTTTGACGGTCAATGGCTAAAGCACAGGCATCGGCTCACGTTGCAAAGTCCAAGATGTTGGCCGGCGTCGCCGCCATTGTCAGTTAACGTATGACTGGACCCCTACCTCAACAATAAATTGTTCATCGACACAAACGGCGAAAGAGCACCCTTGGTAACCTTTAATTATAACCATCTCTTCCAGAATTGTTAGTTTCATGCTGGGTTTCACGTTTTCCGCTTTCTCTGCTCTCTCCGACACCTGCCCTGTATACTTGTGTTTCAGGTCCAATTGAAGCTAACACATAACTTGTTCGTTAACAGCAACTCCTTAGCTTGTTGTGAAACGAGATGAAACTTGATTTGTGTACAATTTTTGAAGCTTCCATTTCCGAAAGTTTGATCATGTTCGATTGCTAAATTATTCGATTTCTCAAGTTCAATTGTGTTCGATTGGCAAAAGTTTAGGGTGAGCTCGATTATGCTCGATTACCGAACCAATAAAAGTCAATCGAACGATTGGAGTTCGATTGGGTTCGATTTCCGAACGTTCGATTGACTTCACCAGCATCTCTATACACAGGTACTCAATCATCGTCGAATACGAAATAAAAGGTAAATATCCTGACCAATACTCGAACGTTGACAAAGGAGGAAGTGAAAAACCTTTGACGAGGAAATCCTGTTTTGTGTAGAATCGCCTCATTTCTTATCTCATCTCCTAGCAAGCGAGACGTAACGCTTTATTAAAAGCGTTCTTGTATTTCAGTTTGTGATGACATTACTTTGTAACTCCAGCACGGTATTGTGGGATTTCATGGGACAGGGAGCGAGGGAATCAGACTTTAAAATTTTTCTTTTCCTAACCATCTTGTACTCGATCGTCACATGATATTCTACCTTTCTTAAATACAATAGATCAATTTTGATAAATCAAAATTTATACTTGGCCCAGAGGCTCAAGGGAATCGGCTTCAGGACTCAGAAATGAATAATAAATTCTTTTGTTTTATCCCTCCGTGCTTCAGGGCGTGTTGCACAATTAAAACCTTTGCAGGGAAAAAACACTTCGAGTCGATGAAGAAGAGAAGAATTTTATTCCCCGGTTTTCCAAAGCATTCATTTACAGTTTTCCTCACTTCTATACTCTGTTGTACCCATTTTGATTGTAACTTTATAAAGTCATGAATACAGAAATGTAGGGTATGTGGCCATACTTTTTGTTTTTCAGTGCCCCGTCTTGTCTGTGTTTCTTTTAGTTTTAAACTATTGAACATGAAAGGTGAAATTGTCGGCGTTTCCTGGAACTGTTAGACCCTCAGAGTTTTAATAGGTGTGACGGATTGACTAGCTGTCCTATTCGGTGTGAATATTATCTGGTACAGTCAAACCTGTACTAATTAAGTGCTCACACTTGTGGAATGGCTTACTGACCGCTTGCTTACAGATACAGATTGATCGTTTGATATAAAGTTATTCAATAAGGTGGAGATGGTGAAAGAGCGAAATATTTATCCCACGATGAAATGACCTCAAAGTGTTTCTACTTCTTCTTGTGTCAAAAACACGGAAATAAAAGACCACTAAGTGATATGCACAGTCCATCTGCTGCACTAGTATGGTCACCTTGTCAAAGCACCCGTTTAATGGAGATGAAAACAATAAAAACAACTCGTTGGGACCTCGGAAAAGCAACCTCGTCCCCAGGGCGCCAGGGAAAAGCGCCCTGGGGACGAGGTTGCTCGGAAAAGGTGACCGCGACTGTCAAATAGAGATGACCTCTTACTACAGGTCAGTTTAGCTAAGGGAAATGATTGCCGGGACTTTGATAAGTGACCGCTTAATAGAGGTACGCTTAATACTGTATCCATTATGGACACGTGCATGTATTTTTCAAATATAATTTGAGATCTGGGCAAGGGATCAAGATCAACTCTAGATCTCGTCGTCATCTTCGATTGGCAGTCAGAAACATTTACTGTCAGCTGGACGAAGTATAGCCCTTCTTACGAAACCGGAGCCAGATGGCGATCACTACCCAACGACGCTTCTCCGTTTTGATTAATGTCTTCTTCATACTTTCCCCCCTCTGTAATTCTGCCTTTAAACTTTTTTGACAACCTCAATGGCAGGCTACTTGTGACGGTATTCAATGCTACGTTAGCTGCATTGATAGCATTTGTCGCTGTAAGGGTCTCAGGTATCCTCATTCGTATTTGCTTCTGCCTCTCTTCGATGTAAGCGCTAACAGAACACAGGACGCTGGACAACACACACAGGCCAATGGTAATGAGCACGATGGTAAAATTGACTGCGATCGTCTTGCTGTGGTCTGACGATCGCAGCTCGCCGTCATTGACGACGTAATCTCCGAATCCAATCGTAGAGACACTAATAAAGAAGAAATACATCCCTTCCATAAAAGACCAATTATCTGTGTGTGACGTCAGAATAGCACCAAAAATGACCATGAGAATGAACAGCAAGAAGGTGACCACACTGCTTCTTAGCTCAGCACGCCCCGACTCCACCCCACTTAAAAAGGTTTTCTCCATGAAGCGTATGAAGACGCGGATAGCCAAACTCACGTGATTTCCCACGCTAATTAGCATGATACCTGCGACTGGTATGGAAATGAGGCTGAAGAATATACAGAACAGCTGACCTTGCCAGGTATGGGGCGACATATGACCATAACCTGAAATAGTGAGAAAAGGCAAAACTGTTAATTAAAGAGCATTACCATGAGACACGGAAGCGCGATTGCTTTCTTTAGCCCTTTCACTGCCGAATTTAGCCAACAGCAAATTTCGACCAAATTTCCTTTTGTTAAATTTAAAAAATAATTAGCACCATGTGAAAGTACAGGCAAAGAGCTTTCATTTGAATGGTCACATCATAGGATTTCGTTCGCAGACTCGAAAGTTTAAGTTACCGTACAAAACTCCATCAAACACTCTGGCAGTGAAAGGGTTAGACGAAACTGAACTATTCGGGCGAACGTTGGGCCCAGCCCGAGTCGTAGAATACCTTCGGTCAGGAGCCGATTACTTGCCTCCTGGTTCGGTAGTTTCAGTATTTTTTGCAACGTTACGCGACACAGGCCTACCGGCGCTCGTCGCTGTTGCAAGTGGTGCAGGGCTATCATGTTATGAGTATAGTTCTTTTCACTTCGTGTATTGTTGTTTATTTCCCTTGTCATTGATCATTACAATCAAAACAAAAATCGTGTTATCAAGTTCTTTTAACAACAAGAGAGAATAATGTCGAATCATAGCACTTACTGTTTGCTTGCGAAGAAAAATGGCTTCTAACGCAGAGAAATAAACTATCGACGACGACGGCTTAAATTTTATTTGCTTTCCAAATTTCACTATCGGGCTTTCCGTCTCTTCTATTCCCTAGCAACGCTTTCTCAATGGGATACATACATGCTTTTCGGATTTTCCCCACTCATCAGAGAACGGTTAGGAAGGTAGTCTCTCTTTAACTACACAACTCTTTTTGCAAAAATTGCGTAGTATTAAAGTATTACATTGGTTATTGTTAACGTAATCTTTGTCATGGTAACGTTAAATATATTCAAATATATTTCGGCAATATGGTAAGAAAATAGGGAGCAGTGAGAAGTGTATGGGGAAGCCGGGCCGCTTGTTGGATCGATTCCCTTCGCGATGGTTACTTCCTCTGTTCTTCTCTTCGTCTCTTCCCTACTATTTGAGCGCTTCTTACACGCTCAAAGGTATAAACTAAAAGCCACAACCACTTTATAAACATCACAAGTTTGTAAAAATATAGCTTTGAAACAAGATCTTTCCACAGACGAACATTTGATCTGCTTGTCCAACTGCAGCAAATTTCAAGTCATCACGTGGGCGATGACCAGCTTCTAGACTAGTCAGCTGACTAGTTAAGACATTATAACTCGAGAATTGTAACTCGACGTAAATAACTACGATGCACTTTTCGCAGGCCAGGAAATAAATCAAATCATGAATAACTGACTTGAGGTTACAGTTAATTTGAGTCATGTCTGGAATAGTTGTGGAAGATAAAAAATATAGACATATCATTGATTGTTATCTTACCTTAATATTAGGTAGTGGCAAGACAGAAATAAATATTTCAGCCAGTTTTTATATCATAACACCAGTAATTAAAATCCGAATCTGAATTTAATAAAATCTGAACTATCATACTCTTGAACCCAAGCCGAGGCCGTTTTTACTTAAACGTAGGCCAAGGCAAGTGTAAGTCATCTTTGCTCTACAATCAGAAGGATACTTTTGCTTCTAGAATGAATTTCCCCCGCTCATAAGATGTTATCAAAATTACCTATGGTTGTCATGATTGTAAAGGCGAAGAAGAGAGAATTGCCGTAGGTCCACCGACTTAGTCTCTCAGCTTCTTCCTTGTTGTTTCTTTCTTGTTCGAAGGCAGCTTCTAAATCCATCAGATCTGTCAAACTCATGTTATACTTTTCCGCCAAGCTTTGTTTTAGTATCGTCGCCTGGTAAGTCTCTCCAGTGGAGTCATTTTTCTCTCGTTCTAACTCCATAAAAATGGCTGCCCCAACCAGCAGCACTATCATGCATACTGTTATTTTAATGCAGAGTGATTTGGGCTCAAATTTTATGCCGTCATCCGCATCTGTCATTTTTAAGCCGGTTTAGTAAGATCCACTGATAGACTAGCTCGAACTACAGACGGCCTCGAAAGAAGATCTTCTTAAATAGGAACAGCTGCTTTAAGGTTTCCTCGATTTCAATTTTTCATTGAGTAGTTTCATTGGAAGAATGAGTGAATTAGTGAAAACTAATTATGACGTGTTGAACGTCGGTGCTTGAATCTCTCTTGGGTACCTGCTGTATTTACAGCTACTAAAAGCAAATAGAATGCTTTACAAACTGTTGCAGATAAAATTCAACTAAGGGAGAAAATATTGACACCAGTCATGACTGAAACAAACTATCGAAGTTTAAGCTTACATCTGCAGATAATTATCATATAACTGTAGAAAAACATAACTCTCCTTCCAGCAAGCCTTCGGAACCCGGATCAGTGGTGATATTCAAGTGCAAATAATTTGCATTTTGCAGACCACCTGTTTTGTAATTTACGCCCATTTTACGAGTTAAATTACTGTTTTCAAAACTCTCTAAGAATTGTTTGCCTTAGTCATTCTATGAGGACGCCCGTTAAACAGCTTTTTTATAAGAAAAATGAAGGAGTGAACCCTCAACTGTATGAAAAAAGATGGATTGTCATCATAGAATCTTTTCGATAAAAGTGTCTCTGAAACAGACACTTTAAATGAACCACATTATCTCTCAATTCCTTTTCTGTTCAATAATTAACGATACGATGCCATCTTTCAAGTGCGGTTATCCTTTTGCATTTCAATATACTTGAGTGTTTGCGGTCATTACGAGCAGAAAATGAATTGCTTATATTTTTACAAAAGACGATTTCCGGACCATTTGGTCGTCGTTCAAAAAAACTTCCTCCCTAGGGCTTTATTTTTTCAGGGAACATGCTGCTTGCAGCTTCTGAAACTGGGGGTGAGACCACTTCCATCGTAGGAGAAGCCCAGTCCCAGTCTTGTCGTATTTACAGATTCAAGAAAACAGCTTAACCAAGCCATGCATGTCCATTAATTGACACGATATTGCAAAAAGCATAGAACTTAACAAACACAAATTTAAACTATGGTAAAAAATTTAATTAACAGCAGAAAGATTAAGCCAATTATCATTCGAAAGTGTAATCGTTATTTGAGTACGGTATTTGACGATCGGCTCCTGCGTTTAAAGGGAGGTTAAATAAGGTTCATCTTTTTTCCTTAGAGAAAGCCGGAAATTTGAAAAGTTATTTTTTAACGTTATTAAAGAAAAGAGGGACAAAATTAAATCTTTCAAATTATGAAATTCAAATTTTCGTATATGTTGCTTATGGCCCCTGCGTTGGTCATCTCGCAAAACGGCGAGCTCTATTTACACACACTTTTTCTGCTTCCCGAAGTTGTTGAAATGGAACTGGAACACTGAAGGGAAAATATCAGTTACCACCACAACGAGCTGTGGACCATATTATACCTTAAAACTCAACCTCGTTACAAGGGCTTTTTGCTCAGAAAATAATTATTGTCCACGACGATTCCGACTGAAAGCAATTTGTATAGATAAAGACAGGCGTAAAAATGGAAATGTATTTTTCTTATTTCTGTTCTGGAGGAAGCCAGTGTCTTTTATTCCGTACTAATGGAAAAAGAAATATAACTCCAGTTATTTTTTCAGCAACCCTAGCTTGAAAACTGAAGAAAATTAAAGAAATGTAAGTGGCGGAATAAGTGACGTAGCATGGGCCTTACGTAACGATTACCTGGTTTGCCTGTGTGCTCCTGAGCCCGCACACATGAAGTACTGATGATGCAACCATATGCAACTCAAAATATGGCGGTGGCCGATCATGGAGAGTTGAGGTAATTTCTTTGCATTATACGTTTTCTTCACAGCTTTAAACGATCTTATTAGAGGCATGTTAACCTAAAATCATTTTTTCTATCCAGTTATTCACTTGTTGAGGAGATTGAGCTTTTGGAAGCTATATATATTCACGAGTTAAACGTTCAAGGTCCACGTGAAACACAGGAAATTGTCTTGTGGAATCGTTCGATGCAATTCAAAAGACGAATTTTAAACGGCACATGAATTAGCATATATGATTTTTACAGGCTTGAGAATCATCGGGAGAATTGCCCGCTGATTTTGTCAAGCGAATCAAATTGTCCCGGAATCATATGTGATGATGACTGAAGTTCTGCTAAATCATAGGTGATGATTTTTTCAGCAAAGTCAAAATCATTCGTGGAATCATAACGTACGAAACCGTGAGTGTCTGGAATCATCACCAGGCGATTCGCTGCTGTTATGAAATCGTTTGTGGAATCATAACCTTGTGCCCAACAAAAGGGAACGTTGGATTCACGAGTGAAAGATCGGTCGTCGAACTGTCATAAACCGAACTAGGATCAGACGAAGTTGAAACGAAGACAAATATGAAAAGTGTAGCAGAAGAAGTCTTGTAGTTCCTAGCGTGCGCGCATAAACTAAAACTTGAAAGGGGCTTGGTACGAGATTTGACCGTGTACCTCTGATCTAACACGAAAATCCTGTTGTATTTTATTGAAACTTTCAAGTTGAAATCGTTTAATCTGAAGGTAGTTGAAGATCGTGATCATCCATGGATGCAGGCCGGACCTTTTAAAGGTAAACTTTCTTGCTTTGCTTCATAAATAAAATGGTAATACATTTACATTCAAGTGATGGTACTCATAGCAGAAGCTTGTTAACGTCAAAAACATGTGTATACTACCTGTATACTGTTGCCTTTTGCTGGTTGGGTAATTTATTTAACACAAAGAGACCTTCACACACACACAAAAAAAACAATACCACTGATGTTATAATTTGTATGATAGCAGGAAGACCTGTTTTACATCAAACTAAATAAAACAGTTCATTTTGTATAGCAGAAAATAACACTAATTTGCATATTTTTTGGAGTAAATTTGACAGAATATTGAATAACAATATCTATATTAATTATAACCTTAAATTAATTTAAACTATAAATCACAATTTACAATGGTGATTTGAACAATGCACAAAGTAATTAAGTGTATAAAATCATTCATATTTTGAGTTAAACAACATTTTAAATGACACCAAACCAGTTAAGGTATATGATTATTATTATGATGATTGTTGGTGGTAGCCCCCATTCAATTATCCCCATCATTTGAAATCTGGATTACCCCTGGGGTCAAACAGGTCCAAATTAAAATGAAACACAAATATTTTAATTAATCAGAGCTGTTCTCTAGCAGAGACCATTGGCTCCTAGTGCCTATAAGAGGGGGCTGAATAGGGGTATGCAAATCCGCCGATCCGTTATGATTTATTGGCCAAATCCGCCATTAAAATTTCGCCCTGAATCCGAAATCCGGGCAAAAATATTTTTATTACACGTAAAGTTCAAAATCCGGGCCTAAAAAGTCGATGAATCCTCAATCCGCTGCAATTACAGGATCCGGAAATCCGTTAAAATCTCGCTTTGAATCCGAAATCTGGGCAAAAATATTTTCAAAATCCGCCGATCCATTCGCCTATTCACCCCGCTCCTGTAACTCTTGCTCTCAAGCAACTTGAAAGTCTTACTTTTTTCATTCAAATCATATGCTGGGCACCCTAGGTGTTACAGCCTTACAGCACAGCCTTGAACTTTAATAACATGTTGCACTTAAGTGCCGATGAGTTTTTAAGATCCAGACTTGATCAAACAACACAGAAATTTTGAAATGTTAAGTACAATTTGTTCTCTTATTTTACTTTTTTGTACTTGTCATAGATATTGACTATCAGTCGAGAATTATATATAGGCCTGAACACCCAACAACTGATTTTTTTAAAGGCAGGGCTGCCACCAGGGGCCAAGGAGCAAGCATTTTACTTTTGAGAATGATCCTTGGTTACTTTTGTAGGGAAACAAAGGCAAAATGGAACCAAATGCAAAGAACTTTCTAACTTTTCGATTCCCCACCTTTTTAAATATGAACTGTCCGTAATAGAGACGTGTCCGTATTATAGAGGTGTTTATAAGGAGAGGTTAGACGGTAATGTCTAATGGTAAACTGATGACATCACATGTGTAGGAAGAGCCCAATGAGAGTGGATGCACGTTGACAATTTTGGGCAGCTCATTCAGATGTATTTTCAAGGGTTCTTTTTTGCCCATTTGGTACTTTTTCAGTTTGCAGACTTTTTTGTCTACTTTTAAAAGTGTATGTTTCACAGAGTTTTGGATCCAAAATTCAAGACTTTTTCCAGACTTTTTCCAAAACAAAAATTATTATTTCTCTTTCCAGACTCAAATTTATCAAATAAAGGTGACAAACAGAGACCTTTAAAAAACACAGGAATCAAGCTTTTCTCATGATGCACTATAGTAATCACAGTGCAAAAAATTTACCCTTTTTTCCTGTCCTTTTTATGAACAATGCCTGTTTAAGCTTTCCAAGCCCTTTTCTGTTCACTACAAGGCCAAAAAGACTTAAGCCTATCGAAAATGTTGTTTCTTTTAGTTAGTAAATAGATAAAGAATACAAAATGTGAGGTGCAAAATGTGTTTTCCAAATGGTGAACAGATACCTTTCACTTAATCTTATCTTCTTTTCTTTCACCCCTTTAACTTGATAATTTAGTTCTCTTCAGTGTGGGAATAGTTTTGAAGGAAGATTATATTGTACAAATAAATGAACAAGATTTTCATAGCAATTTTCCGGTCACCTTTGCAATGTTTTCCCTGGCACAAATATAGTAATTTCATAGGTATGTGGAAGGATCAGGGTCAGTATGGGTGCAGTGTCCAATTGTTTTATTTCATATTATTTTACAATTACATATTTTGCTGCAATTAAAGTATATAGTTGTTAGTGGTAAACAATTTCAAACATTAAATCAAATATATTGAGACTGTCAAACTATAATATTATTCCAAACTGTATAATTTGGAAGCGAATTAAAATAACTATTATTGTACATGTATGAAGTGCTCGTTAGTAAACAGAAATGATGTAAATGAGTAGTGTCTCCTTATTGTGCTATTTAGTCATTTACATACAGCTGTACTCTAGTCATCGACTCAGATTAGCTACCAGAAGATAGTTCTTTTTGACTGGAAGCAAAGTCACTCTCCGTATCAACCGTCTAACATTTACGATGTGCTCTCCACGATATAAGCTGTTCTTTACTGCAGGAAGTCCAGAGAGTTTATCCGCATCATGGTTCTTGTTGGCAAAATAAAACCAGTCCACACTTGCAAGGTGATGAACTCGCATACTAGTAGCTCCCATCAAGTCTTTCAAATGAACTCGTGCAGTAAAAAAATAACGTACCTGACCAAAGTAAGGAGAAACCTCAGTTTTACTTTCAGGTTTGTCTAATTTGTCCACACAATAGATCAGAGCTGTCTGGCCCCTGTCAGTTCTGTTGTAAGAGGATGAAAAGGTGGAACCATTTACCATACATCTCGCAAAGGTATCTATACGGGGCTCGACAAACAGAAATGAATCCTCATGGATGTCTGACATGTAATCTTTCAGCTCATTGTAAAATTCAAACTTTGGTCTTTGCTTGATCCTCATTGGAGGAAGCATCTTAACAGGCCATTTTTGGTCGATTTTGTCTATGTCCTCTTGTTCAACTGTCATTTGGATGTCCAAATTGGTCACAGATGTTCTTGAGGGTGCCATGTACATATTTTCTGTCCCTCTGAAAAGACGTTCTGCTTGGATTCTTTGAAAAACTGACCATTCTTCTGTTCCCTCTTCCAGATGTTCACTGTCTTTGTGTTTCATAAGTGGCTTTAAAGAAGAGGGAATATCATTTTCACTTACCTTGTCAAGTAGTGGTAACTTTGCAACATCAATTAAATGCTGCATGACAAAGTTTCTAAAAATCTCCTCTTCTACAGTTTTCCCACTGGTGTTGACATCTCCTAACAGACCAATGTGTCTTTCATAAGGAAAGCACCACCAGCTGGTAGGAGGTCCCCAATTCTGAATGAGCTTAGGGATGTGTAGAGTCATGTGATAATTAACACTTACCTCAAATTTTCCAAACACTTTTGAATACAGTCCATGGTGCTTGTGAAGAAGACAAGAGATATTGTTTACTTCATCCCTTGTTATGGGGTCTTTCAGAAGCAGTTCAACTGCCTCAGCAAGACATTTTGTGGCATCATAAAATCTGTTTGGTACTACATTCCATAAACAGACCCTTGCATAGGTGACAATGAAATTCTTCCACTGTTGTGCTTTCAACCCGCGCTGACATCTTGTCGAGCATTGTCTTTGGTAGCCTTCCAAGATCGTAGGGCACCCTCACAGCATTCAATCTGTTTGCCAAGATGTCTCTCTCCTCCTCTGTCATCAAGTTGTTGGAATTAGTTATAAGTTCTTCCCCAAGGTCTGAAACAAGGCCCATCAAGATGCTGTGCATGGGATCAATTAAGAAATTTTCAACCATGTTGAAGTATGGCAGACGAGCCAGTTCACTGTACTTTACTCCTGTTTTTGAGACATTGCTAGTGCACTTGCTTTTGTTGTTGCCTTTCTATATATACCCATTGCCTTTAAGACTCACTGTCAGTCCGTGCTGGTGATTTCTAAACTTGTGTAAAAACTCATCTTGCCACTTGCCCCTCTGGTGCCCTTTTCTCGAACTGCCCGAAACATACATTTATCACATGGAAGATCGGCCTTGTGACTCTTGTATTGTGATAACTTCCTTGAGGCTGGTATGTCTGCAAGTACTGGAAGAAGTAGAGAACGGGTGAAGATGACCTCAGGCCCAAGTACTTGAACGTGAATTCCTTTGTATAACATGATCAAGTCGTCTACAATTGGGGTCAAATAAGTATTGATGTGACCCTCAGGTTCAGATGGACCTGGAATTAGACCGATCAGCATTGACCACTTTGCTTTAAAACGCTGACTCTTTGGAATGTTAAGGACACTCATGTACAGGGCTCCGCATGAATAAAACCGCTCGTTGAAATGGATTGAAAAAATCTAGGTAAAGTAAAAGTGCCAAATTCATTTTGTCCTTCAGAAGAGGCTTTGTGTTGTCATCAGGATCCATTAGAAATTCCTGAAGAATACGCCCATCCCATATGTCCCTATAATCAGTTGTTGATGGTTCAGGCCGGTTTCTTATGAGATTTAAGAATTCTTCCAGATTAAAAATGTCTTTATCCACTCAGAAGGTGCTAAAAAGGATATGTCTTATATGGAATCATTTTAGTTTTTCCAAATGAAAGCTTTCGTTCAAAAGAAAGTTCTGCATTACACCTTTTCCCATATAATTTGTTCCTGCATAAGCGAGGCTTTAAAACCCCATCCCTCTCAGAACTAATATCATTCATCTGGTAGAGACACGAGCATTTGGGGTTGGGGCAAACAGCAAAAAGTATTGTTTTGTTGAGAACCTTAAGATTGGCAATGGTTTCAAGGTCACTGATTGACTTCGGGAAAAGCATATATAAGGGATGACGTATTACCCAAAAAATGAAATAAATAAGATCTAGCAACATAGAAAAAATAGCATTAGATAAATTAAATGATAGTTTTAAACGTAAAAGTATTAACGAAATCCAGCGAATTAGTTTCCCTTCTTCTTTTGTCTTTATGACATCTTCTTTCAGCTCTTCCTCCTTGCACTGGTCTGCACCATTTACTGCAGCACTTTCTCCTTCCATCATGTTTTTCCTCTCGTCTGCTTCGGATTCAGTGCTGCAGTCTGATAGTTCTATAGTGTCTAGAGGTGTGAATTACCAGAAGTATATTAGTATTTACAGTCATGCATTCTTCAAAGACTGTAGTTTTTAAGTTACATATATTTGGCAATAAACAATGAATTTAAAAAGTCTCTCTCATAGACAGAAACCCTGAGAACAAACAAGCAGCTCATTGTAGTGCTGAATACATGTTAATGTAGATTTAGCTGCAGTCAGCTTTTGAATTGATTATCCACAACCAATCACACATGAGACAGTATTAAGTTGTTGTCCTCCGGCAGCTGATCAGTCAGATCATCCTAATATTAAATTCCTAGACAATTATTAATAGTTCCCTTATGCACCTATCAATGTGAAGTCGGTGGGGAGCTGCACATTGTTGTTTAATCTCAATTATAGAATTCCAACTAATGGCCCTGTCCCATGGATATAAGATATAAGAATGTGATGTTATGATCTTTTGTGAACAACAACAAAAAGGTTAAAAAGTCTTAAGGTTAATAATTATTCTTGATTTCCAGACTGTACGGCACATGCGTGAAGTGGAACACATGTGATCGGTCTTGACAAGTCTGAGTTAGTGGTCAATATCTCCACATGCCACGTCGGTAAAAAAAGGAAGGTTCAAATATCCCACCCCCCAGAAGAACATTAGTCAAATGCTTAACTCCAGGGCCAACAGAAAACATTCAAATCCTTATGCAATGCCCTTCCTCAACCCCCCCTCCCCCCCTCAGGCTTTACATGGACAGGTGCATTAAACATCTGTATTAATTCTCTGTTCTGTATCAGGGTTGTCATTAAGAGCCGGGGGCCGGGGATTTTCCCCGGCTACTTTTATCGGAAAATAGAAGAAAAATAGAACCAAAAGAAATCCCTGGCCATTTGATTCCCCGCCTACTTGTTGTATTTACCCGGCAACTTGAAATCTTAGTGACAACCCTGTGTATGCTCATTAAAGTCTACCAAACAAATTGAGGGTTACTTTGATTTCAATTCTAAACTGATACAGATTTCATGAAAGTAAAAATTATACCTTTTAAGACAGCAATCCCTTGATCTTCCTTGTCACTTTCTTCAGAGTCAGCAAGTCCATTTTCACCTGAAAAAAGTTAAAATTGTAATCAGTATGGGGAATTATTCCTCCCAAGGAAGAGGACCCCACTATGAGATGAGTAAAGTGGTGTCACCTCTTCCCATTAACATCTGTGTGATTGAAGGTTATGTTGCCTGTAGTTAATTCATTAACTGATCCTTACAGACGATCCAATCATAGCCATGCAATTAACTACAAAGCCAATGATCACCAGGATAGAGTACCCCAGAGTTAAATTGACAGGGATAATAATTGAAAGAGGTTAAATCAAAACCAACAGAAGAAGACGTGTGGCACTAGCACTACCATATGCCAATAACGTTGTTTAAGATACCCCCAAAAAATCCTTGGCTAATTCAAGGCACCCAAAATAATACCTGGCCTGTCACTTTTACATCGGAATTCTCCTACTAGCAAGGATTATAGGCATTGCTTTTAAGATTTATCTCACTATATACTGGTAAGGTTGTTTTGATTCAGTAAAATTCATGATAAAGGTATTGATAAAAAATATACCTGAATAAATTTGCATTTTAGTTTCCTCAGCACTGATGTTATTATTGCTACATGTCATGTCTATCACAGATCCTTGAACTTCACCTGGAGCAAACAAAATCCAACATTTAAGGTGGCTGCTAAGAATACTGGCAATTAGATGTTCTCAAGCAATGAGTCTATGTTTTCATTATTTTTAATGTAGAAAACAAAACATATTTTGAGGAGGAGTAATAATGTATTATATTAATAAGTAATTAATTATTATTAAACTGAGTGGTCTTAATTGCAACATTAAAATATCCAAGTCAAACTTGAATGTTATTGTTTTTCGATTAAGTTTGCAAGTAATAAAAAATGTTGTATATGACTGTTATAAAAAAATAAAGCTGAAATGTAAGCTTTGGAAATGGTGTCGGTATGTTTTTGTGTGTTTATTCCTGAATTAAATACTAAATACTATGGTGACTGCTGTCTCAGAAGCATAAAGAGTATTAAGTGGGGATGAAACTCTATTTTCCTAATGGGGCTATACATAATTATAAGACCAAAGATGAAAAAAAAAATATAAACTGTGCCTCTTTTAAAGTTGACTTTCTTTTTTCTTTGACGATCATGTATACACAATACATGTCAAAATTAAGTTCAGGTTAAATTTTTCTATCTAGGTACATATTGTCTGTTTCCTTTGTCTCCTAGCCCCAATAATATTATTCACATGAATTAGGGTTTGGAGACAAAGGAAATTGAGAATCAACCTATCATATTAGGTTGAAATTTTTTCAGCTGAATTTGATTGACTTGTAACATATATCTCAGGGGCTGATCTAGGGGGGGGTGAAGGGGTGTGCACCCCATCCCCTGAGATGACCTGCGGTTTTTTCTAATACAACTGGTATTCTGCAAAAAAAAAACTATGTAGTTTATTGGTGTTGAAGTAGAGAAAGAGACGAGTGCACCCCCTCCTAAAAAAAAAATCCTGGATCCGCCTCTGTATCTTATGCTAAAAACAACTGAGAAGTTCCCTCCTCTTCCCGTATTTAGGAGTCAATTTGCTGACTTTCAGAAGCCAGAGTTAGTGTTATATCCAAGGCTGAAAGTAGCACAAAGACAACTGACAGTAATGTCCAGGAAAAGAGAATTCAAGCCCTTCTATCATACCTACTTTCTAGAAAAATCTAAAATCATTTCTTGTAATAAAAGTACTTCTTGATGTGACTCACCAATAAGAGTGTGAGCATCATTAGTGACATTCACCTCACATGACCCAGATTTGATGTCAATAGAGGGAGGGTTGTCATGTCCAGCTGGCTGACCAGCGGCATCTTGAAGAAATAAGATACAAAAAAAAATAGAAATGCACCATCATGTGAAGTTAAAAATTCCGTTGTAATTCAATCAAATCCATTTACTTTTTCCAATTAAATTAAGTTTTTTTGACTTATTTTGCCGAATGGTCCATATTCCTTGATTGCAAATCCGCGATTTTGAATTCCAAATTCCTCAAGTCCAGTCCCAAATCTACTTTTCCCAGTAAGTTTTCCCAGTTGAAGATTTACGCGGCATACATATGTATTTAAATCGACAAAGTGCTATCAATAGAAGAAAAGACTTACCTGGTATCTCTGATGTCCTTAAATTGGAAAATTTGGCTTTTTTAGATGGCTGCCCGCTGCATTTGATGTTCTCCGTGTACCGATCTAATCCATAAAGGTTCCGATGTCTGAAAACAGTCCGTCTTGAGCGCAAGCAACCTCGGCATTCGGGGCAGAAACACGTCTGATAATCAGCCATTCTGAACTAACTTAAATAATCTGTATTTAATTCTTGGGTTTGTCATACATGTACGATCTGCTGGATATTTTGGTGCTCCTTTTTCGCGAGATAGCGCCAAATTGCGCGAATGTGGCGAGCTTTATTATTGCGTGACAATGTTTGCGCTAATTTGACGCAAGTTGAAATTTTTCGGTGGACGCAAGGAGAGAAATTGCTCCTTCAAAGGGGGGTTTTTGGCGGAAAATGGAAGTGCAAAACCCAGAAGAACTTATGAAAGTGTTACTCGATAATCCGTCGGCTAGAAGCCAGTTGAATTCCTTTGTTGAGCAAGCAATTGCGAAAAGTCACGTAAGTTAAGTGTGTTGTTTTTGTTGCGGGTTTGCTTGATAATTAATTAAGAGGTTTCATGACAACACTTAATTGACAAAAAAATTCTTCCCTTTTGTTTTCCTCTAGTCACCTGCACCGTCAAAAGTTGTACCACTGGTAAGTAAAAGCCAAATGTTACAATTTACTTAAACGCTAGCTTTTGGGGGAAAAAACTATATACTAGGACATTTGTTGACGTCAGCTGCATCTTTCAGATGTATATTTCGACGGGACATTTTACTTGATTTTCACGCTATGTAGTGTATGGCAAATCCACTTTTAATATATCCTGTGAGCTACTTTTTTAAAATAAACTCTGTAACTGATCTGACTCAGATGGGGGCACAAATTTGAGCGCTTTTTGGAGCCGGGTAGGGCACTAAAATCACTTGTTCAAAGTTCGGTCCTCTACAGTCTGCAACTGAAGTCCTTCTGTCATTATTTCATAGATTAATAAATGTTATGAACTGAAAACCTTGTATGACACAAAGAACTACAGTACATACACATTTTCAAATTGACATACAAAAATCCAATTAATAAATAATTCAATAATTTGTGACAAAATAAATCTATAAAACTTATTAACCCTCGGACGTACAACGGTGGGGGGTTGGATGCCACCCCCCTGCCCATAAGGTTTTCTCCCAGAGGATATAACATCAGCACCTGATCTTTTCAGTAGCTATTCGTTCATCCCTCGCACATATTTTGAGTCAAGTTTAATTTTTTGGTCATGGTCCATTTCTATGGTTACGAGATATGACATCAAGTAGGAGGTGGTCAAGCCATTTTTGAGTGAAAGTACATTTTTTTCCAACTTTTTCAAAAATAACTAAATCTTGTGGCCAAAATCATACAAAGTGCTTAATTGTGTGTTATTTTTCATCTGAAGCACAAAAAAATCACCATTTCTCACAATTTTAACCTGATTTCTAATCCTTGGTAAAATCCAAGATTGCAACCAAAGATGGCAACCATTGTTGGTGATGTCACAGGCCCCCAGCAGCACCACCACCCATAAAATATACCTCATCTTGTAGAGAAGATGAAAGGCTTTCCACCAAAGGTAAAATATCGTTACAAAATACTGCAACATATCAAAAACTCTGGGGATGGGTTCCATCCACCCAGTCCCCCCCCCCCTTGTACCATGGTGGGGGTATGAATTTGCTTGTACGTCCGAAGGTTAATATAATATCTTATATTCATATCATTATAAAATGTAATGAAACCATAAAAAATACTACCCTAATTGCTTCAAAAATAATAATAAAAAAGATGAACAAGGTGCATTTTTATTTCATATATTGGGTTTTGAGGCAAATCTGAATAATAGGGGAAACATAATCTACCTATAGATCCACATATCGCAAAAAATATATTAACCATTTAATTGACTCAGTGATATTTCCTTCCACTTATAATGAGCACAACATATATTTAATTATGTGGCTGAGATTTGTAAGACAGTGAGACCCTTCCATATTACATGTTGACTTAATTATAATTCAACAGATATGCTCTTGTTGAAATATTTCACAGGACATTATACGAGATGCATTTGAATTTGAATTCAAGGATCAAATTAATCCAGGAGAAGGTATAATTAAACAACCTTATTCTTCCTATAATTTATTACCGGTAGATATAGTGGGAGGAAATCAAATGTATAATTGAATCCTAAAAGAATATTTGCATCTTAAATGTTAGTTAAGAAGTCGGATGTAATGTATGTGTTTAGTTTGAAAATTGAAGTTGGGAACACGTATTGTCCATATATTAAATTTAATTTATTATCAGTTGATGTTACTCGAGTGGGGTGTATTGACTGTTTTAAATTCTATTTGTGCTAATAAAATGGCAATAATTTAAAATTCGTAACAGTGCCTTGGTCAGATGTTCAAGACTCTGTGAGAACTGAGATGGTGGAGTATGTAAGAGAGATGATGTCATCAAGTGGTGTGTCATTACCAACAAGAAGCATTATTGGAAAAAGGATTAAAAGATATTATAGGAGTCAAAGACACCAAGCTCAAATTAAGGCAGACAAGGAGAAAAGAAGGAGACAGCGGTTTCTTAACAAAAGGAACCGTCTAACAATGGTAGGATTATACTGTATTTTTTATTTTCATACTCAAATGGCTTAGATGAGGGGAAAATGAATGGAGGGATATCGAGGTAGGGTGTTCATGCCAGGACAAGTGAGGGACAGGATTAATGTATTCTCCACTGCCTGGTTGTTTACAGCTGGCAGATTAAGATAATTAACGCAGGGATTAGTGAGAAATTAAATTTGAATGAATTCACATAAATAAATGTAGGCTTATTAAAGTGCCTAGCACATGTACTTGTGTACACTACGTGTTACACTACGTGTGCTTGCGAATTGACTAATGATTGTTGCATCACTTGCATGTGCATTAATTCACGTGATTACTGACATCAGATGGACCAGGGCCTTTGTGGTGTCACATTCCATGAATTTCAAAGGACACATCCTAAGAATGTGGATAGATTCTGGAAAAACCTCGCTATACAGTTACTGAAGTGCCACTGACCAGTTGTTATTACTGTATCATTATTTATAACTATATTATTTGTTAACAAACCGCTGTTCCTTTCTTTCCACAATGGCTTCAATAATTAATCAATGTCTCATAAATGTACCAAAATGTTAACTTCCAGGAAAAGAGAGACAGGGAAGTAAGGAAAGCATTGGAAAGGGAGGAGTTGAGCAGTGAAGAGATAAAGGAGCTGAGAAGTACGATTGCCCCAGTGGAAGCAAAGGAAGTGGTAGTTTACGATTCTGGGGATGAGGATGCACGCTCTGACCTTCTACTGAAACGCAAGATCAGTTTGGAGAGAGGCAGGAAAACAGCCAGGGAAAATCAACGCAGGGGAAGTCGCCTGCTGGCTCTTCTTAGTGGTAATAAGGCACCCAGTCAGCAAGTGTCTGTCAAAGACCTGATGGAGCTGGCAAAAGAGAATGTTCCACTGCCAGCAGCTAAGGCTCCATCAGCTAGTCTGACCCCTCTGAGGTGCTGTACAACATCTACTGCTGATGCAGCCTTACGTGCACAACAAAAGAGGGGCAGGCTAGCATTAACTAGAAAGCCTCAAACAAGCATAGGTAAGTTATCTTTGGGCCCATCAAGTGAACGCAGCAACCTCATGGTGGCTGCTGGGGCACTGCGCTCCTCACTGGTGGAGACTGAGGATAGTTTATCTATGGCTGTTGACTCATCACCATTTCTCTTTCAGGGAGATTTTACTGATTAAGGACAGTGTAAGTGAGGCTACATGTGTAAGAGATAGCAATACAGACCTGCCAATTTGTGGCTAAAATGTTACAAAGCCCCATTAATATTAAACACTGGCACTAGCATCCCCACAGAATTTCTGTTTTATATTCAACAACGTAACATTTCATTTCAGAAAGATATCTCCCCCAAAAAACATGAGATATGGGAGTCTTGTTGTGGGGCCATGTGACAAGTGAAAAATCATGAGAGTCTTTGAAGCCAGAATTGTGAGAGTTGGCAGGTCTGCATGGCAATATTAAAATAGACACTTTTTGGTCCATTAAAGGATCTTATTTGAAAGGTTCGGTCTAAATTATTCTTTGGTTGTCTTTAAAAGACTGTGCTGTTTCTTTTAATACAATCAGTAAAATCTCAAATGATTCAATGTTTTGGAATTGTCCCATAGTGCAATCAAATGGTTGATTGTACGAACATCCTAGGAGATTAATTAGGAAGCAATATTAGCCTTTGAATTTTTTTGTGGATAACCAGAGTGCCTAATTAGACATGAAATTCAAACACAGTGAAAAATTACTGACTTTTATGGTCTATCTGCAGTCCTAATTCCAATAAAAGGATTTATCCTTGTGGATGAGTGTGGACTCCCATAATAAAATTGATAGGGATGCTTGATTATTTAGGTGTTCGATTTACAGGTTTTGATCCAATCTCGTTCCCAGGTTTTTTCTCCTACCCGTCGAGAGACCCTGGCGGGTCTGGTCATGTATATCCCAGAATCCGGGACAGGTAGGAGATAACCCTGGCTTTGATCGCACCACATAAAGGTGTTTAGGACAAATAACCAATATTTTAACCCATACAGGCACTGCTTGATGTTGTGGGTAAAGAAATTAATTATGTCTATATAATTTGATGAAATGTGTTGGAGTTTATCATAAGTTTCTGTAAGGATTCAATTCAAGCCTGAATCAAACCCGCATAATTTGTCCTCTTTTAGGGATGTCACTCTAATTTGTTATTATACTGAGCATCATGTCATTTTTATATGGGATTTGAATTCCCGCATCACTCAGGTTCCTTGAATAGCAGCCCAAAAGTCCAGCTAACATTAATATTTTAGGCTGACGCAAAATATTGAAATTCAAAATACAAAGTGTAGTGTTCCAGCTAGTATAGGTCACTGACACAAACCAGTAGATCGACAACAGAATGATGTATTAATTATCTCTTCATTCCCAGAATGAATAATGACTCTTGTACTAGATTTAAAATCTGCTGATGAAATTCTGTGGTATGACCATTCAAATGAAACCTCTTTGGCATAACTCTAGGCGCTATCTGTTTTTTTAGCACTTTACAGAATGAAATTTAAAAATTTTGTCAGATACTTTTGACAATTGCATGCCATTCTGGGAGAGAAGTGGTTATAATTTATAATATACATGTATATAAGTATTGAACCTTACAATTCCTAATAGTGACCCTGAACGCCAATCAGTTCCTACTGGCAATATCAATATGTCATCAAGAGAGAAGGTTCTGAGAACTTTCATAGAAATAGTCATCTCCGAAGGGAATAAGTTTTGATCCTCTATCAAATTTTCTATAATGAGATGTATGGGATATCATGATCAGTCTCACAGAATTTGTTTATTGATATTGTCAGGCTTAAGGAGTAAATATTGGATTTCACTAGTCTAAAAAGAGGATGTCCAAGGGGAATGTGTTTTGATCTCCTATTTATAATTCTCTAATTCTGACATGATATAATTGCTTGCTCAACAAATGAATTCAACTGGCTTTTAGCAGAAGGATTATCAAGTACATTTGTGTAACACTTTCATAAGTTCTTCTGGATTTTGCACTTCCATGTATATTTCGTCAAAAATCCCTTCTCGAAGGAGCAATTTCTCCCCTTTGGTCGACCAAAAATTTTTCAACTTGAGTCAAATCAATTAACGCAAACATTGTCACACAATAGTAAAGATTGCCACAATCGCGCAATTTGGCGCAATGCAGCAAAAAACAAATTTGTTATTTTACATTGTTTATTGATATTTGTTCATTATTAATTGGATTTCACTGGTCTATTAATGTTTATTAATTTAAACACGAACTTGATTATCTATTATTAACATTCAGACAACATTATATTTGTATTGTATATATAACATCGCCATTAAACTTACGTTTTCTCTGACAGCTGTTATCTACACTGATTCCTTGTGTATTGTTATTTTTCCAGATTGGATTATTTTTGATCCGCACACTTCACAGTGCAATTTGTGGGGAGACTCTGGAATGTTACTTCAGTTCACCAAGCATTTTTCAAATTGTTATTAAAAAGGGAAATGTTTGAAAAAAAAAATTGTATCTGAGCATAATTTTAAGACCCAAATACACAAAAGCAAAAATCATTGCGATGATTTCCTGTATATTCACATATCTGAAATGAGAGGATTTGGGAAATTCTTTAATTTGGGGGGGGTTATGATTCCACTGACAGTATACTCTCAAGCTACAATGAGTGATACTTTGATTTTAACAATGCGATAGTGGGGGTTATGATTCCTCAAATGATTTAATAAGTCTTGCAACATCGTGGTTATGATTCTTAGCTATGACAACACAGGTTATGATTCCTCAAATGATTTCATAAAGCCTTTAAAAACCAGGGTTATGATTCCTGTGCCTGACAAAATGATATGATGACTTGGTGAAGCCTGGGCAAACCAAGGTTATGATTCCTCAAACACATAAAATCATTACTGAAATTACAATTGGTTATTTGACTATGCCATTTCCTGTGTGAAAGGTGCTGAAAGTTACTTTGATTATTTTTTATTATTATATAAAGCTTATTAGTTAAGGAGCTTGCTAGATTTTCTCAAGTAATTTCAATTGTTTTGAAATTTTGCTCGGGTAAGTTGCGCGTCCTACTATTTATGGTTATTGTAATCACTGTACATTTGTAATTTTGTATTTTACATATAAATTATAAAAAAAATGTTTTATGCATTGGAATGCGGGACCCATTTTTAGTGATACGTGTGCTATACCTACGGCCCGGTCCGGGGTGCTTAATTGAAGTATTTGATGAAAATGTGCTGTCTTAGTTTCTCTACACACACCCTTGAGGGAAATCCCACGGAGGGGGATACTTGTCGCCTCTTCTAGAGAAGTGAATTTTAGATTTTGGTTTCTTGTGGGGTCTATTAGAAATGTCACTCGCCAAAAGGATTGCCCAGAACTGCAAGAAAGCGCAATACCAAGTCCAAAAATCTGCCACGATCTTGGTTGAAACCAAAAGCCAGAGGCTAAACAAAAGAAAATCACAAATGGTTGATGACACAAAATCCAAAAAACAACACATTCTTGACGTAAAAACTGAAAACCCAAATCCAAAAGTTGCCATGTCCTTAAAACTGAAATTCCTAATTGCCCAATGATCAGTCTCCATTCCTCATACCTAGGTTTCACAATAATTTTCTTGGTGGTTACTGATTTTTGCCTGAATTTCATTCAGTTATCTGTAGTGTTTGTTTCTGTTTCTATGTTTTCCCATAATAATTCTTATTCACAAGTGAAAATTATAAAATGTTTCTATTTTGAGCTATTTATTGGTAATGGCATATATAGGGAACAGCCCTGGGGATCTGGACTGTCCCTCAGATTCAAACCGAAAAACAGGCCTGCAGGGATGGGGTGCATAGATAATTTGTTTCAGTCTGAGTGTATCCCTCCCCCTTTCAAGTACATTTAGGCCTGGATCTGCCATTGATGGTTCTTATCAATCTGTTGTGGACCAACATTTTAAAAAATGCACTTTACTTTAGTGTCAATGTGTTTAGCACATTAGTGGTCAGGTACTAATTTAGGATACTATTTTTGAAGACACTATTTTTACGTTCCCTACTGGATTTGGTACCACTACTTTACGTGATCTTCTGAGCAACATGAAGGTCTAGCCGTTTGCAGGGCAAAGGCAATTCCTTCATTTGTCAGTAATTTTAAGACCCCGAGTAATGGTCGGGCCCTGGGAATCAAACCTACGACCTCCCTCTCTGCAGTCAAGCAACTGAGCTAATCCTCTTTTAAGGAGAAATCACTTTTACTATCTTCACTTGAATCAAAACAAACCATTAAGACAAACCATTGCTTACAATGGTTAGATTTTCAACCTTTGTTGTTTTTTTTTATAAAAATATTATCAGGTTGAAATTGACCACTTGTGAAAGAATGAAACTACTCTACTTTAAAACAGTCTCCGTCTTCATGCATGATGTTTCAAACCATATTACATCAGAAAACCTTTGTGACGCATTTACTCATTCTAGACAAATACATTCATATGACCAAGATCAGCTTCTGCTGGAAGTTTCTATGTTAAACCGTCTAGATTAAACATTATGCAGAATTCTGTTGCTAGATTTGGTACCATCTTTTGGAATTCTCTGAGTACCTCTACTTGTAAACTCTCTTGAAAGCAATTTAAGGAAAAAATCCTCTCCCCTGAGGATAATAATATATTGATTCAACACTTTTTCAAAGAATCCACGGTCTGTAATAATGTCTTCCTGTTTAAATAACTTTCTGTAGTTAAGCTAGTAAATATATAGGTGTGTACTTCTTTTAACTAGTTACTTCTTTTTGTATTTTATTTATTTATTCATTCATTTTGATTCTTTATTCATTTAGACACTTTTACTTATAACTTAAATTGTAAAGATACCATTGTTTTGTAATTTGCTACATTATGTTCATTTTACTTTGTAAACCCGTCAGATTCATAATAAAGTTGTTGTTGTTGTTGTAGAATGCTATGTTTCGTCAAATGGTATGTACTGGTACGGTAATAATTTTGAATACAACGTAAGACTGACTTTATGATAACCCTTTAAGAGGAGTATTAAAGAAATATTCTAATCAAGATCAAGTTGTGTTTTGCCATCTAAACATAACAATTTATGTCTCTTTCAGTCCGACAACTGTCAGTGTCGTGCTTCATCCAAGCACAGGAGATGATGAACATAAGCGCTTTGTTTGCCTTACCTTAGTAATTCACCTTCCACCAAAGGTATTATACGTACTTATTGTACATACAGTGGAAACTCTCGTAAGCAGACACTCGAGAGAAATGAAAAAGGTGTCCAGTACTGGAGCTGGCCACTTACGAGAATGGTTTTCAGACATAAGTGGCCACTAGAGATGTAAGGTTTAAATGGTCGCTTACCGGAGCTTCTCCAACGACAAATAAACATTGGAAATGCAAAAAACAGTTTGACGCTAGTGTCTGGCTATACTGTTGTTCTGACAATTATGTAATTCAGTCACATGGTTAGCGTAAAATTCAAGTGGTGTTTTGAAGTGTAAATGGACATGTATGTGAAAAAAAGAAGAAAAAGAAACGTGGAAACTGAAATAGATTCATAGTGAGGAACAGCGATATGAGTTGATATATTAAAGTAGAAGATTCAGAGGCAAATGAGATTTCATTTTAGGTGTTCGCTTGTAAACCCGTTAAAGTAAAGTTCTGTTTCCAAAGAGGTCTGCTAAGATGATTCACAGCAGCCAAAAATGCAAATGTCAGTTGGCTTTTGAATCTTCAGTGCAGTAAGCAAAAGAATCTGGCCACTTTAAGCACATAACACAGTTTCTGTTGTCCTAGGGAAAATGTACACTTTTTCTTAGGTGTCAAGCGTGTCTGGACTGTATCATGAAAAATTAATGGAATTGATGTTGTGGAAGCTAATGCTTCACTAAATTAAGGGCACAAAAATCAATGTCAGTAAATAAAATTATAGTTTGCATTCCTATAACGAGGCCTTTCTTTAAGCTGTATTATATACAAGTGTTTTGAAAGAATTCCTTGAATTTGTTGTTCATTACCAGCTGAGTAGTCTGAGTTAAATCATGATAAGGAAAGTCTCTTCTTTCTTCTTTGTTTTTAGTACCCATCAGAATTACCATCCATTACTATCAAGACTCCCAGAGGTTTATCTGAAGCCCACATTGAAAGGTAACATTGTGTTGCCAAAGCTCAGTTACAAGTTGTTGCAATGATTCTATTTGACTGAGAGCTTCTGGAATGAAATGCCACCGAAACAATGTGTACAGCATTGGTGATATAGAAAGAAAAAGTAATGTCTTGATACTGTATTTCTGCAGCATTTTGTCAAACTTGAGGGAACTTTCTGAGAATTGCCTTGGAAGACCAATGCTTTATGAACTTATTGAGGTAAATTACAATTAGAAATAGTTATTTCTGTTTAAAACTGAATTACTTGCCAGTGCCTCACTGCCATTAAAATACTTCCTGTACACATACCGTTTCTGGTTTGGTAACAAAGTTTATTAAACAGAGACTTACAGATATCCTAAGGCATTGGATAGGGGCTTGGAAAAATAAAAGAATATATGCTTTAATTTTAAAGCATATTGTGTAGGAAAGGGCATTGATCTATGCAGGATATGCAGAAATTTACACAAATGGTATCTGAGGCTCTCTAATGGAGCAAATGAATTGACATAAGGCATCTGATGTTTGCCATGAAAATGGCATTACCAATAGAATTATGCACATATTCTCCCACAAAACTGTAAGCATGACATTCAGTGCCTTTTTTGGTGATATCAAGGAAAATTTTCAGTTCAATGCAGAAAAGGCAAAGATTTAGTTGTCAGAGAAATGTGTGGATCCACACTCCGCAGGGGGGGGGGGGGGGGAGGGGTACTCCGGGGAATCCTTGGTGGGGGTGTGGTTATATCAGACTCAGCGAGGTGCATGTGGAATAGGGCTAGGGTTAGGGTTAGTTGGTTGGGGTTAGTTGGTTTCAGACCAAAAAATGTCGTTTTTCCACACTCGTTTTCCGACCTAGCATCTAAAATCCATACCCGTTTTCAGACCTGGACACTTGGAACTTCATCGTTACTTAGATTAGAACACCAACAAAGAGATTTCTTAAAATCTATTTTGAATTTGCATCGCCTGGTATTACGATTTCTTTCTTACTCATTTGGAGTTCAAATGACAAATACATTCATACACTCTCAAAGTTCCCTCGTAAACCATACCCGATTCCAGACCAAAAGAGCAAAGTCTATACCTGTTTTTACACCAAAACAATGCAAAAACGATATCCTTTGGGGTGGCACATACCTATATTTATCCTATCAGATACCCCTAAAGTTGTTTATTGAAGCAATGGATAAATTTGTAAATGAAGATTACCAAGGTCAAGAATCTTACTTAAATGGGTACGCAATGCAAGCCCAAAGTTTTCATAAATAACTATTGCCATTAGTCTTCAAGAAATATGAAGTAATATTAAATTCTCATTGTACACTAAACTAGTAGTATGTAATAATGAAGTTATGTTTATCTCTTTAGTATGCAAAAGAAAGCTTAACTGACAACAATGTGCCAAGCTGTGCCTGTGCTATTTGTCTCTGTCACTTTCAGGTATTAAAGCTTAGATACAAATGAAAATGTTTCAAAAAATTATGATAATATTATATTTTCAGCACACCACACGACATAATCGATTCATTTTTAAACCCCTTCACCCCTGATAATGACCCAAAGTAAAATCTGTAGGAAAATTTCTTGCTGTAGCATCCTAAAACCACCCTTTAAACCCCAATACCCACAAAAAAATTCTCCAAACATTTCCTTAACAACCCTCCAAGTTAAAGTTTTTGCTTGGTCGCCATTTGGCGACCAATTCTGTTTGTGTAGGGAGACTTTTTTACAAGTCAAGTTGCCAGCTTCAAAATTTTAGGCGCCATGGTGACTAAAATGGTCACAACTTGGAGGGTTGCTTAAAGAATTAGTCGAGAGAGTTTGTTAACAGATCAAAGTATTTTCTCTTTAGTGATCATTTTATTAATTCTCATAACCATTTCTCTTGGTAACATATGGATATTGGTAGGAGAAAACTGATGTTGGTCACAGTTGGGACTTAAAGGGTTAACTAGTACTATGCATACTCCCACCAAAGAGGTTTCATTGAATGGCAACACCATAGTTCTGTGTCATAAGTTAGTTGGAAAAGTGTTGTACTAAATGATTTAACACAACTTTATGAATCTCTTACTACAGGAAAGTGATGAATTTACCAAGACAGAATGTTATCACTACTTCCACTGTGGTTGCTTGGCAAGGTACATAGAATATTCACTGCAACAAGAAGATGAAAGGGAAGACAAAACCAAGGTACAGTAGTGGAAGTCATACATAGAGTGTATTCATTGTAAAGGGCATTTTGACTTGGGGTAGGGTAGTAGGGGAGAGAACTTGCACATTAACTGCCCCTGGGGGGGAGGGGGTGGGGTAAAATGCTTTAAGGGACTATGTCACCAAGGTATTGCTGCTGTAAGTAAATTCTCTGCTTAAGTCATTACTAAGTATCTTACCCATAGACAACTTGCTCCTTTAGAGTTATGAAGAAGATATTACATACATTTCATCAGTTAGGAGAGCACTGACCATAATACATATTTGCTGTTTTGCGGGCATAACACTTAAACTTGAAAAAATAGGCCCAGTTTTTGCAAGTTTTCAATCCATGCCCAATGCCATCCATAGCAGTAGATGAAAGGAAACAGTTTCAATGCCTCAATATAGTCTTAAATAACAAAACTAGAACATTATATGTATTTGGAGTTCAACTGATACGAAGATACGTTTTTTTACTATTTGAAAAGATAGCAAGTAGCGTGATATAGCTCCTTTTTATTTACAGTGGAATGCCTTCTTTGCAGGTGGAGTGTCCCATGTGTCGACTGCCAATCACCTACAACCTCACACAACTACAAAGTTTTGCTTCAAAAGAGCTTAAGGAAGAGGAGGTCTGTTGTTTTTCACTTGAGAAATGTGTCCAAGAATGTGGCTGTTGCTTACAAAACTGTGCACGAATGGTTGTCTTTTGTATCTTTGCTTGTATTAACACCAAAGGAGAAATAGTTATTTATTCAAATCCTCGAAGAGCGATCAACCCGTATATTATCACCCCTGTTAGGTTAGTAGAGCGAGCGAAACGCGTGCGAGCGTGAAAATCACCCCACGCGATAAAAGCGACACGCGGCGTGTCGCCTTTTCTCGCGTGGGGTGATTTTCACGCTCGCTAGCCTTTCGCTCACTCTACTATCCCTGAGAAAAAATGGGGGACAACTCATAGTCTACACCCCTTTGGATGTTTTGTATTTTATCCTCAGACTTTCACACAGCTGTTTCAAGTACATCTCCTTTTCTATCCTACTCATGCATCGCAAATGTGGTAAACAAAACAACAACAACAACAACTACAACAAGGAAGTGATTGACAAGATGTAGGCGGTAGAAAATTCGGAAATTTACGAAGCTTAAGTTTGAAGCTTTCCCGCGGATAGTTTTAAATGGCGTAATCGCAAGATCTGATTAAAGACGAAGAAAATGGGTGAAAAGAAAGGTGGAAATTGTAGATTGACGAGAAGTATGTTTTATTTATTTTTCCAGATAGTTTACAAACCAAGTGAAGAAATAAGAAAACTTCAAAAGAAGATGGCGTCTCTGTTTGAGAAGCAAAAGAAGAAAGGGGGGATAATTGACATCGAACAAGAAAGAAACAGATTTTTAATCGACATAACATCGGTATGTGGTAAAGCCTGTCAGAGGCAGACACAAGATCAAACACCTTTTCCAGTAAATTCATTGTTAAGTCTAGTCACAGATAGTGATACATGTAGCCGTTACTGAGCGAGGGAAATACCAACGGACCAATGAGAATCCGAAGCAAATACATGAAGCCGATGCTAAGCGCGGGAAATACCGATGAACCAATCAGAATTCGAAGCAAATACATATGTATGTAACTTGCACTAAGCTTGGCCACATTAGGGTTTGGTTTTTAGTTTTCATTGCATGCAAAACCAATCCAATAGCGAAATTATGGAGGAAACTACAACAGCAAAACAAACAAATGTCTCTTACAAGGCGGTTTGAGTAGCCATACCTTTTGCCTTTAATCGCGGAGCGCAAAGCGCAAATTTTCTGCTTCACGTTCGGCTAAATAATAGGGACTGAAAGATCCAACGACGCGATGGTAACGAGAACGTCACTTAAAAAAGTGAATTTACCTTTTTTAAGTCTTTATCGCAATTATTCCTACCCACTTACTTTGTCAAATGTAGGCGAATCCTCCTGAAGTTCAATTCCAAGGGACCATATCCAAGCTCAGAAATTAAAATGAAATTTCGTCGTTGCTTGTTTACGTTCTCCATAAAACGCGAAATTGGGCAATTTTACGTCGTAGTCGTGCTAAAACGGGAAAGAAATGTTCAAAAAGCGTGATGCACTTGTGCAGTTGTAGTTTTGCTCAGACCGATTGTGTTTTAGACGTTCTCGTTGCCATCGCATTACTGGATCTTAAGGCCTCTTTACATGGAGGTGGGGGACCCCGGGCAGGTGAGGTAAGCCGCTGAAGTGGGGTAACCCGGCTGTCCATCACTTTCACATCATCGGTGAGGTGACCATATGAGAGATTATATGGACAGGCCTACCTGGGGTCCCCCACCTCCATGTTAACAGGCCCTAAAAGGCCCTAATGCCTGTTGTACTGACTACTGACTGAGACCGGATGTTGTTACAACCATTTCTCCATATGACGCAATAAGTTAACAGGGACGGCGGAGCGCAATTTCAACCTGGGGGGCTACGCTTGAAAACTCGTGCCGGAGACACGAGTTTGTTGGGAGGGGGGGTTTTGGGGGCACCCTCCCCGGAACATTTTGAAATGTATAGGCTCGGAAACGGAATTTTCAACACTCTCAATGAGTTATTTCTCTAAAAAAAAACTCAACCTGGATAAGGTGTAAAATGACAGGTACTTCTAGCGCTTAGAGTATGTACCAGGAGGCGATTACTTTAGCAATCGGCTCCTGCATGTACTTTATACGTAAACAAAAACGTTTTTCCTCTAGAAAAGTGGGGGGGGGGGGGCTACCCCCGGCTCCTCCGTCCCTGGTTAAGGGCCAAGTTGAAGATATTATGAAACAAAAGAAAATAGAGTGATTTTACCTAAGTTACGGTAATAACATACTACGCACTGTGTACTAATTCCATTGTCTTCTTTCGCATTCACGGATTAAGTAAAGGCACAATAAATAGCGTTAAGTGTTTGTTGTCAAAGATTCTAGAGTATCACATGCAAGAATTAATTTAAATCATTTCTGTTGATTGATAGGTCCGTCAAGAGGAAACTTTGCCTGAGAGTGAACCCGACCTTGAAGCCGTTACAGACACTGTAAAAACAGATTCCGTTGTAGATCCCTGTACAAATAAAGCCCCTAAACGAAAGAACGGAACTAAGGAATATAACGCAGAAGGTAAGCATGTTCGCAGACAAAAACCCGAAAGGAGAGAGAAGAGAGACTTTTCTAAAGATACGCGACCTTCTAGAGGGCATCGGCGCCCCGCCTTTGACAGAGCCGGAAATAAATCAGAGGAAGAGAAATTTAGACAAGATAAACCAACAATAGAGAAAAGACACGCAGCAGTAGATAGCGGACCGAGGAGAGCAGAGAAGAAGGACGAAGGAAAAGGAGCTATGAAGAGTTCTGAAGAACAAGGCAGAGCCGGTGCTGGTGGAAAAATGTTTAGTGCGAAGTCGGGAGTAGAACTAGAGAGCAGAACAGAGACGAAGGACGAAGAGAAAGTGGCCATTAAAAGTTCTGAAGAACATCGCAAAGATGCTGGTGAAAATCAGGTTAAGGCTAAGCCGGAAGTAGAACCAAAGAGAAGAACCGAGAAGAAGGACGAAGGCATAGTGGCCGTTAAAAGTTTTGAAGAACAAAGCAAAGATGCCGGTGAAAAACAGGTTAAGGCTAAATCGAGAGTAGGACCGAACACAAAGACTTCTGTTGCAGACGTCTCTGAGAAGGTTGCAAGTGCAGCGAACGTTTCTTCTAAAAAGGACAATAACAGTTCTTGGCAAAATTCAAACGGCGAAAGAGCTAGGTCTGCTAAAAAAAGACGAGGGAGGTCTGGAAAGGGAAGGACATTGGGTGCGGAAAAATGTGAAGTACGGAGTGGCAGCAGAGACTTAAATGAGAAAACAACTTGTTCGGGTGACGACGGGGAGCAACAAACTGCTAAACCTCAGCCATCACGAAACGTTACGTCTTATCTAAAGACAAATGCTTGCGGTAAAGCTGATGCAACTGTAAACTCTAAGCAAGGGACAAGCGTTAGAGAGGACATCGCTTGTAAGCCTCCCCCTGGTTTTGAGACTAAAATGGTGGATAAACGGGGGTCCGAACAATTTAGAAATGATCCTAGAAGACCCCCTCCAGGTTTTGAAACACATCTCTTACGACCTAGACCTCCACCTGGACTTGGCAGTCCAGTGGAAGGCCGGACAGCACAGAGCACAAGTCAATCAGTCACAAGCTGACCAATGTTTTAGGAAATTTGCGAGATGCTCGTGAGCAGGGATCACGTGTCAAGGTCCTTGTTACAATACACTGTTTTAGTTCCTCATGTCTGCAGCCGCCCCCTTATCCCACCCCCCTCCCAAAAAATGATATTTTCTTTTTTCCTGGCAGGCAAGTATTCAAATAATTATCCAAACCCGAAAATCAGTATTGAAAAATTGTTGAAGTTTCCCTTTCATTACGAGGCGCGTGTTTTTCTTCGTGTCTGAGACGATAGCCTGAAAAAATGAAGATCAACTACCAAAAGCAATTGAAAAGTTCCAAGTTTCCGGTTATTTGCTGCGCAAATGGCTTGAGCGGGAAATCTTTATTAAAGAACTTCAGTGATAACATAATTTGAGAGGACCAAATAACAGGGCAAATAAAAGTATGTAAAGCTTTCTGGGTACTCTTTCTGCGCACTTCTGAACCAAATCAACAAACCCTTTTTTGTTCGACAGAGATAAAGTCATGGATAGCAATAGCAAACAATCCTTTATTTGAAAACAAAATATTTAAAATGCACACACATTCTATGCCCTAAAAGTTACACTGGCGTCTATTTCCTATTGTCCCACGAGTTATGAAAAACATGCAGCCCGAGTACTCCGTTTAATTCTAAAAGCGTTTTTAAGCAAAGAGCCAAATTTTTTGAAGGCTTGTCTCTGAGGCCCTTTCTCATGCTGGTTTCCCACTATGTTCTCCGTTGTAAGACTCCGCAGCTGGCGCTGACTATATCCCATAACTGGAAGGCGTAGTGAATTTTGACTTATTCGCGGCTGGTCACCCATCCAGTTTCTAACCCCGCCCTAAAGGACTTAGCTTGGGCGGTCCTCAGCTGTTTATCGTCCTCAAGTTTCACGAGGCTTTGCGAGACATATTTAATTATACGCTAAACCAGCTCTCTTAAAGGGAGGTCTGAAGTAAAAAATAACGTATGAAGGGTTGGACTTCTTGACTTACTTTGAAAAAGACGCTAGAGATAATTCAGAAATGACCTATTGTGTTGACCTGTTGGGTTGAATGTTTTTCATGTTCGAGTGATGACTGAAGCTTCATGTTTCCCATAGCTCATGTTCCCTTCTTTAGATGATCAAAACAAGACCGCTCAGCTGACTCAAAAGTACCCTAAGAATTTAAACTACTGCAAAGTGAAGAGGATCAACAACATTGACAAAAACAGGCCAGCGGTCATCCTGCTGACAGATGCGCCTCCTGTTGGCATGGTAGTGGAGCCGGCAGCTGGCGGCGGATTAGTTGCAACAGAAGTGGCGTTGAAACTAGCCTTGACGGTTCGGTCATTGAGTGGCATTGGTGGACGATAATTTTCCTTGAGCGGTTTACCGTCCTGCTTTTCGAGTTTACGAAGGAGACCAATCTGAAACAAGAAATCATTGTTGAGTGAAAGACAGTTATTTTCGAAGACCGTTCCTGTGCCCTCACTAAAACGGGAAAAAAGTGTTTCGTTTACAACTTTGATAGAGAACTAGCATCAATTAACAACAAGGCAAAGCTCATTCCAGTAAAACTACGCGGCTTCTCAGGGATGTTACAATCAAAAGCAAATAGAAGATCGTTTACGACAGGAAATGATATGGGATGGTATTGTGAGTAGTCTCAGTAGCAGGTTGATGGTCGGTTATATGCTTCTGGTAGTTCTTAGAGACTAGTAATACGCGCTCTAAGCAATCTAGCTGGCTCGCAGCTACTGAATGGAGTGGAAATTTCTGAAATGTTTATACATGTTGTCTCCCTCTGCTGGTAGGGGAAGTTCTGTGCCGCTTGCACCGCGTGCAAACTGAACTGTTGGATTGCAAATAATCTCGTTTGTCCGTGTCATCCTATGGGACGTTTTCAATTACGTGGCCAGCATTTCTGATAATTTATCGGAACAAAAGAAGAAAATTTCAACTCCCAGAGGATTTCCTTGTTACACCAACATGGCCGCGATTTCATTGTTTTGGAACGCCAATGTGGCCGCCGCGACGTCAAGTGAAATAGCTCCTTAGTGAACGAGTAATCAGTTGCGTGCCAAGAAAAAATTAGGCGTTTCTATTTAGAGAGTAGGAAACGAGAATCTGCGTGTACACTTGCCATACCCTGCAGACTTACTGGCAGGCTTAAAGACAGGTCGGGAATGCTGAAGCGGCCGAAAACGTCTCCCCACCCTCCCTTCCCCTTCCCTAGAATGGCCATCACGCAAACGTAAGTTGTTTACTCTACCTGACGCTTGGATATGTTGACAGCATCCTTGAAAACAGTCCAGGTGACAACCTCATTGCACGTAGGGGTGGTAAGAGAGCCGTTGTAGCGGTAGTAGTCGCTCTTCGAGGCTGGCAGCATTTTGTTAAAGACTGCAAAATCTGAGGCCGGTACAACAACAGATGATTTGTCTGTGAAAACAAATCACACGAAGAGATTTGATCAAAAACACTAGGTCACAAATTTTTGACTGAAATTGAGTATAGGTACAAACTCTTGTGGTTTGAAATCGGGCAAGGTTCTTTTTCTTTAGACAGGGTGTAGTCAAGGAGTGTAATAATTGGATATCGCTCCATGTAAAGGAATCCAAGACAGTCTTGGATCCTGGATTCCACACTAAGGATTACGGATTCCAGGATCTGGATTCTAGTCTTTGTCAGTGGAACTTGGATTCTGGATTCCGAACTCCTTGTGCTGTATTCCGGATTCCAAAATCCAGTATTCCAGATTTCACAAGTAATAATATTCCGGAATCCAGATTCCCTTAAATGAGGCAATGGATATGGTTGTCTTGTGAACAGTGCGAAGGATAAAGGGCAGTTTGGGTGACATCGGCATTGTGAAGTGCTTCCAAAATTTTACGCGAACCAAATATTAGTTTGGGATGTCTTAAGTGTACGTAGTGCCGTGGTGAAGTCTGGAATAGGGTAAAGAGTTTTGGTTAATGCGATCAGGTCTAAAACATTGTCGGGCAAAATTATTGTTGGTCTGAAATAGGGATGAGGTAAATTTCTCGAGAAACATTCATGGGTTGCAGCAGTACGCGAAACTTACATTTAGTAACATTTGCGGCAAAGTCCAAAAACGACCACGCATCGTTATCATCTCCTTCAACCTGAAACAGATGTAAAGGGAAAAAAATCGCTGAAAAGTGACAAACGGCGATATCCTGTGGAATTGCGAATGGTAAATTCTCTCGCTCAGAAGATAATAGTCAATTTCCTGCTTTAGGCACCATGGTCCAAGTAATGGTAACACGTTAGACTTTTCCGCCCCTTTCGCTGTGGTTACGTAATTACCGCTAATCCGCTGGCCATCCTTTAGGCCCCTACCCCCTCCTAAGGCTAGGTAGACGGCGTAGCAGTCTCTGCCATTACCTTTTAGGCGCCGTCCACACGACCCTGGGGCCCGTTTCTCGAAAGTCCCGGTAAATTTGCGGGCCCGGAAAGCTGTTTTGTGTTTCCCGTGTTTGCATCCACGATCAAAGCTTCAATAATTTTGAAAATGATACAATAAAACTATCAGTGAGCGAAGCTGAATTGACTGGTTTTTGAGCCTTGAACTGTGCTACCATTCAACAACTTTTTATTTTAAAATTTGCTTTCGGGCCCGAAAAGTTACCGTGCCTTTCGAGAAACAGGCCCCCTAGACATTGTGGAAACAGCGTATTTTGTTACCCGGATTCGTATGGACGGGTTCCTAAGCCTTTCTTGGGATCGCTTTGAAAACGAAACGGTTTTGGCGAGCGGATTCAATGGTTTCGTGTGGACGGAAGGTCCATTTGTGTGAAAAAATGCGGTTTCAAAAATATCTAGATTAATAATAAGAATAACAAATACTTTATTTATACTGCAAAAAATAGATCAGCTGAGTATGAAAAAACAGCTGGTATAAAACTATGTGCAGTAATAAAAAAATGTGCCAAGTGCCAATGCTACCATGTGCCAAGTTACTTTGGCGCGTTCTAAATTTTACGATTTTTGCGATCTTCTGCGTGCTAGGCACAATAAATAAATAAATAGATAAGGGAAATAACTGCCGCAAAAGTTTAATCACCGAAGATCAACTCCACTATCAAAATTTTCTTGTTCACAAACACCGCAATTTACTAGAAATGTCATTGTTGTAAGAGAAGCTTACACAGACTGCACAAGGGCAGTACAGTTGTACCTGTAATTGGATTACACAACCGTAAATACTTAGAACGACATCAGTATTTCATTTCTGAATGATACCCTTCCGTCCATGTTCACCTGAGTTCTAATAAGCGAAAGAATTTTGGATGCAAATGCTCAAAATAGCAGTGATTGGCTCCCAGTGAGAAAATCCAGAGTGGACACGTCGCAAAACAAATTGTTCCCGGTTGAATTTGTGTAGCCTTGATGACCCCTCGTCGTGCCTAATAAACCATTTAACCCTTTAAGCCCTACGAGTGATCAGCATAAAATTTCTCCTTTTTATATTAACGCTTAAGAAATGCTTTAGAAAACAGAGTGGTTATGAGAATTGAGTACATGATCAGGGTCTAATTGATATTTCAGCAAATTCTCCCCTCTACTTCTGTTGAAAAAGTATAAGGACAGTAAATGAGAATCTCATTTTTGATATTAGGGTTTGGGTTCTTAAAGTAAAATGTTACCTTGATAAAGACACCAAGAACGGCAAGACCATCTGGATATTTGAGTGCTTCGGTAACATTGGGATAGTTTGTATTGCAGCTTACAAAGTGCATCTGAACAGAAAGAACAAAAACATGCAAGTTTAGCAAACGTGAACCGGGGGCATACTCAAGAGAGTTTTTAGGGAGCTTTAGCAACGACGACGGTAAAGAGGACATCAGAAAAGCAATAGGTTACGCAAAACAACAACTTTGCACGTGCATCACGCTGTTTTGTACATTTCTTTACCGTCCTTGCACGACTACGACGTGAAAATGCCAAATTGCAAGTTTTATGGAGGACGTAAACAAGCGACGACGAATCTCTTTTTCTCTCTCTAAACTTGAGTGTGGTCCTTAAGAAATCAACTCCAGGGAAATTCGCCTACACTTGCCATTTTCAGCAAATTGGAATTAACGCGGCAAAGATTGAAAAAACGGGAATTCATTTTAAAACTGACGTTTTCGCTGCCGTTGCCGTCGTCGATGCTAAAGCTCCCTTTTTTTTTTCATGGGGAGGCTCCACCACCGAGGTCCAACCCCTCACCCTTTTGTAAACCATTTTTGACAGAAAAGGTTCCCATTTCGGATATACCTTCCACTGAAAAATCAGTGGTACCCCTTTCACACACCTAGGTTAAAGCTTTGCATCCCAAAACTGCTGTAAATGCACTTTCTGTTAAATATGAATCAATCAGAAAACCAGGAAGTGTTCTTGTCTTTCTCACATCCATAAAATGCGCCTGTTAGTCCTGTTAGGTCTTTTCACAGACCGCAATGACAGTTTTCCCTACCCTTTCATATATTTCAGTTAGTAAAACTCGTACCTGAAGCCTAACAAAGATACCCCTTTCGGGCAGAGCTGTTGACAGCGTTCGCACATGCTCTGGTTGTCTCCCCTTGACTCGGCTAGGCGAGCCGAAGTGTTATATGGAGCAAAATTGGAGAGGCTAAGAGGGTGACCCTACCAACGAAAAAGGGCGGGTCACCCTTCTAGTCTTCTAGCGGAGCCCACGTTTTCTTACTCATGTAAACGGTACAAAATTGCGTGCACCTCTCACCTCAGCTGGATAAGCGGTTCCGTTCACGACGTGTTCCGACCCCTCGTCGTTATTTGGTCCCCAGTGGAGGTGGAATTGAACGGTTTTATAGCTCCCGACAAGACCTCCTCCGCTTACAGTGTAATTACCGCCAGCCAATGACACTACCATGCCGTGTCCATTGTTTGCAACGGTGAAGTTGAGGTCTAATTTTTTGTCGTAATTCTTTAAGTCAAATTTACCCAAGGCGTTATAAACAGCGTCACTACTTTTGATGTCGATTGGAGATTGCCTTTTTCCAGTCTCGCAGACCCCCTTCCAATGATTAGGGCCTGGAACGTACAAAAGTATTTGAGGGTATTTATAGCTCTTGAAAAATAAACTAATAAAAATAAATTATATGGCAAATTGCAGTGCTGAAATCGATAATGACTACTGTTCCTTTGGTCTTTGCTGACTGTGACGTCAGACGGTGACAGTGCAATGTTATTTGCTAATGTTGAGAACTGATTAAACGTGACTTAAGCGAAATGCTAGCGTAAATGGAGTCTCTTCTAAGCTCCAGTTTGTATAGTGATTTGATCCAAAACCCGGAGAAAAATGTTTATAGCCTTGTCTTAAGTAGTTACATTAGCCTCCGAACAAGCTCTCAAGTGGAGCGGGGCGGGAAAGAGGGGAGAAAAAAGGCACCTAACCCGCTTTTTTTCTTTCCCAGGTCACGCTCGGCTCGCGTCTATTTCTTCCCGCTCCACTTGGGAGCCTGAGTTACATAAGAAATGCCGAATGTAATCTAATAATCCATTAAAAGGTAATAAAGAAACTCTTACCAGTATCTCCTTCATAGCTCCAGGCTAGTAAAGAAAAAGAAGACAAGAACGTCTGATTAATAGGTAATTTTCGAGTTGCCCCAACCCTCTACTTTCCTTATCCCTTTAAGTCCCAAAAGTGACCAACATCAATTTTCTCCTCACAACATCAGTACATTGTCAAGAGATAAGGTTATGAGAATTGACAAAATGATTACCAAAGAGAAAATGCCTTGATCTTTGAACAAATTCTCTCAACTCATTCTTTAACGAAATGTTTGGAGACCAGTTTGGAGAATTTGTTTGTGGATATTGGGACTTAAAGGGTTATGCAAAGAAAACTCTTTCTTACAAGAACGGTTTCGCACGTAGCCTCGTTTTGAAAGTGAGACATTTCGGACCTCGGAGCGATCAATAGTTAATAATCTCAGTCCGTTCCGCTTGACAAGGGTAACGAAAATTTTGGGAACGAAATTAAACTCGAGTTCAGACAATAATGATTCACGACTAGTCAACACAACCGGCGATCAAGCCCTTTTTATAAACCGCGCTTACGGAAGCTAGTTCCGTGACGTCAAATAAATGCCGAGTTGAACGATGTAAGGATGCCATACTTGTTTCCTTAGTTCTTTATCTTGGCTCAATGCGCTCATGCGTCAACAAATTAAAAAATATATCGAAAATTCTAAAAAACCTTTGATTGCTTCAGTTGGAATCGGTTGAATCTACAACTGAAGTCTGACTATATTCAAATGCTGTTATTTTTAAGAAATGACCGAAGTAGATCTTTTTTATAAGTAGCTTTTCACCAGAATCTGAAGGGGTTTGTTTTACTAAGGTGCAGCTCAAACGTCGCATTTCTCATGAGCCGAATCTGATGCAAAAGAGTGAGAACAATAGATTTACCTCGTTAGCAATACGTTCGGCATATGCGAAATACAATGTTTGAACCGGGCATGCGATGCTTAAAGTCTCTTAGTTGACTATTTTAATGTTGAAAAGTGAGATTCTTTCAATTAGAAGCTCTTGTCCCTTAATTTATTGCAATAGCAGTGAGAGTGGGTTAGGTTAAAACCAAATTCGGATTGAATATTTATTCTTGTGTTTTTTTAATCAGCGTGGAGTAAAATGATTACTTATACTAGTACAGCATACTTACAAGGACCAGCACTGAAGGCAAGGGATGCACAGCTGATGATCAGAAACACAACTACAAGAAAACTTTCCATCTCTTCCCTGTTTCAGCGGGGATAGTCTAAAGTGTAATAGACACAAATTTCAGAGAGGAAAAAAAAAGAAAAATTAGTAAAACTGATGACAGCTGCTCTGTGAAAGTAAATTCTATTTGAACAGTTACCCTTATCTTACTGTGCTTTTAATTAATTTGTTCTGATTGCTTAAAAACGGAGCTAATTTGATTTTTCAGTATTTCCCTCTCCTCTCTTTGTCAGGAGCTGACGTATGTTTACATAATTAGAAGATCACATGTTATGTTATGATTTTCCCCTTTTCCATCTTCTCCCGAAATATTTTTTTATTCTTGACACAGAACTGTGCGTTTTCAGTTGGTGGTATTCCCCGCAGTGGTAAGAGCCGGCTTACTTTTACCGCCTCGTTTGCAAGCATGTCCACCTGTTACATAATTCATGTGAAATGATTATCTTCCTCGGGGGATTTTTAATAGATGAGGTGGAGTGTACCGCAGATACCTTTTGTCCACTTGGAAACAATGATCAATAACGAAATATACGGTTTCCAAAATTCCAAAATGAATAAGTTTATTTGTGTTGCCTATCGTGGACACAACGTGATCTCAGGACACCTGCTCAGTACCGAAATGGTGCTGTTCTTCAAGAGACCACTTTCGATATATTAAAATTCAGCATGATAGCGAGTCTTAGAGGACACAAACAAAGCTGAAGTTTGATCTATCGAGAGTGGCCTAATTCAGTGCGGATGTCAAGTATTCTCGACACGGGCTCTCAGAATTGCACACACACCCTCAAAAATAGATCGCGCGCGTGACTAGTTCAGTCAGTTGAAGAAAAGTTGAGGTGAAAGTCCTGAGGAGGTTGGTATTTCAGACCAAGGAAAGAAGGACTTTACTACAGAAATAGCAGTCAGAAGCGTGTACATGTAGCATGAAGAAATGTATCATACATCTTGCAGAAGCAACTCGCTCTCATTTCAAACATTCGCTTTATTCATTAGTCTCAATCGCTTGAGGCAATGGGCTCTCTGCCATAAGAATGTGAAAAATGTTTGACCCAAAGCAGGTCAGCCCATTGCGCAACAACTTGAGGCGTTTCACTAACCGCAAGTGAAGAAGCCACGATTCGATTTCCACTGATTTGCAACGAAAATAACCTAGTATAGTACTGTTTTGCACGTACTATTTGCAAAGGCGCTATTTCGACCCTACTTAACTTATGCCCATCACTTACTTCTTTTTGCGAAGAGAAAAGTTTATAATCACTTCAGATAAAAGATAACTAAATTGCCTTGATTATTAAAACAACAACAACAACAAAATCTCCATATAAAGAACAAGAGTTGAAATGCACTTAATTAACAAGTTTAACATGGCTTGTCAAACAGTTTCACGTGCGATTACCTAACTCCCAATGATAAATACTGATTTGGCGAGGAAATCATTCATTCCTGCTCAATTTTCTGCGGAGCCACGAAGGGGTGAACGGCCACCCTCTCAACCAGAAAATCGCGTGGTTCGTATTAGCAAATACGCCCAGCTGTCCGGGTCCACCGAACAATCATTTCCCCCGGGGGGGAAGGGGGACTTTAGGAATTTTGAGGTGGGGGTTTACCGATGGGACCCTGGAACCTTTAGCCTATACCAGAGATAGTTCAATTGAATATCGCTACCTCTACTAGACTTAACTCCCCAATCCCCCCCCCTTCATCCTGGAGTTCTAGGATATCATTCCATTCCTCATGATTAATTGGGGATCATTTCGGGGTCGACGTGAAGAGAAATGGGGACCGGTACTATTTCGAGGTCGATTAGGGGATCATTTCAGGGTTGGGGATCCAGTTTCGGGGTTGGGATCTTTTCGGGGGCTATACAGGTCACTAGCTCAGTCCGGCCAAAACAAAACCGAATTGATATTTTTGGATCCAGGTTTCCTAGTCTAGATTAACATCAAAACGTTGATCACAAATGAAAGTTTTTCAAGGGCTTTAACCAAAGTTTTGTCCCGTGTACTCATTTTACAGGAGCAAGTTCAACGTCGTTCCCTGGTTCTCTCTTAAGGTTGTTAACCCACAATCGACTGAAAACTGAAACATCATTTCACTGAGTTTTTGCTTTAACAGTTTTCGTTACATACCGAGGTGCACTGTACAGAAACTTAGCTCCTCCGGCTCGCATTAAAAAAACCCCATCTCATTTGCATTTCATACTTGCACGTAGAGAGGTTGAACTTCAAATTCCCCTTGTCTGATTCATGAGATTGCCACATGATTTAAAATTTCTGTACCCAGGAGACAGACTAAACTTTCCACGTGAGAAATGAAAGAACAACAAGTATGAGTACATGATATCTTTTTATGAATTTATGACGCTTTGTAAGTGATTTTGCTTCTTGTAGGTTCTCGATCTCGCAAGCAATAGAAGTCATAGAATTGCTTCGCCGGCCACCCACTTATATATATACAAGCTAAAACGTTTAACATAACTAACACGTTTTTTCAAGTATCAGCAGAAAATAATTAATATGTCATTTGCTGTTAAGATTCCAGCTGTGAACAGTACATTCCTTTTTTAAAAAAGCGACTACGTTTGCCGCATGTTTTGAACCAGATACGTTCCTAGTGTGTTCTTCATATGGTAGCTTGCATAACCGTCGCACAAAAAATCTAGGAACGAGCGGCAAGGGAGTGCCGAGAAAGCGGGCGCGCGAGGCAAGAAGAAGCTACTCGTGGGTGTCATGCTCAATCGGTTGTTGAGCGCGCATGATGAATACGTTTAGAAAAAACGATGTTATAGCTATTGCACTGCAGTTCTCTTACTTAGTTGAGAAAAACAACAAATGTAACTTAGGCTACACAAAACTGTAAAACTGTTTTACACAAATCTGCTATTTTAAAAGAAAACAATGTAACTTCATAGAAATTTATGTGCATATTTACTGCTCAATCCTTGCAAAACCAAGGGAAGACTAACAAAATGCTTCAGCTTAGGTACGCTCATTATTTCTAGATTTATTTTCGTCTTAGCGTGTTCCGACTAATTGAAAAAAGCTAACAAGATTGTAAGCAAAAACTTTCATTCTGTAGTTATTGATGCTATTTTTCCTTTCCTCTCTCTAGTCATGAAAATACAGTTTGACATATGCGTATGCGATCTTTTTGGGCTGTTGTCGAACGCCAGTTCTAGTTGCATAATCGTGATCGTCAAAATCTGACAATCTAGGTACAAACGCTCTGACACGTGAAGGGAACATCTGCGGCGAGGATTCCTTGCCAGTTGCCACACATCCATTTATCAAGCACTTGTTGAAGAATTGGCGTCTATAACGAATTAAGTACTTCTTTGTATATCCCGAGGCTTAATTAAGCAGGCAATCATATCGTTACCTTTTTAATAAAAAGAAAAAAAACAGAAGAAAAACAACGACAACAACACCTAAAACAAATCGGAATTCGCACTGATCCCTTGCCTGCGTGGGTGAGCAGACTCCATTTTCAGCCGGAAAATACAAGGGAGTTGGCGTCGAAATAGATAAGGGTTTCTCATTGTACAAAGGATCTCTCTACAGTGTCTGTCATCGGTTTATCAAATAAACGGGTTCAAGGGTAGCGTAGTAAAGTTTAAAAAAATAGTAATCAGATTTTAGGGATCAAAGAAAACAAAGAAATATTTGTGTTCAGTGTTAAAGGGTGCATGGTCAAGTAGTGTTTTAATTTGTTTTATATCTAATTTTTTCGTTGGTCACACGATTCTCATGCACACCATGCAGGTCGACGAACGTTTTAAAAAAGAACATGTACATTTCTCCATTACATAATTACGTAATAAACGAATGTTCGATAAAGTTAGGTATTTGACTGCCTTTTGTCAGTTTTTTCATACAACCACAAAATTCAAGATAGTACATTTACAGAATGTAAAATGACCGCCGTGTAACATTCCTGAACAAAGCAGGCGTTAAAGAAATTTTGGGCGGATCTAGGGGTGGTTCGAAAGGTTTGGTCGAACCCCTACGGAAACTGCGAACGTCCAACGTCTATCTGACTTGCAGATACGATAAATACCTTGTGTAAATTTGCGCTTGACTTTCAGCAAGAAAAAAACTTTCTTAACAACGCCTTAAAAATTAATCCCAGTTGATCCGCCCCAGGAAATCACTGATAAATTGAAACTAAAGAGAAGGAAATAGCTTTACTCTTTCAAGAACCGTAAGTTAGACAGAAGTATTCGACTCATCTCTTATTTGAATTGTTATCAACAAACTTCTTTGTCTTGCTTACTCTAATGTGCTGCGCTGGTATTTATTGACTCAAAGGTTCGACTGTTGTCACATTCGACTTCATCCTTGCATCCTATTCCACTCCCAGGTTTCATGACTGTCTAATTCACCCCGTCAACGAATTCCATCTTCGCCAGTTTACATAAAAAACAATTGAACCACTAAAAGCCGCTTCACTCGTGCCGTTTGACAACCTCATCTCATTTAATAGGCAGCAAATTACTTCTTTCCCTTTGCAAGCGTTCTTAGCCAATTTATATCGCGTTATTTCGTGACTTTGTTTCATCAGAACTCTACTTATCTGCTTAAATACAAGTGGCCTAGAAACCGTTACATTTCTCTGTAATATCCTCTGTTTTGTTTTTCTTGGTATTTTTCTTTGACGTTACTTTCGTTTTACATTATCTGTTGTTACATAATTACTTCGGTTCTGAAACCTTCTAATGTCGAGATAAAGTCAATAAAGTGTTTCTTAGGTGACTTTGAAAAAATAAAAATAAAACTTTTGCATACCGGTAACTTTGGCGTGTTCATAAATCACAATCAACATATACTGCATTAGTGTTATCACAAAAGAACGGGAAAAAAAGTAAAAAAAATACCTTGAGATTGATGAGTCGGTCCGAACACGTCTCAGCTCTTGCTCCTTTCAAAGATCACCAGTCAACTGCAGATGGGGCTTGTCGGCAACGAGGAAAAATACTCAAATTACGAAATAGTATTCTGTTACGTTTCTTCGG